TTCACTGTGTGGCTGTGAGTTTTAACATGTTGGCAACAAGAAAGACATTCAGTCCATTCTGCTTGTCCATCCAACGATCCCCCCACCCTACAACTCTTCCCATCACAGCACCAAGCTGGTTTCTGTACGACTCCAATGTCCCAGCTCCGACCACCCTCCCTCGTAACACAATGCAGCTGTTGATCAGCCTCTGTGTAAATTAATTATTGTCTGTTACACCTGTTAAGCGTTGGCATTCTCTCACTCACGCCCTGCTACTTTGGGGATTTGCAATGAAATAATAATGTCTTACCATGTCGGCGAGACACCTTAAAGCACTTCACGGGACTTTACTGTCAAGTGTAGTGACTTTGTTTTCGGCATTATCAGTCGAGTTCCTTCGCAGCTCACGGCTCACATCAACCTGCTGCTATAAGCTCCAAAAGGACTGACAAGAATAAATAGAGAGAGACGTGTGAACCTCTAGTCTTGTGTTAAACATCAAGTTCCTTTTCAAAAATCGTTGAACTTAAAAACTTGCCACAAAGGAAACGGCAAGAGGTCGTAACGGTGTCACTATGTGAAATGCAACGTTTAATCTCCTGCACACGAGCGGGCATCTAATTTTCTAAATCTGTTTCTCTTCTTTTTTTATTGTATAAGTTCCAGCACATGCTTTGGATGGTGAAATAAAAACCCGAAGCTCTCTGTTGGGTGCGGGTGGTTGAATTCTAATAATTTTAATAATCCCTACATTTGACGTAGTGCCTTTCACATCACAAGGACGTCTCAAAACGCTTCACAGAACTTCCTGTGAAGTGTAGTGACTGTCTGTGTTTTATAGGCAACCAATCTCCGTGCAGCAATGCCCCACAAACAGCCATGAAGTGAGTGACCGATTTTATCTGGGGGATTGTGGGCCGGGATAGCGAGAGAAACTCTCTCCTCTTTTCGAATGGACCATAAGACGTAGCAGCAGGAGTAGGCCGTTCGACCCCTCGAGCCTGCTCTGCCATTTAATAAGATCATGGCTGATCTTCTAACTGAATTCCGTTTACCTGCCCTGTCCCCATATCCCTTAATCCCTCTATCCTTTAGAATAACGTCACGGGATCTTTAAATGTCCACCTGGACAGGCACAGACGGGACACCAACAACTTATATAGCGCCCTCCACACAGGGTAGCGTCTCAGAACGCTTAACCGTGGCAGAGCCTGTCTCCGAGCTGGGGGGCGTGGGAGGGGGGAAGGTGGCCGCAAGCACAGTCGAGCAGGAAAGTCTTCAGGCGGGACTTGAAAGAGGGGAGAGAGGGGGCAAGGCGGAGGGATTGAGGAAGAGTGTTCCAGAGTTGCGGGCGTAGTGGCTGAAAGCACAACCTCCGATGGTTGGGCGGAGGGTGCGAAGGACAAGCAGTAGCCGGTGCCACGAGCTGAGGCCTCGGGTGGTGAACTGGGGAGTGAGGATGTCGGAGAGGGAGGGAGGGGTCAGGGAGTGAAGGCATTTGAACACGAGAGTGAGAGGATGCTGAAGTCGATCTGTTCGGTGATGGGGGGGGAGCCAGCGGAGCTGGGGCCAGAGCTGGTGAGACGCGGGTACGGAGTTTGGTCAGGATCAGTTTGCGGGCTTCAGAGTTCTGAACGAGCTGGATCTTGGGACCAGGGTTTAAAGTCTCTTCCAAAGGACAGCACCTCCGACGGGAGGTTGAAGACTGAGAGTTCCTCTGCGGTGAAGATCAATCTGCGGTCACTGCGATTCATCTGGGATCAGACGCACCGTGTAACATGGCCCAGATGTGTGGCATCGTGCGTTGAACTGTTCCCATTGGAATTGCCATGTGTAAAAATCTGAGTGGAGCACAATGATACTGTCAGCCCTCAGGCACCTGATGAACACATGTTCAATCTAAGGTTGTGGAAAGGAGAGAGGTTGTGGAAATCAGTCTTTGACTTTAAAATTGGAGGTTTGCAAGCTTGGCGCGAGCCGGCGATGGTGTTAAAAACATCTCGGGACTAAATTGCAGGGTTAAAGTTCACACTTTGGTTAAACAAGATTTACACTCGCTTTGACAGTACGACACAGGATAAGGTATTGCATGGAGGGACATGACCCCTGGTGTAAAATAGGCTCCAATTTTACAGCTTCCGCCCTTTGTTCTCTTCATAGGTACAGTTGCTAGCAAAAGGTAGATAGAATTTTAATCACACTTTTCGGCTAATTGTTTCTGTCAGGGCAAATAACTCAACTTACCTGTAGCCTGACATTCTACAGAGTTCCCCGATAAATCCAGGTGATTAAGGCATTGCTTTACGGAGCTGTGTCGTGCTCTGTGTCAACCCTGCCTCTGAAGACGCTGGCGTTCAATGCTGCAGTAAAACCATTATCTACTCCCACAGGGTGTTGAGAAACACAACGGGCAGATGTTTGATCTCTCCCTCAACCGGGGTCAAGTTCAAGAGCAGTTTGACTCATTGGAGATTCCCAGCTGTGCTGGAGTGAGAGATGACTCAGTATATTAGAGCTGTGAGCAAATCTCCCCTCTGCAAAACATGGCTTCACTTAAATCACTTAACCAGAAAAAAGGACTCATCTTTGGGTCGGTCTCGCACACTCTAAGCTACGGACGCCTGCCGCTTCTTTCTAATTCCGCGCGGAATTTTTTGCGCAAAATAAAAAAAAAACGCAAAGCCTCGCAATAGCATTTCAACATTTCAAAGGAAAAAAATTTGCAATTTATAGGTCTAAAGAGTTCAATATTTCAAGCAGATCGGTTTTGATTTACTCTGGCTTTCAGATGGAGGCCCGGTCAGCGCTTATAAGATCGGCTTTAGTTTATCTAAGCTCGTGGTGTTTAACAGCTGAGTTAATTTCCTGTCCCCCACTTCCCAACCCTGGGTTTTCGTGTCTGTTAGAGAGTGCCGTGGTGTTTGAATAACTGGTATATAAAAATAATAATCCTTGCATTTGATTTAGCTGCTGTTCACGTCTTCGAGACGTCTCAAAGTGCCGCTTCATAGGATATATTGTAAAATGGATTGACTGTGTATTTTGTTGGCAGAACGCTGGCAGCCAGTTGCGCACAGCAGTGTCCCACAAACAGTCGTGGATTAAGTGACCGATTTTTTTTGTGGAGGGATTATTACCCCCTATATATTATACGTTACATATATTAGTCGCCCTCCTTTTTGTATCGTTTTCTCCTCCGGTTTTTGCCCCTTCCTCTCCTTAAGGCATCTGGCACCTTCCTCCCCCTCGCTCTCCCCCTTTCTGCTCAGGCAAGGTTCCACAGACACTTGGATGTTGGTACAATCTGTCAACGTGTGTCAGCCTGGCTCAGCTGACAGCAATCTGAGTCAAAAGACTGTGGGTTCGAGCCCCACGTCCGGACTTGGAACCCACATAGTCTGGGCTGACGCTGGGGTTTTGTTGCATTGTTGGAGGTGCCGTCCTTCAAATGAGAAGTGAAACCTTTGTTTGCGTCTTTGCTTGAGCGTAATAACTCCATTTACTTCTTACGCATTTAACCCTAGGTTTATTTCTGGGCTTTTTTAATCTGTCTGTAATTAAATCCTCATTTGACGCTCACAGTGACATGTGGATTTCATAAAGACACGTTGTGTTTGGGAAGCTCAGCATCTCTGTTTTAAACGGGGTCACTTGTCAATTTCAGACGATTTGGGGGTGAAAGGTTAAGTAGTATTTCTGTTTCCGAAATACTTTGTTTCTGAAGTCTGTTCTGGTGAGCAAACCCTGAGGAATGCTGTGGTGTGGATGTGGTTTTCTTCGTAGTCTACAATAATCCTGGCATTTGATGTAGCGTGCTCACTCGTTTCGCAAGGGAGAGGACCCAGGTTCGATTCCTCGGGGCAAAACCTTAGGCGAGTTACTTCAGGACATCCCAGGGCTTTGGGATGTCCTCCTGACCTGAAAGGTGCTTTACAAATGTAATCTTGTTGCTGTTGTTGTTAACTCCACGCCCCTCTGTTTACCTAACAGTAAGTAGGAACTGTGAAGCGCTTTGGGACGTCTCGAAGATGTGATAAGGCGTTCTCTCAAATGCAAGGATTATTTCATTGTAGATGGCTTTTCTGGATTGGCAATTTCGTTCCCTTTTTTTCCCCTCCCCGCCATACTTTTCTGTTAGCAATTTCAGTCGCAAAATGGAAGTGAGCCTGAATCACTTGATGCCATCTGCATTTTCGACAGCAATATCGCAGAGTGGTAGAAACGTGGAGGGTTTATGGTTTCAGAAGGTGTGAGGGTTCACACGTCTTTAGGAAACTTTTGAGGTTCTGAACTGGCAAACCAAGGTTTTCTCTCGCATGGGAAGGTGAGAGCAAGCTAACCATTGCATCACACATCCTTGAAGGCTCCTTCTCCTTGCCCCATAGAAGAAGTAGACTTGCTGGACAAGCTTTCATCACTGAACCCCGAACCCGGTAACATTTCGCTGACCCACGATGAGGACAACTGCACCGTCTACGAAATTGGACAATATTCAACCCTCGCCATCCCGAGCAGAGAAGCCTTCGGAATGAGGTTGGGTCATTCATTTCATTTTAATGCACAATTTCAGCCTCGATGATTTTAACAAGCGCTTTGAGAAGCCCTCCCCAGGCAAAAGGTGAAGCGTCAATGTAAATTGCCTCACAATCGAAAGATCCTTGCTGAATTATGAGGCTTTATTTGTGACGAACTTGATGGATTCTTGTGTCGGTGCCAAAGTAAAGTCGGTCGGGGTTGAGGGGCTGACATAAGCTAACAGTAATTTACGCAATAACAGCTTGACATAATGAAGATCGAGTTAAGCATCTGCAGGAATCGGCCTGGAAGCGGATGGAATGTGTAACAAGTATCACCTTGAGAAATTAACCATTTTAAATCTGTTAGGAGATTTTACGTGCTAGGCTGCCTCGCTCAAAGCCTTTCCCTTTATCCTCCCTCTCTCTCTCTCTCTCTCTCTCTCTCTCTCGCTGCTCAGCTTTGCAGACGAGTTCAGCTTGCTGATCAAGCTGCGCTACGCGATGAAGGATCACACAGTCCTCTTCACCGTCCTCAACCAGCGAAGTGACATCCTGCTCCAGGTCCGCGTCAATCCCTACGCAATCGTGTTCGTGGCCACCAGGAGGCGGCATTATGAGTGAGTAAAACATCCGTCCCAGTCCCCCGCTCAGGTCAACGAGATCAGTGTGGAAACGTGCCACTAAAACAACAAAAAATAAATAATAATCTGGCCACGTCAATCCACCACTGTGCTGCGTTTCGCCCACAAAATACACAGCCACTCCACTTTACAGTACATCCTGTGAAGCGCTTTGAGACGTCTCTTAACGACGAGATACGAAGCTGCGTCAAATGGTTAAGCGGAATTTAAAGGCATTTGATGCTCCACCACCGTTGTAGTGTCTCTGTCTGTGTCAATCCTGAACTCTGTAAATAATAATAATTATGATTAATGAATGAATTATTATTAAGCCCAACCTCATTTCATTTCAAAAGCAGCTTGATGCTGTGGTGGGGGTGGGGTGGGGGGAGATGGCGGTGGGGGGGGGTGGTGTTAGGGGGCGGAAAGGAGTAGGGGGTACTTCAGGGAGGTGGTCTTCTACGAGGCTTCCCAACGCTTCCAATGATGCAGGCTGCTAAAGCACAATATTGAGGTTTGATCTTATCACACGGAATTCCTCTCCAGTCTTACTCAGATTAGTGATCTCTGGTCATACCAGAAACCAATGACTTGATATCGCAAACCAATAAGCCAAGTGGCTCAAGCTTTATAATAAAGATACTAATCATCTCTGCATTTTGGTGGAATGTCTTATTATATTATCAAAACGCTCTTCACAGGATTTACTGTGAAGTGTACGACTGTATTTGCAAGCAAACACAGTATATAATTTGCGGACCGCAATGTCCCACAAACATCTCGAAGACGTGATAAAGCGCTATATCAAGTGCAAGGATTATTATTATTAATTCATTAATTAATAATTATTATTATTTACAGAGTTCAGGATTGACACAGACAGAGACACTACAATGGTGGTGGAGCATCAAATGCCTTTAAATTCCGCTATCACCTCCCTCTCACCCCCTCAATTTGAACATCATTATATTAAATCCACTTCGTTGGGGAGCAATTAAAAGACAATTTTGTTTTGGGAGTGAAGTGTTCCTCTGCTCAGTGCCAACACGGCAGTCCATACCATCGCTTGAAAGTTTAATTGAAAGAAAACAAGTTGAGGCAAGGCGGTGGGAAATTGACACATGAAAAGGAGGCTTTTCTTAAAAAAAATGCCAACGATGCCAGATGCTGATCAAGGCATTGAGAACCACTTGTGTCTTCACAAGGGAGAGAGTGGGACAGGTTCAATTATGTCAGCATAGCTCGAGGGAAATGAAGAGCTTCAAACAGAAATCCTTTCAAAGCAATGGAACAGCTTCCAGTTTCTAGCTGGGGGCTGAATGACATCAAACTGCAGAGTTCACGGTATTTAACGTAGTCCTTGATCAGATCAATTGGGGAACGGGAATCTAGATTTTAGGGGAAAGGATTTTGTGGAGGATATTTTTCGTTTCTTCACAGTTGGGTTAAGGGGTAGAAATTCTGCCCACGTCAAGATTTAAACAGTGGAACACTCTTCCTCTATCCCTCCATCCGCCTTGCCCCCTCCTGCTTTCCATGGTTGGTCCAACTGAAGAATAGGCAAAGATTACCATTATATGTGTTTTGGATACTGTTACCTCCTTTTTAATTCAGTTTTACTCCCTATTCCCTAATGTCTATGTTTATACAGCAAGTGCCCTTAATGTCTGGAGTTCGGTCTGAACGGATCTGTGTCTGACCAGAGTGTCAACTTTCCTCCTTCTTCTCTTAAATATCTCTTTGCGTTCGGACACAAATGCTCATCGTCCCGGGTTCTTTCGAGCAATGACTCGGAGCTCACCTCCTCTCTTCCCGGGTCTCCAACTCCAACAGAACCTGCCAACCACCGGTCTCTGATGTTAAGATTTAGAGCTAGTTAAAATGGTGATGCAAACCAGATGCTTGTGTAACTAGTGTCAGCTGAGCTGGCTGCTGGCTCACTGACCTTAGATCTACAAGCTTTTCCGATGCCTTAAATCTTCGCCTCAGTTAATCTGTTGCACTTTCCTGTATCTGAGGCAGCCGGAATTTTTTTTGTTTTGCCGAGAGTCACTTGCTCCCATCCCACCCCCACCCTCCCCGGCTCAGCGCCAGGCTCCTCCACTGTTAAGGGCTCTGAGACGCTGCTCCGTGTGAAGGGACTGTGGAGTCCCGTAGCTCAGTGGTTAGAGCACTCGCCTTGCAAGCGAGACACCTGGGTTCAATTCCAGGCAGAGGGTGAAACCTTGGGCAAGTTTCCTTACTCCACACAGAGCCTAATAATAATCCCTCCAAAACAAAAACAATAATAAATTGGTCATTTCAACCCATGGCTATTTGTGGGACGCTGCTGTGCGCATCGGCTGCCGCGTTTCGCCCCCTCAAATATACAGTCAATTCACTTTACAGCATATGTCGAGAAGACGTGAAAAGCGCTATATCAAATGCAAAAATTATTATTATTATAATAAATGTTTGTTGTTGTTGTAGTACTTGTGGTTGATCGGAGCTGTCCTCTCGTTCCCGCAGGTTTCCCGTGTCCTTCCTTTCGGACGGCTTGTGGCACAGAGTTGCAATTGGTGTTTCCCTGAGCAAAGTGGAGCTGTATGTGGACTGTGAGCTGGTTGAAAGCGTGAGATGGAAAAATTACTTCGGGATGGAAATAACCACAGAAGGTTTGGTCATTGTAGGAGGTCTCATTGAAGCCTTTGAGTCACCATTTGAGGTAATAATAATAATAATATTCCTTGTATTTGATACAGCGCCTTAGCATGTTTGAACCCTAATGATGTCCACATGTCTGATGAAGTCCGCTATTTATTTCCAATTGACAATCTATTCTGTGAAGAGTCTCTCAAAGGGTTTCACAGAATATATTCTAATAGATTATGTATAACGGTGATTTTCACATGTTGCTGGCCAACATTGGCTGGAAATCTTGACACAGGTTCAGGTTCACACCCCATTTTTTTCAAAAAACAAAACTTTGACCCTCGGTGGGGGAAAAAAAAGTTTCAGTCGAGCACCGCCCCCCCCCAACCCCCACCATCCGCTGGTCCTGGATGGAATTTCTCACCCTAAAGTGGTTGATTTATAGCCCCTCTATGACATGTTCTTGTGGTTCAAAAATGGTTTGAGTTACCCGGCAATGGGGAGGTTTGTTTTGGCTGTTATAATAGTGATAACTGATTAAGACGTGTTTGTAGCACTTACGACCTGCCACAGAGGTCTGCAGTGAATAATTATTGTTTTTAAAAGATGGTAAATGTTGTTTTAATATTTTCTCCGTCCACTTAAACGACAGGAATTCGTTAAATATTTATCCAGCGCCGAGTTTTCCAAGTGTCTGGGAACAATAATAGCTCAGTAATTGATATGCGATTGTGACAGCTGCTGGAAAGCCCATTTCATCAGACATGGGAACAAAATCCGGGCTTAAAGGGAAGCCCCGTCTGTGCAAACAGTGTACATGTCCTGACCTCACTAAACTGTTGCTGTCTTTGTAAATTATCTGTTTCACAATCTACTGGAAACGTCACACCTTATAACAGAGGCTTTTCTGGTACTCTTAAACATAACGACCTATTGCTCAGTGCGGCTTAATAATAATATTAATCCTTGCATTAGGTATTGCACCTCATCACATCCCCGAGACGTCTCAAAGCGCTTCACGGAATATACAGTAAAGTGAATTGACTGTGTATTTTGTGGGCGAAACGGGGCTTTTCTGTGGGTTTATTCTTGGAAAGAGCCCAAATACAAGAAAGGCACCGGCAGAGCTGAAATCGAGTTTAAGAGGAACTTAAGAGAGGGAGGGAGGGAGGTGTGAAAGGCGGGGTATAGGAGAAGGGGGTTGAATAGGGAGAGTAGAGGCTCATGTTGAGTATAAACACCAGCACTGAAAAACACTGGTTGGGATACTCAGTGATGGGTTCCTGCGTGTGTCAGACACCAAAAAAGAATCAGTAAGTAAAAGGTGAGTTGAGACTTTAGTGTGACATTTGGTAACTTTAAAACGCACCTTTGAATTGTCCTTAGGGGCTACTCCAGCAGTTACTGTTTGTTATGGGGGATCCCACAGCAGCTGAGGAACACTGCATCAGGTACAGCCAAACATGCACCAACGTTTCCAGTGCTAAACTGCTGCTCGACACCCATTCCTCTCGGGAAGAATTGTCTCTTCTACCAGCGCAGCCTGAGCAGGTAAGGTTCCACGCTTATGGTCTGATGGCGGAGAATCCAGAACAAAGCACGGGTGGGTGGTGGTGGGGGGCATCATCTTAAAACTAGAGCTGTACCGTATAGGAGTGAAATCAGGAAGCATTTTTTCACACAAAGGTGTGTAAATCAGACTTTGTGTTTTACGGAGCAATGAAAAGCAGGGGACGAAGGTGCAGCTGTCCAAAGAGCAGTAACTTTGTGCGAAGGGTGGAGAAGAATATGGTACCACCAACAGGTGTGCCCGCCTTTCGCTTTACGGCCTTCGAAATATTGGTCCTCTTCTCGGAAGCCACCGAGTTAGTGCTGAAGCCATTCGCTGTTGGTGGGAACGACAGATGTGGCCGCATGGCGAGGGGGCGGGCCAGCGGGTGGCGGGGACAGGGAACGCGGAAAAAAAGGGGTTCACCGTTTGTAGGGTACCTTAGCCGACTTGCATCAGGTCGGTGAATTGGAAGGGGGTGGTTGGGGGGGAGAGAAGCAGAGCTCAAACCCGACATGACATACGTGTGTGTGTGTGTGTGTATGACTAGTTGGACTTGGTCCTTGTTGACCTAGCAAATTCTTATGTTCTTAACCGCTTTGAGAGGGAGGGATAAGGTGACAAATGGATACCCCGTATAACCGACGTCCAAAGAAACAAATGACCATGATATCTTGCACCACATTCCTTGAAAAACTTTGGCGATTTTTGTTCTTTCAAACCGAAAGGTTCCACTTCCATCAGCAATTAACCGACCGCCCCCCACCCCACCACCACCCACACTGCACATGGGAACGATTAGCATGATTTACGATCTTGCAATGACATAATAAACTAAATAGCTGACGTCCCACACTCTCGGTTAGCGAGCATCAGGACTTCCAGATGCAAAGACTGCTGTGTTCAGCTTTGTTTCTCAAGGACGTTTTTAATTCTCCTTTTTTGTGGGGGTGTGTGGTGTGGTGTGGTGTGGGTGTGTGTGGATGTGCGTGTGTGGTGTGGTGTGTTGGGTGTGTGCGTGCGTGCGCGTGTGTGTGTGTGTGGGGTGTATTTTTGCCATGACAGCATTTTTTTTAAAAAAAGTCACCATAATGGAAAAAATGTACTCATGTGTCATGAACTGCAAAGGAAATTAAACTGTGGGTTTTGATCAGGATTTGAAATCTGGTCACCACACTCTTAGCTGGAAAATCCAGTCCTTCTGCCCAAGTGCACACACTCCCAAATACAACTTAATCAAACCAGATGAACACGGATAATTCTTTTTATGTGACTTGGATTTGGCAGTGTGTCTATTTATATCGTCCAGCGCTTTTCAGCAAATTATGGCTGCAGCCAACATATTTATTTCCCCTCAAGTACGCAGAACCTGAGAATTGCTGGACAAAAGAACACCAAGGTCCGTCCAGCTCCTCTTCTAGTATTTCCTGACTGTCTTTCAACACCTGTGTTGAGGCTGGAGTGTTCCAAACTGCACTCAATGTCTCAGATACACACATAACACGAGTGCAACTTCTTTCAACTTGGAGCCATAGAAATTTACAGCACAGAGTAACGCCATTCAGCCCATCGTGTCTGTGCTGGTTCTTTGAAAGAGCGATCCTTACAATCCTATTGTCCTGCCTTCTTCCTCCATTCCCCTCCCCTACCACACACCGTCTCCCCCCCACTCCCCATACCCTTGCAGATTATTCCTTTTTGGACTAGGTTATCTATCCTCGTGGAATTTAAACCAGGGGGAAGGGGGAGGGAAAGATTCCGCACACTAAACAGAGAGGTTAATACTCTTACATGTGACAGGGTGCCTTATAACCTCATTGAACCGTTGAAACAGTTTACATTTATATAGCATCGTTCACGTCGGGAGGACATCTCAAAGGGTTTGTTCTCATGGGAATAAACACTCTGAAGTAGATAGTGTCAGAGTAGACTTCCCATCAGTTGGATTATGAAGGAATTGCCACAGTTTAAACCCCCCACAATCAGTAACGCACATCACTACAGCTCACAGAGGTTAGTGTGGGAGTTAAAGTCGCAATCAATTGATCACTTAACATCCTGCCAATTGGTCTGCGATTGTATATGGTGCCTGTGATTCTTCATTTTGCTGCCCACAAACTGGTGGGTGAATTGCTGTTCATATTACTAGTAGCCAGACAGAGAGCTGGTTGAGGTTAACTCGGGTCAGGAGAAGTGAGTATCCACGTTTAGGATTCACAGACCTGGAAACGTTCCTTTTTCTAAGTAGAAACACTTGTAAAGTGAGGGTCATCAGAAGATTACCTCGACTCTGGAAGTGATTAGCAACATCGGGCACAAGTGGCCACAGGGTGAAAGAATGCTTTCAACAAAACAATTTTTTACTATAAATTCAAAAAGGCAAAGATACTGTACATAGGAGCCAGCTAACAATCTGCCATTGATGCCAAACATCACACTGTAATTACTAGAGCAGACACTATGTCATCATTGGTTCCAAGTCTTCCCAGCAGAGAGCAAAGCCTTTACTGAAACACTTTACTGAAACACTTGGAGTAGATGGAAGCCGGCCGGTCTCAATTAGTTGCCGAAATAACGTTCTGATGTGTACCATATTCTACTTATTGTTTATTTTGTGTGGCGAGTCTGGTCTTGCTGAACAAACTTCTTTCAGAAGAGACTTGAAGCCTACCTAAGAGGGAAATGGAGTGGACTTGAGAGGATTTGGAGGGGTCGGAGGTATAAAAGAAACAGCATGGAGAGGCCAAATGGCTTGTTTCCATGGTTGTAACACTTTTATATGCAAGTGGACTGACCTGGTTTTCAGCCGCCACCTATTCTCTCCCTAAAACAAAAGCTCCAGCTACTTACTTGAACAGTAGTGTTGGCTCTGTTGATCGGCCAGCGTCTGCCTGCAAACATTAAGAGTGTAAAGGAATTCAGTAAAGGAATTATAAATCGAGCCCATTTTCCTGAGTTGACTGAATCATTCGACCTCACCCATTAGGTCTTGTGATGCAAAAAGGAAAGCGTCTGTGGTTTGAGATCTCGCATTCTGTCAGCAGACATCAAACCGTCGGTGTCGTTGACTGTTGTGCATTGCCGCACCTCATATTGCTGCAGTTCAGCCTCACGCAAGGTGGCATCAACTTTCTGCTTTAAAGTTACAGGGAGAGAAGTAAGAAGGGAGTTTTTATATATTTTTTTTTAAATTCAGTGTTGGAAAAGCAGCCTTGTGCGAGGGCTGGGCTCTGTGGGCTTAACAGCTGAGCCTTCTGGGCAGCATCTTCTCTTGTGAGTATCATTATCCATGGATCAAGGCATATCGAAGAGACTGGAATCAGTTCCATTTGTCAGAGTGACCTGGTCCTGACATAGATTTCAGTTGTTCTGTTTGCACAGGATAGATGGACTATGCCTTAAAATCCCTCGTCCCTTCTGCTCCACCATCAGCGGCCACACTTTCAACCACCGCGCCCCGAAGCGTTGGAACTGTCTCCCCCCAATCGCTCCACCTTGCCCCCTCCTTCCCCTCTTTTAGATTGAGACTAAAGCTTTTCCTCTTCGACCGTGCTCTGCCCATGCTTGCAAATTATGCCTGAATTAATGAACCTGAGTGCAATTCTGCGCCATCTTAAACGTTTCAAACAAAATCGTCTTACAGGCTTAGCTTGGTGGAATTTTGGTCCTGTGGTGTGAAAGATTCTGGGTCAAGTTTTATAAGGACAGCCATAGACGAACATTAATCTCAATGCTACATTTGCTTGCGTCCATTGGATTGTACTTTGAGTGTTGGAGGTTGTAGGGTATATTTTTTTTTGCATGAAATTATGTAGAAATGTTCAAATGTGGACCACAAAAACATGATTACAGAGTGCAACTCAAACGTCGCAATGTTCTAGAACTTGTCTCCACAACGGGTTTATTTTGTGTTAAATTGTAGAGGAAATCTTAGACTCCACTCTTCATCGCAGTTTCTGCAGTTTGACAAAGTCCCATTGAAACTGTAGAAATGTTCTCATTAAAACCAAGCAATTGTGAACAAAAATTACCATTTTCCAATTAAACCTGCAGCAAGGCTGTTACAATCTCAGACTCATATTTCATACTTAATTCTCAGCAATTATGCTCGACTTGAGCACACAGTGCTCCAGTGTTTCACCAGAATCGGCTTAATATTTAAGCTGCGTCTTGAACCAGATGTATTTGAAGTGTTTTTTTCAAAAAAAACATAATTTAGACGACTCAAGTTCCAATGGTTCAAACGTCTTATCATCTGTCCTATATTCGGTGTGTAGCACTCTCGCCTCTGAGTCAGTAAATAGCTTTGAACTCAAAGAACGCAGTGTTGGGGAGCGCTGCATTGTTGGAGAGGCCTTCCTTTTTGGATTAGATGTTTAAACCAAAGTCCTGTCTGCCTGTTCAGATGGATGTTAAAAGATCCCACGGCACTCTCCGAAAAGAGAAGGGAGTTTCTCCTGGTTCCCTGGCAAACAATTGGCCGTGTAAAATCACTCACTCACTTCAAGGCTACTTGTGTGCAAATTGTCTGCCGTACAAAAGATGCATTCCCTACACTTTACGGTAAATTCCCCAAAGCGCTTTGAGACGTCTTCCTGGCGTGAAAAGCGCTGTACAAAATGGAAGGATTATTAATTTCCTCGATAGAAAACCTCTCTGCAGAAATTAAAATTTTGGACTCCTGATATGTGAGTCTGTGTCTTGCATTCCTTTTAATCCCAGTTCCAGCTGTTCAACATCACAAACAAAGCTGTGCACGGTCCTTCTCCTACTCTTTTGTAGTCAGCGATTATTGCTGAGAGAATGGAATCCAGGTCTGTTTTATCTTTATCTTTATTAGTCACTGTATTTACAGCTGTAAATTCAAAACAATTCAGCTCAGTTAAGATACACAACAGATGTGTTTTTTGTTAGTAGATATGGTGCAACTTTTTTTTAAAAAAAGTCTTTAATTCTAAGGCCGGTTGATTGTTGGCTACCGAAATCCTCAGACACGAATAATAGTATAATATTAATGCATGATAATTTGTGACTTTGATATAGCGCCTTATCACGTCATCGAAACACCCTAAAGCACATCGCAGGATTTAATATAAAATGTTGTGACTATGTATTTGTAGGTAAACGTCCCACAAGCAGCTGTAGGAGAGATTGAATTGTCTACCAGGACCCGAGAGGAACCTCCATCAAAGTGTTTTTTTAAGCAGGGTGCTTTGCGGCTGACCGGGAACTGTACTTGTCCATCATTTTAGGGAATACTTGTGGGGGGGAAATAATGAAGCTGCCAGTTAATCCCACAATAGATCAGAAATGCAAACGTCAGCCATCAGGGATCGATGATGGAAACAGACACAAGCTCTCTTACTTTCTATAATTAGCTCCTGTGAAAGCTTTATCTTTGTACTGTATTTCCCAGGGAACAGATGTGATTGCAATTGCTTGACTGAGGTCCATATGTGTTGCGAATTGGAATTGCGTGTGTGTGTGTGTGGGGGGGGGGGGGGGGTGAGTGTGGCAGTTAATGTGCAAGTATTTGTCTTTTTCGATGTTATTTTATACAATGCTATTTACACGTATATACAGGTTGGACACGTATAATAGGAATAATCCTTAATAATTCTTGCATTTGATATACCACTTGATCACTTCGTTGAGACATCTCGAAGCGCTTCGCAGGATACATTGCAAAGTTTTAGTGACTTGTATTTTGTGGGCAGCCACTTGCGCACAGCAGCGTCCCGCAAACAGTCGTGGATTTTGTGCACGATAAGTATTCCTTGTCTTCAACGTAACTGTGCTTTATTTTTTTGTTTCTCCCCCCCTTCAGAGTTCTGAGGATACAACCTCGAGAACGTACACGAGATCCACCTTGTCTTGGATCCTCACTAAAGGCTCCACCAGGAACGTTCCCAATGCTAATCCAGCTGCTACAAGCTATAGCCCAGAGAGAAGGGTCCCAGATGGTCACCATAAGAGCACTGGCCTGCTCAACCTGACTTACAACCCGATCACAGACACCGTGCGAGGCCGGGCCGGTGCCAACGTCAGCAGCCACATGCGTGTGGTAAAGGCTAAGGGTGGCCCGAATTCCGTTCTCCTGCTCCCCGGCTCCGAGCGTAAAAGTTCGCTGAAGGGAAACAGCAGGTTGGATGATTTAAGGGCTGCTGTGAAACCGGATCAGTCCGTTGGAGAAGAATTCCTCATCTCCACGTCGGAAGATCACACGGTGATCGGGCTCGAGCCAAAGGGAGCCGGGGTGTTGCCGATGGTTTCCGACAAGCTTTCTGCATTGTCCATCCCAACCCCACGAGGTGCCGTCCTTCCACGAGGTGAAGGAATTGCCTTAGAGCACCACAAAGATCTTCAGGACGAACGCACTCGGAACGCGAAGCAGCCAAGCTGGTACAGAACGGAGTTTGACCTGAATGTCGCAGAGCACTCCGGAGGAGAGGATGACAAAGAAGGGAGTGAGGAGTGGGAGCAGAGGGAATTGACCGACCGGTGGAGCGTTAACTGGTCCGCGAAGAGCACTGCCGTCCCCACACTAATCGGCCCAGAGCGTAACGGGCAATCGGGCAGGAGAACAGGTCCTCCAGGGCCAACTGGTCCAGTAGTAAGTAAATTGAGGTGTCAACACAAGGCAGGGGAGGGCAACGAGATCTTGACTTGCCAAGACACTTGCGGGCTTTGCGTCAATGCGGGGAGGATGTTGTGGGGGGGAGCTGCTATTCACCTGTCCGTTTTTAAAAAAAAACATACCCAAAACGAAAGAGGGGGGAAAAAAAAGGGAGGAATGGTTGGTATCAAATTTACTAGCAACGATTTGGAGCAAAGAAATGCCAGAAAAATGAAATGGCCATTTCTTTCTCCTCCCAACTTCCCCCCCACCCATAAAAGCAAACAAACAAAAAATAACTAGAATTCCACTTCATTGCAGTTTGTGTCTTAAGGGCGCGTTAATTCCTGCTGTGTTATTTAATTTGCTGTAGGGTTAGGGCTGGGGTGAGGGGTTCACTGTTGTTAGGACGTGTGCCTTTGAATTGTAAAAGTGGTATATTTTTGTTGAGGGTTTCTCCTCCGCCAATTGTTTTGCCATTGATGTGTCAAAAACTCTTAGTTTCAAATTTAATCTCATTTAATGGCCAAGGATGACATATCTGTACCTGGTTTATAGCTTCAGTGGAGAGGGTTTTTTGGGGGAAGTCAAGGTCAATACAAAGCACATTACTCAGCCTTTCCTGATCAAGAGGGGAGTTAATTGCTCCTGACAATTTCCTCTCTCCGCACGATAGCGTGAACTGGAGAGTCTACATCGTAATAACCTTCATGTTAGGTCTATTGCGGTTTATCTGGGTCCGTAGGAATAGGAGGAGGCCTTTCAGCCCCTCGAGCCTGTTCCGCCATTCTATTAGATCCTGGCTGATCTGCACCTCAACTCCAATTATTATTCAGATCTTTCTGTCCGATCACTAATAATAATAAGTAACGATAATAATAAGTGTTACTGTGAAACACTCCGAGACATTACTGTACGCGAAAGGAGCCTAAATCCAAGTTGTTGTGTTGCTAGAATGTTTGTTCAAGTCTGGTTTATGCTTGGTGTGGTTTTTTTTTATTACTGCAGTGAATTTGCACGGGGATTCAAGTGATTATTACAAACCACTTCAAACGAACGACTTGCCTTTTGGTGCCACCATTTAACCCTTCGAGGCTAAACGTTTGCTTTCAGGAGTTCATTGTTTAATCTCGATGTTTCCCTCTTAATTTTTTCTTGTGTGTCACTTCAGGGTGAACCTGGGCCTCCAGGATATCCAGGACCTAAAGGAGACAAAGTGAGTGTTTAGGGCAGTGACTTTGTTAAGAAATCCCGACTGAAAGAAACATGTTAAAGACTTGATTGACTTTTGTCAATTTCTTCAGCAATACGCAAACTATGTCTCTGGGTTTTACACAGTGGGGGGTTTCTTTATTCCCCTTCAATCTCCCCCCCACCCCCCCCATTCCCATGTAAATGGGTTCAGTCTCTTGGGATAGTTAATAGATAATGGGCAGCTCTTTCAGAGATGAGCTGAATGGCCTTTTGTTTCCCCCTCTCTATACTGTAAATGCTACAGTTTCTGAGGGGATTATCATAGAATCTCACAGCACAGAAGGAGGCCATTCCACCCATCGTGCCTGTGCCGGCTCTTTGAAAGAGCTACCAACTAGTCCCGCTACCCCCCCCCCCCCAACCCCGCTCTGACCCCATAGCCCTGCAAACTTTTCCCCTTCATCTCCCATGCGGTGTTTTCCCAGCTGGGGCGGTGTCACTCCTCACACCACGTGCTGTGGTGAAATATTGGCGATCTTACTGGGTGCGCACATCAACTCATGATGAATGTGTGAGGAAAGTGGGAGATGAGTTGGCGAGTTGTGCGTTTTATGCTTCGATAGATTTAATAGCTGCCGTGGTGGAGGGACCCAAGGCTCATCCACTGGAACTCTTTGCAATGTGTTTCCTGTTTTATTTAAAAAAAAACCCACAAGATTTAACAGCACCCAGACTGAGTCTGATGTTTTCTAGGAACTTGGCCCAAACCAAATTAATGTTAACCCTGAAAGGATTTCACACAGATGTTCTTATGACAATTCATAATCCTCACATTTGATGTTGGATCCTTTTACTTCGGAAAGGATGTCTCAAAACGCTTTACAGAATCTGCTGGGAGCCTGAGCTGGGGCGGGGCAGGGGGGGGGGTGGGTGGGTGGCAGGTGCGGGGAGGAGGGTGGGAGGGGTGGGGGTGAGTGTTGGAGGGAACCAGAAGAAGAAAGGTGACCAAAAGCTCGGGTGAAACGGAAGGTCTTAAGGTGGGCTTTAAAGGTTGGGAGGGAAAGGAGACGAGGCGGAGGGAGGGATAGAATTCCAGAGAGAGAGAGAGCGAGAGAGAGAAGACTGCTCTCAGTTGATGCTGTAAAGTGTGTTTTTGTTTGTTGGCAAACGCTCACATACGTATATAAACGTAAATGTGCGTGAAATGGCCCAGTTCCAGTTGATGCGGTCGCCTTCGATGTCACTTCCTGCAGCGAAAGGGGGTCCCACTGTGCAGCTGAGTGATACACAAACTCGCGCCATAGTGAAGCTCGTCACACCGCGAGACGCATTGCAATCGATCAAACAATAATCCTGCGGTTTGATACCGAGCCTTATTGACGCAGTCGGAATGTCTCAAAGCGCTTTGCGGGATGGTACGAACGCGTCGCTGTTTGGTGAACAGCTCCCAGTGATGTAATCGGTGGACGATTGCGGTGTGTTTCAGGGTTATTCCGGTGCCGTGGGACGGACAGGGCAAACTGCTGCCCCTGGACTCCCCGGCCCGCCTGGCGCACCCACAATCTTACTGTGGAGGAATTCAGACGAAGATTGGCTTACCTTCTCTGTGAGTAGAGTTTCCAGAAGCTGCTGCGCTTTCAATGCCTTCCACTCACTTTCTGATCAGTTGTACAGTAATAATATCATAATAATGTAATAATAGTAATATAATAATAATAGTTATAATGATAATATAACAATAATAATCGCAATCCTTGCGTTTGATGCAGCGCCTTTCACGGCGGGAAAACATCTCAAAGCACTTCACAGGATACAGTTCCTCAAAGAAGCTGCAGCTGGTTTACTGTTGAAGGGCATATTTCACCTCAAGCCAATATGTGACCAGCCCCACACCAGATATTTATTTGTTTCCATATGTGCTTTAAAAATACAACCAAATTGAAACCAGAAAGTGCCTCTCACAAAGTTTTCCTATTCACCTCCTCCCTCTCAAATGGGAGGCGGTTAATTTTTCCATCGCTTGTCATTTTCTGTTTACAAATTGCAAAAAGCGGTCATGCTAAAATACCTCGCTGGCTCCCATTAGAACCAACGTGTCATTAGTTGGGAGGCTTAGTGCATTTAACAAGTTGCTCGTTTTACTCCAGGCAACTTAGAACAGCAGATATGTACAGCACAGAAGAACAACTAGTTCCACTTACACAGCGCCTTTCACGTCGGGAGGACGTCCCGAGGAGCTGGACAGTCAGGGATTTGGAAAGACATTTGGCCCGTCGTGGCTGCATTATTTTGACTGATGGTTGGTGTAGGAAAGGGACAGAGGTGTGTGGTGGTGGCTGGGGGAGAGGGAAGCATGTTTGGATGCTCTTCTGCAGGTGACAGCCAAGTTTTGAGGTGCGCTCCATTCTCTTCATGATACTTCTTGGTGCGAAACTCCTCAACCATCCCATCCTTGAGCATCACCTGGCCACCAAGTCTGGGGAAGGTAGCCAGGAAGTGAAGCCTGCCCGATCGAAACTGTCTTGCACGTCGATATGCGTCCAGAGTAATTGTCCCGCAAAAAATGGGGGGAGGGGGGGTGTGTGGTCTGCCAACACTCCTGCCAATGGAGCCCCTCAAGGTGTCTCCTAAATCACAGCCCCCGTTTGGCTTGACATCCCTCAGCCCACTGCCCTCCGAGCACGTCGTTTAGAGCCGAAGGTCTCGGAAAGCTGTACAGCACATTTACGCCCATTCAGCATTTTGAGCGCCTCGAAGGGGCAAAGGTTCCATCAATGCAAGTGACAACCTGCAGGATTTTAAAAAGTACCAAGATAAACAGGCTCCTGACTTCCTGAACAGGAATGTCTGCCTTCACTGCCCGCACGGGTCGCAACCTCCCATTGGAAGGGTCAAAGAGCTGGAAGCAAGAGAGAGGCACGTGCTGGAGATATATATTAAAGCGACAGCAATGAATGGGAGGTTATTACACTGAACAATGCCACGTTATTGTAGGATAACGGACTGATGCCTTAATAAAAGACGAGACGGACGGCGATTTAATCTTTTCCCCCTCTGTCAGCGGGTGCCCTCCAAACCTCGGTACCTTTCGTTCCCTTTTCGTTCGTCACCCCGTTTAAAAAAATATCAAGCGCTCTGTATTTCGGGAAGCTGGAGACCTGATGTTTCGCGCTTTTCTTCTCAACAGCAAACCCCCATCTATCAGATGCTGCAGTCGGGCTGGCCTGTAAGTACAAGAGTATCTGTGCCTGTCTATGCTGTAGTCCTGCACGTTAACAGGCACGTCAGGATCAACACTGCCCCACAGGGAATAGCACACAGCACCTCGGGCAGAGCATCGCGCGAACCACACGCACACACAGCCACAGCCTCGCCCACGGTGACTTACCTGCGAGCGGCTCGAGAGAAGGGAATTGGAGGGGGTAAATGTGGAGCAACGGTTTGTGAAGGAGTTTTGATGAGGAGGAGAATAGCCTGCTTGTCGCCTGCCTGAGTAATGTCCAGGGATTAATTGAGAATAAACGCACCTCTGTGTTGAACTGAGCTGTGAGAATTGCAGGCACACATTTACTTTCCTTTCTACACATCAGAGTTCAACTTTACGCCATCTGTGACCTGAACGGGTTTGATTTACTAACGATCCTCGTGTTACCTTGCGATTATTTCCAAACCATTTTTATTTAAAAAATTTTTTTTTTTACACAGAGTCATTATGGCCCTCCAGGATCTCGTGGACGTCCGGGGACCCCAGGAATTCCTGTAAGTATGAACGAGAACTCGTGCTTTATTCTTCTCACTCTCAATCCAATGTCTTCGTCGAAATTTAGGGCACAGAAGAAGCCCTTTCGGCTCATCGTGTCTGTGCCGGCTCCTTTAAGAGCATTCGTTTTAGTCCCATTTTCCTGCCCTTTTCCTCCACGTTGGTTTGTGACAAATCCCACATACCCACTGTTCTCTCGTGTACATTTTTTTATTATTATTATTATAGCCAATTAACTTTAGAGCCACTTGAAACTGGTGTTGAGTAACTCTGTTCTTGTGGGCCGTTGGTGACAGTGTGACGATTCTTTACTTAAACAGGGTGTTCCAGGAATACAAGGAGATTCAGGAAGTCCAGGCTTCAGGGGAGAGGAGGTAAGTGCAACCCACATCCCCGGCTCTTTGTTCTGCAGGTCGGTCAGCGTGTGGAGCTCGAGGTCACTGGGTGGGGGCTCACATAGGCAACGCAGGAGATCAGGCTCCACCTGCACGAGAAGATGTTTGAGCTCAGCCGAGAAGCTCTCCCGTCGCTTGGCGACTGAGGTTAGCGGCCCTTGTTGGTTCTCGAACGAACCGGGTCAGCTCAACGTTGAATTTCTGCCAGCTCAAATTGGGCTGCAAGTTCACCAGGTCACGGCAATGTTTTTTGGATGAAGAAGAAAGACAATTACCATGATGCCAATCGATTGAGCACCTCACGCACTCTCACACACACACAGGTCTTTTCCTCCGGTCCCGTCTTTGGAATAGAATCACACAATTCCTCTACATAGCGGAGCCTGGGATTCTACCTTGTCGCTCTTTCAAGAAAATCTTGTTTAAGAAACGATTTGGGTGATTGTGTGATTTGCGTCAGTCAGAGTTTCATAGCAGGTGCATTGTGCTATGAACACAGTCACTACACTTTACAGTAAGATGCTGAGACATCCTCCCTGTGGCGCTGTATCAAACGCAAAGAGTATCATTGGGATTATTTTGTTAGAGCGTTCACAGAATGTACTCTATACCGTGGAGTGGTTGTGGACTTTGGAACTGTTAGGAAGTGGTGGGTGCGCGGAGTAAGAATGAATCGAGGCTTATTTATGCCACATTTTGTTGACAAGATGCCTAATTAAAAGTCTTGAAGCCTTGAAGCTTTTGTAAGTCTCCGTTATACGGCTGATTAGAAAGGGACAAACGCAGCTTCTGCTAAATGGAATGGCTGTACATAATTTATCAACTCGCTTTTATCCAGACTGATGTCGGAGTAAACGTACATTGAATGGGGTGAAACATCAGGGATCTGTTTTAATGGTGTTACACTGCCACCTAATGCGTAAAGCCCAGTATTGCTTACAATACATTTATCCGCAATCATTTTATTATCACTGATAATAACAACAGTAATAATCCTTGCGTTTGACTGTTTGGGTGAGACTTTAAACCAAAGTCCAGTCTGATTACAGATCCCACGGCACTATTCAAAAGAGAAGTGAGTTCCTCTCTCCCAGTGTCCCTGGTCGACAATCCCCCCCCCCNAGATAAAAATTGATCACTCGCTTCATGGCTGGTTTGCGAAGAATTGCTGTGCGCAAATTGGCTGCAGCATTTGCTTATAAAATACACCTCACAGCAAATCGCTGTTACCCGCTGTGCTAAATGCGAGGATTACTACAATTATTATTATTATTTTACTATTAAACACGTGATATTGTGGAGTTTGAGATGTCTGAGGAGTCTTTTGAGGAGAGGGGTGGAGGGGAGAGAGTAATATAATAATAATCATAATAATTATCCTTGCATTTGATATAGTGCTTTTCACGTCTTCTCGACGTCTCAAAGCGCTTCACAGGATATGCTGTAAAGGGAATTGACTGTTTATCTGTGGGCGAGTAAAACAAATAAGAAAATAATAATGACAATAATAATAATGGGGATTTACAGCTAAGGTAATTCTTCAGGTAACTCTGTGAGCAAAGCACTTCAGATTTCCAAAGGCAGATTCCCCAACAAAAGCTTGCCACACACCCAGCTGTTAATGTCACACCACCCGCTTGTGCCCTTTGCAAACCGCCAGAGAGCTGCTCTGGAATACCATACCTGTTGTTAAGTGTCAGATCTCTTCAATCGCTCAAGCCTTTAACCACAGGCTTCAGTGTTTCAGGGTCAGGATCTCCTGCAGTATTGTGCAGAGAATCGGCTGCTGTTGAACTCTAGCATCGCAGCTCTCTCACCCTCGCTCCTTTATAGACGTGTCCGTGTTACTGCGATTGCCCTACTCGCTCTATTGTCTCAGGGACACTACACACGGCTATTAGAGACAGAGGGGAAAGGAAAGGCGGGGCAGGTTCAATTGGCTTTCCATTGCCGAAAAGGACCGGAGAAAAGGACCTGCTGCCAGAGCGCTGAATACTTATTTATATCGCAAATTACTATCATCGGCCTCGCAGTATGAATTGGTTCACAAGGAAGGGAGCTTTGAGGTCACTCCGTGTTTGTGGAGACGCTGTTGTGCGCAATTGGCTGCCGCGTTTCGCCCACACAATACACAGACAATTCACTTTACAGCATATCCTGTGAAGCGCTTTGAGACATCTCAACCACCTGATAAGGCGCCGTATCAAATGCGAGGAATATTGTTATTATAAACTTGTAATCTCTTTGCTTCTGATAGCAATCTCCAGCCCCTGTGGGTTCATGACTGTATGTGTGAGCAGGTGTGAGCGTCTGTTTTTCCGATTTGACTGTGATACCAACATGGTTGAAGGCTCTTAGATGTATAGTAGCACTTGAGTGAACTGCTTGGAGGTGTGTGTGTGGGTGGGGGGATGCTGAAATGTCTCCCAGTAAAAGAAAATAGGTGCCGAGCCAGAATGCCTCCAGGAGAAGAGAGACAGATGTATTTCAAATGAAATGGAAAGAGAGGTCAGATAAATAGACAGTTTAAGGTGGGGGGGCAATGCCGTAATATTTAGCGAGTGCCAAAAACAATTGCACAAACCTTTCCCAATTGAGATATCAGTCAACTCTGGCCTCTAAGTGCAACCTGGGCTGTCAGAGAGAGAGACAGACAGATGGGCAGATACAGAGAATCATCAGGTTTTAGCCTGGGGTGGACGTGGATGGATGGACGTGTGTCAGCCTTCACTTGGGGCTGTCAATCACTGCTGTCTGCTGACCTCGTCTTCCATTGAGTTTGCCGAAACTTTCAATTACCGAAGCTTATGCTTTGTTTCATGATTGCTGTTGAACGCAGAGGTTGATCCTTAGGGCTCAGGGACTTACCCTCCAATCGCCTCTCAGCCTTACACGAGTGGCAGGGAATCGGCCGATGCTGAACTCAGCATCGTAGCTACTCGAACCCTCGCTCAGTCACAGAAGTGTCTGCGTCACTGCTGTTGCTTTACTCGCTCTGTTGTTAACACGTATTTTGTGAACCATCTTCATCCTGAAGTAATAACGATTCCTCCCCCCCCTCAAGCAGAGTGTGAGTGAGTGGAGTGTGAGTGATCTGTGCAAGGCATGCAAATGCACTGTGAGAGAGAACGAGAGAGAGAGAGAGAGAGAGCGAGAGAGCGCGGCTTCAGTTTCAAACCATTTCGCCACTTGGCACCTGTGGCTCGCGTGAGGGATGGGAGAGTCGTCTTTTTAATAAAGAAGAAAAATATCCCGAGCTGGCAATTTGCGGCGAGTTAATGAGCGGAGCGAGATTTGAGTTGGTCCAAGTCTCATCAGTCCAGGGTTGGTTGTCGGAACTTCACCCTTAAACCCTGTGCCAAAATGTTCCCTTATGCATTTGTAAAACCACAACAAACACACTGCCACTCGCTCGATGTGGCCTGATTGATTGATTGATTGATTGATTGGAGTGGAGACCTGTAGCTCAGTGGTTAGAGCACTCGCTTTGCAAGTGAGAGACCTGAGTTCAATTCCAGGCAGAGGGCGAAACCTTGGGCAAGTTTCCTTACTCCACACAGAGCCTAATAATAATCCCTCCAAAACAAAACAATAATAAATTGGTCATTTTCAATCTACAACGCTTTGTGGGACATTACTGTGCGCAATTGGCTGTCGCGTTCGCCCACAAATATACAGTCAATTCACTTTACAGTGTGTTCTGTGAAGCGCTTTGGGACGTCCTCCCGACGTGAAAAGCGCTACATCAAATGCAAGGATTATATTATTATTGATTGATTGATTGGTGTCTCGCACAGTAATGGGCTCACTTCCAGGAAGCCACTAACGTACACAAGTTGTCACAGGTTCAGGAGCTGCTGGAAGTCGCATCAACCTGCTGTGCATCAGCCCACATTATCTCAATTTATTTTTCTCATCTGTGCAACCGTCTGTGACACATCTGAACCTTTCTGCGCCCCTCGCCACCCCCCCTCACTGCACAGCCCCATTAGTAACCGGACCAGCCTTCCACCACTCCACGAAAGTCGAGGCTCAAGCTATTTGCCAGCAGGCACAATCAGCCGCGTCTTAATTGTCTTTGATTTCCTTGCCTCCTCTTTGAAGGGCCTCGTGGGGCCGAGGGGATTGCGAGGAGCTCCCGGTCGAAAGGGATTGGACGGAGATCCCGGAGAAGGGGGCTCGCCAGGACCCCGGGGCCTGACCGGAGAACAGGTAAACCTTACGGGGTGAACCGGCGCAGGTACAGGAGACCGAGGCTGAGTGAGCGATCAGCAGAAGACCTCGGGTTAATGTCTCATCCGAAGCGTAGCATCTCTGACAATGCAAGTGCACCCTCCACCCATCTCCCCCAGCACTGCACTGGGGTCCCAGCCGATAAAATCAGCTCAGAGTCCCGACGCCGAGGATCTCTCCCCGCCTCCCCCCATTGCCAACCCCCCCCAGACAAAGACTGTGACCGACTGAGCCAGCGGACAGCGTGAACACACGCACGTACACACAGCGGACATTCTGTGGAACAAAACTTTGTTTAGCTGTGCGTTCAGATTAAATCACTCCTGCCTTAAGGCTGCCTTACTTCAGAGTAAATAAATAAGGAGATGTTGACCCCGGAGAGTTGACTTTGAGTGTTGGTAAACCATGTAAGGTGAGATATTTGAACCAGGGATTTAAACTAAGTTTGGATCCAGTTCAGAGGAACTGTTGTGTTGGAAGGAACTTGATGTGTGTTCTCAGGTTTGCTTGATGCCCAGACACTAGCCATGAGGACAGAGTCAAACCTTACAGAAAACCACTGAGCTAAAGCGTCTGTTGATGTCGGGTTATGTGTTGACGTTAAGCTCTCCGAGATGCTACCCTGCGTGAAGGGTGCTATATAAACGTAAGTTGTTGTTGTTGTTGTAGGGACCGCAAGGCTACATGGGAGAGCTGGGAATCACTGGCGATCGAGGGGAGCAAGTAAGGCTTTGATCCTTTGATCCATTAAAGACCCTTCTTTAAACACAAGTAAAACTTGGGTTTATTCCTGTAAAACTGTCAATCCACTTGACGGTATACCCTGCGAAGCGCTTTGAGACGTGATAAGGCGCCGTGTCAAATGCAAGCATTAATATTATTATTAATATTATATTATTGTTGTTGGTGTGGTGAGGTGACGTGTGAGTGTTGGTGCAGGTCGCTCCATGTGCTAACGGATGCTTTACCTTGCAGGGTTTCTGTGGACTGCCGGGAGAGCTCGGGGACAAAGGACAGAAAGGAGAGAAGGTATTTTTTGTCCCGGGTGGATTGTTGCTATGAAGCAGAACGATTGAGAGGGTGAGAACGCACAGTTTAAAAAAAAAAAAAAAAGGAACAGCCCTGAGTAGCCAAATACTTTATTAAACCAAAATGTGCCTCGGTGCGACATTTTCATTTAATCTTTTACCCGTCCCTAACGTCAACACGGTCAACCCTTGACCGGTCTCTGATGTTCAGAAATGTGCAGTGCAACGTACTGTGGAGCATCGGAGGGAGAGTTGTCAGCCGGGCAATGTAATTTGCACTAAAATGCAGTGCGGGTGCAAGCGTGTGATTCCAATATCTCTGTTGCAATGCAAACATCAGAAATATGCTTACAGAAATGACCAAAACGTTCCATTTGATATCATTCAGTTTAATCATGATTATCATAATTTCTTTGAGACTCGTTAGACATTGTAATGGTATCACGACTTTTTTGGTCACCCTGTGTATAAAGCTCTCCCTTTCCCCTGTGTATCCCGGTAGACGTCGAAGCTGCTGTTTGTTAATTGTTTTAACGTGTATTAAACACCAACCTGACGTGCTCCGCATTGACCGCTTTATGCAGAGAAACTCCACACCTGCAGCGCTATTGCACGGTTGCACTTGTTGCAGTTACTAATTTGCGCTGTTGTGTGCCAGGGCGCCAGAGGTGTATTCGGACTTCCTGGCTCAGTTGGGGCTCCTGTAAGTATCGGATTTGTTTTTATTTTTTTTTAGCTCCAACGCTCGGAATGATCAGTGCTTTACAAACGTGCCTTTTGCCCGCAAAACACACGCGGCCACATTACTTTGCAGCACAGTACGTTCCCGTGAAGCGCTCTGAGACTGCTCGACCTCGCGATAAGGCACTATATCGATTGCAAGAATTATTTTTTCCACCAGGGAAAGGGAAGCGAGTATTGGATCGTTGTGTGCGCGTGTGTGTGTGTTGGGGGGTGCTGGGGGGGAGAGGAGGTGGGATTGATTTTGTGTGTGTGTGTGTGTGTTTGCAGTCCAGTTAGTACCATTCCAACAAATAATCGCGATTTCTATGACCGACTCCATTCTGGGAGCCCAAAGTTGGTGTGTTCGGTCCGTGCTCTCGGTTCTCATTAAATACAATGTGATTTGTTTGTTTCAGGGCATAAAGGGATTGAAAGGGGGACCAGGTTTACAGGGACACAGAGGCCCAGCAGTAAGTATCAGCACGTCAGTGATTTACATTTTCCCTAATGTTTGAAAGGTTTCGGAAAATCACAAGATTGATTTGGATGAAGAAGGACCTTTCCACCCATCCAATCTCATCCTTCCAGAACACCCAACCCCCTCCCCTCCCCGCACTGGTTTCAAGTTAACTTTCAAGTTAACTAACTTAAAGTCATCCCTCTTCAGGAAAGCGCTGAAGGCAAATGGGATGTTGGGTAAAGCCAACGTACCGTGTTCGCTTGTTAATGTCATGCACATCCTGAGAAGCTCACATCCAGGTTTGTCTTTTAAAGGAGTTTGGAGAGCCAGCAAAATGGCCTCGCACCAATATACTTCTGTGCCAATAATCTTTATTGAGCTCCTGATGCATTGAATTTTTGTGGAAATGTATTTTGCAGGGAGACCGCGGGATAATAGGACCACCAGGTCTGGCCGGGCCTGAGGTACGTCTGTTTCTACGCAACTAGAGAGTAAATAAAGCATGCAGTGGGTTTTACCCTCCCCCTCACACCTCTCGCTGGCTGCCACGTTTGCTTACACAATACACAGTCACTTCACAGGGAAAGCTCTGTGCAGTGCTTCGAGTTGTTTTGAGGGAGTGGCCGCAGGGCCAAATGCAAGAGTTGTTATTAACCTGGTTAACAAGATTAACAGCAACAAGTTGCATTTATAATACAGCGCCCCTTCACACCAACCGGGGAACATCTCGGGGCCATGGATGGGGAATGAGGGAATATTTATTTCTGATCTGTCACTTCCTGACAACTTAAACATTCTTTTTTTATGTTGCCCTTAGGGTGACGCAGGACCTCCGGGACCCAGGGGAGTGCCAGGGGTCAATGGCACTGAGGTTTGCTCGCATTTCATTAGACCCTCTCACTCATATTCAAATCCCTTGTACCCCGGCACCTCTCCGACCTGCTTACCCCCACCTTCCCGCCCAACACCGACCTCCAACACCCGCTGCCTCCGCACTCCTCTTTGTCCCTCGTCCCCTCCGCTCCACCATCGTTGGCCGCTGTTGGTCGAGTGACGGGTGGAGCCGCCTTCGAGGTTGGGATCCCCTGCGCGGATTTCATTCTTCAGCACAAATGGCGCCATCTGGTATTTGATGCGTGGCAGGCGGGGAGAAGGGAGGGAAACCGAGGGACGTTTGGGATTCTCGTGCCTGACTGCTCGCTGCAATGCTCTACCTGGCCAGCCCCAGAGCGAGGCAACAAATTCCCTGTCATTTCCATCTCTCGTGCTCGTCAAAAAAGAAAGGTCTTTAGGTGGGATTTGAAGGTGGGGAGGGAGGGAGGGAGGGAGGCGGAGGGCTTGAGGGAGAGAGCGTACCAGGGCTTTGGATGTAGTCGATCACGATGCTCGAACGAGGCGATGGTCAGCACCGGCGACAGTGTGAGGGTTCAATAGAAAATCAGAGTTAATCCATATCCCGGAGCCAGGATGCCGATGTACCAAATGCAGGGAAAGAGTTGTTGTTGTTGCTGTCACCATTAGCTGCTGCGTTTCGCCCACAAAACACACCATCAATCCCGCTTCACAATATGTTCTGTGAAGCGCGTTAGGACGTCTCGACAATGTGATCAGGGGCTACATCAAATGCTAAGGATGATGATTATTATTATTATGAAAGGCCTTATGAATGCGGTAATTATCACATCACACCTCTCGTCCTGTGTGGCCTGACCACAGGCAATGACCAGAGTTGCAGCATGCTTGCCCTCGCTAGACTGGCTGCTCACAGTGAACAGATTGCACTGTGTGGTGGGGGGGAGAGGTGATCATGGCTGTTCTTCTGTTTCCTCACAGGGGGAAATTGGATCCCCGGGTTTACTTGGTCCGCGAGGCCCTCAGGTACAGTCCAGTTTCTCCCTTGTGTTCCTTCGTTCCCAATTGTCAAACCCCTTCAAGGTCTCGCCCCACCCAACCTCTGCCACCACTGGCCTAACTGCTCCCTTTGCTCAGCGGGCACCGGGCTTCGTCATGTCACCCGGCCCTCCCGCCCAAATCAGCCATCCTGCACTTGCTCTCGAGAACTCCATCCCAGAGTCCATTCCGACTCAGCCCCTCTCCCCCCCCACCCGCCCACCCTTGTTGAAGAGCCGTCTCGAGGTGCACCTACTTCTTTACCACGCTCTCGGTCACTTCTCCCCCTCCCCATCCCGCTCAGTTCCTCCGCACCATCACCCCCCACACCCCCTCCCCCCCACACCCCCTCCCCACACACACACTCCAGCTTGGCAGTGTCACGCACTCATGAGGTGTCCTCCCGAGGTGAGAGGCGCTGCATCAATGTAAAAATTGCTTTGTGCTGAACCGCTTGTAAATTTAAAATAGAACGAGTTGTAACCGCGTAAAAATTCAACCTGCTTACATTTACGTTTATTATCGTCGTAAAATGGAATGAAGTCATCGTAAAATGTTGTCCTGTTTTCTCTCCTGGCTCAGAGCCACGCTGTCCAGATGGACTAACATAACCCAGGAGACGTTTGTAGACTTGATGTTCCGTTATTCAGTTCATAGCGTTTAATAATCCAGACACTTTGTAGACCCAGGTCCATCTGTTAAAGCAATGATGTTAAAGCGCTTTGAGATGACTCCAGAACGTGATAAGGCACTCTATCAAATGCAAGGATTATTATTAGTATTATTATCATTATTATTATTATGACATCAATAAGAGCCCCTAGAAACGATCTGTGGTGCTTCTGATTGATTTGTAAATGGGCACAGACTGGATCGAGAAAGATAAAAGAGTGGTACAGTTCCGGCAATCATAACAAAGCTCAGCTGAGATCTTCTTCTGAGGTGTAATTTTATCTCGGTCTTTTGAGGGGATTCCCTGGTGAAAGCGATCAGAATACATACGGAGTAAGTGTGTGTTTTTTGGTCTCAGGGCCCACAAGGAGTTGACGGAAGACGAGGATTGCCAGGACTGAGGGGTCACAGGGTAAGAAATGTTCTCGGGGGACAGCTAAATAAATAAGTTTCACAATCGGAAAGGTTTTCCTGAATTTGGAAACGTATTGTTGTTTAATTATTCACCTAGCGCCTTTTATTTTAGAATGTTCCTTTCGGCCTCTCTTACTTTGGTCCTTGGCGGCACAAGTGACGACATCGCATCTCAAACCGTTTCTTTTTCTTTTCCTTCGACGTAAAGGGTCGACCTGGATTAGATGGCTTCCCTGGTCCAAACGGGATGAGTGTAAGTCATGACTCTGAGACTTTCTTGAACACTCAGGAGACAAGAGGCCTGGAATTCCACCTAGTCTTAATTAGCCTGGCAAAGCCAAAGCCAAATACCGCTTTGCCATAAAATCTCTTAAAGTCGCACAGATCAATGGGAACATTCGTGAAGTCAGCCTTAATTTGGAAGCCAATTCCTGCCAAGAACTGAGGGAGAAAAATCCAGTTTTCAAATTAAGAGTGTGTTTGAGAATTTTCCATGATCTTGCAAGGCTCGCAGGATAAGGTGAGCTGGAATTTAAGAATGGTTTTAGCCAGGAAGGCATCACAACAGCAACACCGCCTTGTGTTTATATAGCAACCTTCATGTGGGGCAGTGTCTTAGAGCGGAGCCTGTGGTTGAGCAGCGGGGGAGGGAGGAAGTGACCATCAACCCGTTTGAGGGGGAAGGTCTTCAGGAGGAATCTGAAAATGGGGAAGGAGGGGGCAAGACGGAGGGATTGAGGAAGAGAGTTCCAAAGTTTGGGGGCCTAGCGGCTGAAAGCACGGCCTGCTGATGGTCGGAGTGGAGGGGACGAGGGACAGCAGGAGGCCGGAGTCAGCTGAACGGAGGCGGCGGGAGGTGGAGTGGGAGTGGGGGGGACTCATGTCACCTGTAGGATGGCGTTGATCCCATCCTGGTTAGCACTTGGGAGGGGTGGGGGCTATTACAATTGGCCTCAGTGGGGTCAACATCGCTCCCCATTTCTGTGTAAGGGATAATATTGAAAGCGAGTGTCCGTGATTAGCAGCACGAGTAAGAGGTATTCACTGTTATTTTCAGGGTGAAGAAGGATCACCTGGACCAATAGGGGAGCCTGGACTTGAAGGCCCGATGGTAAATCTGTCCATAAACCATTTAAGATGCAACTGTCTCTCTTACCAAATGTTTGATTGCCCGTGGACACGTATGACATATAACGATGCAAAACCTTACCTTGAATTCTTAATGGGTTCAAGACCCCACGTGGGGACTCTGAGCTCCAGTGCAGGGCTGGAGGGTGGGGTGGGGGGTTAATGTCGACAATGCAGTGCCACAACCCCCCCCCCCACTCCCCAGATGTTAAAACAAGGTCTATCTGTGCTTTCTCGGGTAGACATCAAAAAGAAAGAGAAGGGAGTTTCTCCTGGTGTCCTGGCCACATGGATCATTCACTTTGTGCGCGCAAATTGGCTCCCGTGTTCGCCAATAAATACACAGTCTCTTACACTTCCTTTTGAAGCGCTTGGAGACTTTTCAACATTATGGACGCTGTCAAACACGGAGTTTCTTCCTCAAAATACGCAGTCAATTCACTTTACAGTGACGCGCTTTGAGACGTCTCGAAGACGCGATAAGGCGCTGTATCAAATGCAAGGATTATTGTTGTTATTATTATAATTATTGTTATTAACACTAACATTTCATTCCTTTGGTCAATCAGGGATTAATCGGGATGGCAGGAGCCAGAGGGCCCCCAGGTGACCCAGTAAGTCTGCCTTTGAACCTCTACGTCCCGCATTTTATCATCTCGGGGAGAAAAATGGCAATTGTAAAATATTAATGGCTAAGACTAATTAAAAGGAAACTTGATGCATACACAAGGGAAAAGAGAACCGAGGGGTTTAGGTGAGGGAGTTAGGAGGGGTGCACATTTCTGTTGATCTGTTGACATTGAGGTTCCTAATAACAGCTCTCTGACAACTTTAACAGGGGAAAAGAGCCACAGATGGTGAACAAGGGAACCTCGGAGACAAAGGAACTCAAGTGCGTGTGAAGGCTTCTCATTAACCGCTCGTTGCTTCTTTACTCGCGTGGATCTTTTGAAACGAGGTCAAGATGTTTCAGGTTATTCATATTATTCTCTTCAATGTCATTTTGTGCAGGGGCCTCCTGGTGCGTTTGGGGAAAGCGGACCATCAGGACCGAGAGGACCACCTGGGTTCCCCGGAATTGCAGGCCACAAGGGGCAGGTCGGGCTCGGGGATCTCAAGTGAGTAGGGCACGGAGTTGAAGCCTGGATGTGGAAGTGAATGCTGGTTACAACTTCATTCATTTATTTAATGGGCATAAAGGGTGGGAGGAAGAGAGGGGAGGGGGGTTTGGGAGAGGGTCTTTGACAATGCTCTGATAACTAAAGGCACCCAGATCAGAAGGTAGCAGATGATTCATGGTCTGCACTCAGTATCTTTACCCCACCCCAATAATCTGTGCGTAATCTTTCAGGGTGAAGATGGAGTGATGGGTCTGCAGGGAGAGAAAGGACTTGTAGGACACAAGGTCAGTGTGATCAGGGCACGAGTCACCATAAGGCTGTGGGATGATGAGATTGTGGTCCAAGCTGATACTCCGGTGCATTTGGGGTGGGGGTTGCGCATTGTACAAATGGCTGTCCTTCAGATGAGATGTTAAACTGTCCCCCTGTTTGGGCAGACGTTAAAGATTCCCCCCACTCAACGCTATTTGAAAAATGAAGGGAGTTTCTCCCGTTCTCCTGGTCAATTAATGGCTCTAGTTAAATTGGTCATTCACCTCTTGGCTGTCTGCGGTACATTTGGCCACAAAAATACACAGTCACTACACATAACAGTAATAATAATAAGAATAATCTTTGCATTTGATAGAGGGCCTTATTACGTTGTGGAGATGTCTCAAAGCACTTCACAGGATACACTGTAAAATGTAGTAACTGTGTGTTTTGTGGGCAAAACACGGCAGCCAATTGCGCACAGCAGCGTAATTATAATTACTGGGAAGTGGTGTGACATGTTTTGATATGTAACAATATCCAACTAACTTGTTTGTTTCTGTCTTTCTTAAACTTGTCCTTTACAGGGAAACAGAGGACCTGGTGGTCCCAAAGGAATTCGAGGGATAAGAGGATACAGGGTTTGTCATTATTATAAGCCTTGGCCATGTTTAAGATAACTCTTTCAGACTCTTTCGCTTATTTTTGTTCTTTTTATGATACAAAAAACTGCTACGTAAGGGCAAATTTGCCGTCTGTCAATCTACTGCTGTAGAATGTTCCCTTGTAGGTCTCTACCAAACCACCCCACTTCTTGTTGGACCGTTGTGTTGCGAACGGACCCGTGTAACGTTGCATCGATGTGATTTTATTTTGTCCCCCCCAGGGGCGTAGTGGTCAGAGTGGCCTGGTCGGACAGCCGGGACCACGAGTAAGTGTGGACGTATTTGCTTTTACATGGCTTGCACTTAAAGCTCATTGTCCTTCGTTGAGCGAACGGATGATTCACAAAATATTTTGATCTCCCGCAGGGATTAAAAGGCCAACGAGGGATCCGGGGAGCTGAAGGAAAGCCTGGTACACAGGTTCCCATTCTGTACTTTCAATACAGATTACAACCATTTTCCGTTCATTTTATGTCTCGATTATTCGCTGCAACGTTTGTTCTGGCTTGTGAAAGGTTTTCCACTGACCCCTCGAGCACATGCGTGTCAGATGGATGTGTCTTTGCTGTTGTGCAAGACTGCGAGAACTTCGGCTGAGGCGTGAAACCCGAGGCCCCATCTGCCTGTCCTGATGGACATTAAAAATCCTGCGGCGCTATTTGAAAAGAGAAGGGAGTTTCTCTCAACAGGTGTCCTGACCAACAGTCCCCCCCCAAACAAAATTGGTCTCTCACTCTGTGGCTGTTTAAGTCAAACCACGTTTTACAATATATCCTGTGAGGCGCTTTGAGAAGTCTCGATGATGTGATAAGCCGCTGTATCAAATGCGAGGATTATTTATTGTTGTTATTATTACTAAATGAGTTCACTGCAGTCACAGTGACGCTGGCAGTGACTTCAGTTTCACTTCCAGAAAACAGCTCCACGGTCTCCAAATATACAGATGATTGGAGCTTGCGTCCTGTGTAGCATTGTGTTTGAGGGAGGGAGGGACGGAGGGAGGGAGTGGGGAGGAGGTTTACAATGCTGCATGTAGAATCCCACTGTAAGAATTACAAGAGTCTGTATCGTTTTGTAGGGTGCGAATGGCATTGCCGGTGACTCTGGACAGAAAGGGCCACAAGTAAGTGTTTGTCACTATTGTCTTTTCGTTTCTAACCTGATCCTAATCTCTCTAATGTGCCTTCGGCCAAAGTGCCGACTGTCCGAGCCTGTTATAAACTCAGTCCATTCCTCGCGTGATGTGTGGTCGGTTAAATGTTTAACGCTCCCTGATTATTTTTCTCTCGTGTCCGCAGGGTTACAGAGGATTGCGGGGTGATCAAGGAATGGATGGACCACCAGGACCTCTGGTAGGGAAACACACCGTTAGCAATCCTATTAGCCCTCATTATTTTGTGTCAGGCTAATTGGGGTTCCTTGACCAGGCAACCCTAAGTGTTTTCCATTGTGAGTCCGAAGGTTGTAGGACTTTGGGGCTGACTCCAATACAGAGGCTGGGAGAGGGTTGCAGTATCAGGGATGCCATCTTTCTGATGAGATGTTTAACCCAGGTTCCATCTGTGTCACGGTAAAGGTCCACGCCAGCATCACGTTGCTTTCTAAATGAGTCCCAGTGTCCTGGCCTCAACCACCCACCCTGGCAAACCCATAGCAGTATTCTGTGTTATCCATTCATTGCCCGAGAGGAAATAAATTGTACATAAAACCAATGCATGTCTTTTTGCTTTTAATAACAGGGGCCTCGAGGGCATTCAGGACAAGATGGCATTCCTGGGCAAACTGGTGAAAGGGTACGTTTAGGAACAAATATCAATGCTGGAGTGTTGCACTTTTCCCACCAGCATTTGGGCACCTTAGACACTCTCCTCTATTTCTCTCTTCTTCCCTCCCTTTTCCTCCTCTGTCCTCCCTTTTTATCTAAATGGGAATTTCTTTACGGAGAGAGAGTGTGGAACTCATTGCAGGTCAATGACTTGGTGGATTCTCAGGGCCTCGGCATTTAACTTTGATAAATCCGTAAAGTTTACTGTGTAACGTGCATCCTCCTCATATTCCAGGGCTCCACTGGCAAACCCGGCCCCTCTGGACCACAAGGATCTGTGGGCATGTATGTAAGTGCTGAGCAAATCCCGCTCTTGCTCGTGTAAATTAGTCGCAATTACAGTTGTTTAAAAGACCAATCACACCGTTAAACACTGCAAAATCTGGACTCGCCGACAGGTATAAGTGATGAGGCAAAATGCCCCCCTGCCCCCTTCTCCGTTACATAGAAATGTTCAGTAATGCTTACGTTTGATCTAACGCCTTATCACGTGCCTGATTAGGGCACTCTCGTTACATGTGCTCTGTCGGTCTCCATCAGCCGTATTATAACTACCATTAAAGTGGCATTTCAGTGCTTTGTTTATTTGTCACAGGGATTTCCGGGGCCTTTAGGTGAACGAGGCAGACCAGGAACAAGGGGAGAGAAGGTAATTTGTCCCTATTTTATCTCTTAAAGTGTAATGCTTTGTAGAGTGCCGTATATTTATATTTCCTGTCGAGACCTTTTGAAGTAACTTGGCGTTCAACTGTTTGGTTTTTTTTGCCTGTAGTTGAAGCAAAGGAACAGTAGCAACAATCCGATAAACGTACAGACACGGGATAAGAAATTTGCAACGTACTTATTTTCGTTCAATTTTTAATTACTTTTTTCAGGGAGAAGTGGGGAAAAGGGGAGTGCGGGGACCATCAGGAAATCCAGGTTTGAAAGTAAGAAGCCCTGATGTGTGTTCTTTCAAGTGCTCTGGGACACTGTCCTGGGTGAGGGGGCGCTTTATAAACACAAGATTGTTGTTGTTATTTTATTAACTGTAACTCCGAGAATCTAACCCATGTGAAGGGCGCTGTATGCATAAAAGATGGTGGTTATTATTGTTTTAGATGGTGTCTGATTATGTACATCGCTTTGGAACAACTTGGTGAAAAGTTCATTGGTTTAAATAAATTAATTGCATAAGAACAGGAAGGNAAAAAACAAACTCAACAGATGCCTATTTAAACCTATGGAACCTCAGTGTGATTGTGTGTTGCAGGGTCCCAAGGGTGTGCCTGGTGAGAGGGGACCTTCTGGACTTCAGGTCTGTCTACAATTCCTTATCCCAATGTTACCACTGTGTGTTATTGCACGCAGGTTCTCATGGATGGAGGTACTGAGAGGCACCAATGAAATGTTCTCTCACTTGAGTCTTGTGTCTTTCCGAGTTCTTGCCTCCTGCCTGATTAACCAGTGTTGGGATCATTTGGGATGCAAGTATCAACATTATAACTTCAACCTCCGGAAAAGGTGGGGGGTGGACAAGGGGTGGACTACGTGCTGATCCCATCGGGTTCAGGCGGATGAGCGGCTGGTGAGCGTCTCACTGTGACAGAGGCTTGTGTGACAGCGACGCTCCACTGGGCAGAAATTGTGGTCTCTACTTCAATGGAGGAGTGGTAATGAGACACATTGTAGGCCACACATCACCATATTCTTGCCTAAGATCCCACTCCCTCAATGTCTTGCCCCTGCTCAAAAAACTAGGAGGTTAATATGTAGGGAACAAAGTCCTGATCGAAAGGACCATAAACACCCATTAGTGGGCTGGACTGTTGTTGGGTGGTGTAGTTGCAAGTGAACTTGCCATCTGACCACTAATAGCTCTCGAACTCAACTGATATAACCCAATGAATGGAAATCTCCTCTGTAGTAAATCTTGGACGCAAAAGCTTTGAGCTGCACCTTTCTGAGCCGCACACATCAGCATAACGGTACGATTGCCTCAAATGACCTGTCCAGGGCGCGATTTATTTTGAAGAAACCAAAAAAGCACGTGATGTGATGCTTCGCTCTGGGCGTTCCATGTTCAACTTTCAAACCGTCTTGTATTTGCAGGGCAGAAGAGGGGACCCAGGTCAGAAAGGACTTGAAGGATTACCTGTAAGTTTTTTGTTTTAATTCTTCTTAGGTTTGAGCAGTCTGCATGGAAGAAATACTTAGTGTAATTCACTTGGCGTTTAAGGAATAATGTTGGACTGTTATAGTGGAATTGCACATGCATGCAATAGATCTAGAAAGGGATTTGTAGATGTTGCTGGGATGTATGAATACAGGCGCTATATTAAATGCAAGGATAATAATAATAATGGCAAATTTCCTCCCACCACACATAGATATATTTGTTTGTTTATAAAAGAAGAAGATTTCTGTGGATCAAATTGATATTGTGTTGTCAACAATGGTAAAATTCAGTGTCTAATGATGAAGAGAATTTGGTGTTGATGATGACCTGTCCTCTTCTCAGGGGTTGATTGGAAGCCCTGGATCTGAAGGCCATGCAGGGAAAGTTGGATCTCCTGCTAGCCAAGGTCCCCCTGGGCCAGTCGGACCGCCCGGACTTCGTGGATACCCAGTAAGCAGCAGGTTATTGCTGTCAGAGACAAGGATAAAGGAAATCAAATCAATAAATCAATCTATACAACCCTATAAATGTACAGCCCCGAATGACTGTCTGGCCCATGATTCCTGTGCTGACAATCCATTTAGTCCCATTCTTCAGCCCTCTTTCCCCCCCCCCCCCCCCCCACCCCGCACACAAGCGCACACACGCCCTTTTATATTTCTCCGTATCAAATATTTATCTCATTCCCTCATTAGAAGCCAATTTTTTTTTATTTGCCTAAACAATACACAGTCACTACGTTTTACATGAGTGAATCCTGTGAAGTGCTATGAGACGTCCTCCTGATGTGAATGGTGCTATATCAAATGCAAGAATTATTATTATAATCATAATTATTAGTGCTATTAATATGGATTTTGTCTCAACCATAGTGCCTCGAATAAATAAACAAACATATTTGGAACACAAATGATTACAGAGAGTAATAATTGCAAGAGACACCCATCCTTAGGCCATTTTTTTTATTTGGAAAATCATTATCTTTTATAACGTTTAACTGAAATCATTTCAGGGAAGAGAAGGACTCGTTGGAACTGAAGGACATCTTGGACATAAAGGTCAAAAGGTAAAGTTGTTTTTAACTGATCTGAAGTTAAATCAATTTAGAAGTATTGGGGCTTGTTGAAGGAAACTGGTGAAACATCAAAACCAATGGGTTCCTAAAGGTGAGATGTTAAGCCGAGGCTCCATCTGCCTGTTCAGGTGGATGTTAAATAACCTCGTCTTTTCGACACGAATCAAAAGGAGAAGTTGAATTTGTCAGTCACCTTCAGGCAGTTTGTAGGACATTGCTGTGTACAAATACACTACCACAATCGCCTACAAAAGACTTCACAGTAATTGTAATCACTTTGAGAAATGTTATTGTTATTGGGGCTGTATCAAAAGCAAGGATTGTTATTACTATTATTGTTATTAATATTCTTTTTCTTTTCCAATTGACTTGCAACTACTTGTCTTCACACTGGTTTGGGAATTAGGGTGAAGTTGGGCCGCCTGGTGACGTTGGTGTGGTGGGACTGGATGGAGAACAGGTAGCTACATTCTTTAATGGAAGCATTAAAATGATGGAAAACCTAAGTATATGAGCCATAAAGTTATGAGACTGTTATACATTTAGAAGTAGAACAAACTGGTTATTCCATTGTGTATTCCATTGTGTTATTCCTACGTACGACAATGACCCACATTTGCCCCTAAACCACCATCTACGTGTACCGTATGTAACATTGGCAAGAGCAGAAATAGAATACTGCCCTCCTTTTCAGTTTATCACAGTACGTGCGGAATAGGGTTATATACAAACAGTGGAGCGCACAATTGTGAATAATTTTATGTTAAGTAGTCATTGTGTATGTGCAAGTCCTTGTTGTGGTCATTGTTGATTGTTGTTGAGAGGTAAAGCCTGCCTGAACATTGTTTGATATTGACTCTCTTTAGGGTTCACCAGGTCTTGTAGGGGAGGACGGTTTGTCTGGACGTAAAGGAGAACAAGTCAGTATTCACCAGTCTGAGCATTTTAGCCGGTGACGTTAGCTATTTGTGTGCTTTCCTTGTTATAATTCCACCAAATGCATGATGTGTAACATCAAACCAGGATTCCAGTGTGGGATCCTTAACAGTGTTAAGTTACCATTTGCAAAATCAACGGTATTCAATTCTTAAATTGGCCTCATTGAGTCTGCCTGCGTTCTGACTGGTGTTGGATTTTTGTCTCCCAACAGGGAGATCCAGGAAATCCTGGGATGCTGGGAGCAGAAGGAATTCCGGGGCTGTTGGGGGGTGAGGGATTGGAGGGAGGCCCGGGAGAGATCGGAGAACCAGGACACGAGGTAACAGCTCTTTTGAGATACGTTTGAGAAACGAGATGGCGTAAATTTGAATGGATCCAGCATCCACAGCCTTTTGGATATATTAATGTATAATATATTCATATTGCTATGTGAAGGGAGCTATATAAATACAAGTTGTTGTTGTCGCTTCTGATGGAGAATTGTTTTTTTCACACGTGAACTGAATCGCTGCGTGTGTATGTGTGTTTGTGTTTGTTTGTGTGCGTGACAGGGGGAAACGGGACTGGACGGCGACCAAGGAGATCCTGGGATAAAAGGAACAAAGGTACTGGTCAGACAAGCGTGAAGCATTGTAAAGACAAAATAAACCAGCATTCTGACTTCACGTTGCTCGACCTTTGAGATAAGTTGAAGCAAGCGGGGTTCGACTTTCTAACTGCCAAGAAAACAACGCAANCCTCCCCCATCCCCTTTATGTCCCACGTCAAAAGACACGTAACCCCCCACCGTCTTACGTAGGAAACCAGAATTGCGCTCGGGTAAACCATTGTCTCGTGCCGAGGTCAATGCAAGGCCTCACCTTGGACTAATTTGTGAATAATCCTTGGCCATTTCAGCTCAGTGCATGTGGTTGAAGTCGTTCCTACTGAAATATCCTCAGGGCAGTTCTCTACACTGTGACCATTTACAGTATTAGCGCCGCTTGTATGTGTTTGATCCTTAGGGAGATGTCGGCTCTCTGGGCCCACCTGGTTCAATAGGACTGATCGGGATCACAGGAGACAGAGGCAAACGAGGGCAGAAGGGAGAAAAGGGAGAGGCCAGCTTGTCGGTGAGAAACACTGAACCCGTTTAGTTTCTGTACATTGCTCTTTTCTGTCCTGTGAACAATTCCTCGGACCTTTCCCATTAGGTACATTTTGCGTTGCGTAACACTAAGCTCGCTCACGTTGTTCGAAGTGTAAGTTGGAGCCTGACTCACGCAGTTTTAAGAAAAATACCTGAATCAATAATTGTTCTCAAATGCTTTCTGTTTAATAGGGTTCCGTTGGCTTGATTGGCATAACGGGTCCTCCAGGACGTATTGGCAGAGATGTAAGTAAGATTATATCAGCTGTTTAAATGACAGGGTAAAAATGTGTTACAAAGGCAACTGTCAATTTGCCGTTGTAGCAGGTGAGGGTCTATGTAATCTGGATGAGACGTTAAACCGAGGTCCCGTCTGTGCCTGTTCAGGTGAACGTTAAAGATCTCGCAGTGCTATTCGAAAAGAGAAGGGAGTGTCTCTCTCCTGGTGTCCTGGCCAACAGGCCCCTAAGTAAAAAAAATCGGCCACTCACTTCATAGCTATTTGTTGATTTCTCCCGCAAAATCCACAGTCAATCCACTTTACAGTATATCCTGCGAAGCGCTTTGAGACGTCTCAATGACCTGATAAGAGGCTATAATCAAATGCAAGGATTATTATTACTATAATGCATATACTTAAAGACTTCATAAAGACTGAAGGTTGGAAGGACACGTTGCAATCTTTTTCACAGGGTGCACCAGGATACATGGGATTTCTGGGTCAAGATGGGCTGAAAGGAGAGAAGGTATCTGTAAAAGAATTCTGAATTCTTGATACAATTAGAAAAGTATTCCAAAAAAAAGTTGCGGTGGTTCAAATGACACATTATTCGACAGGAGGAAGGTGGTAAACGTATTGATGACACCCAAGTAGGTGAATCCATTTACTCCACTGCCAGTGTTTTTTTAAAAAAAACACAAAACACCGTCTCTTTATGGCTGAAAAGTCCCGAAACATTGATCGAACAATTGCTTTCTTTTTTCGCATGTTATTTTTACGCAGTGCAATTATCACCAGGCCTCATAAAGCTGTTGATTATTTGGCGAGCTTCTAGCAGAATTGTTTCTTGTGTTTTTTAAAAAAAACAAAGTGAAATAAAATCACCGCACTTTATAAACTATGTTTCTATCATCAGGGCCTCCCTGGATCTAACGGGATTGCTGGAGCTGTGGGAGACACAGGACTTCAGGTTCTTTATATAATATATTTTTTTTTTTTGGGGGGGTGGGATTAAACCCTTTGTTTCAGGCCTTTGGTTCAAGAGTATAATAATGAACACATTTATACAGCGTCCTTCATGTACGGGTAACATCTCGAGCGATTTATGAGAACCAGGTTTGGAAGCCCAACAACGGGAGGGGGTGGGAGATAGGAGGTGATGTACAGGGTCATTAGAGGTAGGATTTGAAGTGGGTGGCATTTAAAAGACAGAAAGAGGGAGGGTTGGTGGCTGAGACTTGGGAGGGGTTGATGGAAGCAGAATCCTAGGGATTTAGGAGTATAGGAATGGAAGGCATGGCCACTGATTATGTCACAGAGAGGTGAGATCTAAGGATTTTAGAGGCTTTTCAAACGATTTTTCCCAAGTGATTCTGTTTGAATTCAATCCCTTGGTTGTACCTTACCCAATGCCTCTCTTTTAATGGTCTGACAGGACTGGGGTGGCTAGATATTTGTTAGCTCAGGGTATTAAGGGGCAAGAGTAGATGATTGGACTTGAGGTACAGATCAACCATGATCTTATAGAATGGCAGAACAGGCTCGAGGGGCTGAATAGCCGACTCCTGTTTCTATGTAACGGGCAGCAAAGTAGAGGAACGTGTAGACTGAAGGCTCTTCATGTTTTTAACACTAGGGGTCACGTGGGCCACAAGGAAGAAAGGGGGAACGGACACCTGGGGTTCAGGTGGGTATTTCATTCCTGCTGGCTTGTGCCAAAGTAGTCTTACCAGCTAAACCAAACGGGAGAAGTCGATTTTCAGCTCTCTGTCTATTTAACGCAGAAAAAGCCAACTAGTCAATTAATTGTATGTAAAACCAATGTCTCTACATTGTTTGGCATTACGTATCACAGGACGTTCAACAGATAGGACAGATATGAGAAGTATCCTGCAGGAAATGCATGGATTTTTCTTCTTTAGCCAGGTTTGAAGTACGCGTTGCGTACCAGTGTAGAAAACCAGCCAAAGCTGTGGTTCTTATCTACAACAGCTTCAGTGTTCCTCTCCAGACTCCAGATCTGTTCAGTAATATTGTCTCATTTAGGGTCCGCCTGGTTTGGAGGGAGTCCGAGGTTTATCAGGGCCTAAAGGAGAAACTGGATCTGAGGGAATGAAGGGTGAAATAGGTTCGAAAGGAGTTCCTGGGCTTGAAGTGAGTTATGTGCTTTTTATTTCTGTTGTTTTATCTGAATCCTGCAGAACCATACGAATTGATTGAAACCAAGACTCCGTTCCACATCTTATTTCTTTCGAGAAGAATTCTCAAATTGTAATTGCACATTCCTTCTGAAGAAATCTGGGAAGAAATATCGAGAGTTAGACCCTCCTGCGTAACTTGAGTTTCATTTTTTTTTGAGCTGGGCCGGGCAAACATGTGCTCTTAATGAATGACACACGTGGCTTCTGTAGTTGCGAAACATAACGGTTCTGGTGCACATTGAACTGTGTCGACTGTGAGATCTCGTGCTCAGGATTGGGTTCCTTTAAGTTAAAATGATTTTGAGTTATTGTTGTGCAAAGTACTCGTCAAAGCTCAAAGTCCCAGAACTAAACAATAGCGTTTATCTTTACAGGGGTCAGAGGGGCCGACCGGAGAGACAGGACTGCCTGGACAAGTAGGATTGGAGGTGGGTCATCAAGATCCCAAACTCACAATCCCAAGCTCATAAGACTGTTTTGGATGAAGAATCTGGTTGTGGGGGAGGAGGAGAAATCAACAGAGGACCATAGAAATTGCTAGACGAAAAAAGACCATCTAGTCGCCCTTCTACCATCCTGGTAGTCGCTCGCTATAATAATGGACATGTTGCTAAATAATAATAATAATAATAATAATCCTTGCATTTGATATTGTGAGGTTCCATTTCTGAGTACCATCTTGTAAATCCCAAGTAGAAAGTATCCAGAACTATCGAATTATAGAAACTCACAGCACAGAAGGAGGCCATTCATCCCCTCGTACCTGAGCCGGGTTCTTTAAAAGCGCTACCTACCAGTCCCACTCCCCGCTTTTACCCCATGGCCCTGCACATGTTTCCTTTCCAAGTACACATTGTATTTTCCCTCAAAAAGGGAACAAAAGAAAGAGAAATAAACAGTTTTTTTCAATTAAAATACCTCTCCTGCCACATGAGTGTAATTGGGAATATTTGTGTGATTTTCTTTTAGGGGGCTTTGGGACAGCCGGGGTTACAAGGGGATGTTGGAGAAGCAGGGCGAGAGGTACGTACAGTATTATTGTTTCAGAATGACCCCCCACCCCCTGCCCCCCCTCCCCCCCCCCCACCACAAAGTGCTGGATAACTTGTAAGAGGCTAATGAGAAGCGTTTATATCTCTAGGGACCCCGAGGTAGACCGGGCTCTGAAGGCAGGAGAGCGACCAAAGGACAAAAGGTAAAACAAACAGTAGAACAGAACCTTTCTGTGTAAGGAGGACCACTGACTCAACGCTATTTGGGGTGGGGGGTGGGCGGAGGGGAGGGAGGGGTTGGAGAGGGAGGAGGTGTCTTAAAACAGCGGAGCAATCCGCCTCACCCAGCGCCTTTCACAGAGTTAATCGCCTCTTTGGTTCACTGTGTAAGTAATGATTCATTGAAGAAGTCAACCGTTTTACAGTACCTGGCATTCTCTGTGGGTTAGAATTCACGTTCAAGTTCACTGCAATGTACTGCTCTGCTGGAGGGCAATTAAAGCCTGCAATAAAAGGACTTCCCATCCCCGTTATAATTTATGGATACTGTACTACCATTACCTGTGGGACAACCTTCACAAGGCCCTTTCCAGATGACTGTCTCGCAAGATGGCTTCCCCCCTTCCCCCTCCCCCCCACCCGTTTAAAATTAAAAGCAATGGCCGGAACAATCCAACCGAAATTAGACTCCCAGTTCTATAAAAGCAGCGGACCTGTTGGCGAGTAATGTAGCCGGGATTATTTCCCCCCTCTTCCTAGATTCTCACAATTCCATCGAACACCTCATTCCTCGGAACATAGAAACAGGACCATTCAGCCCCTCCAGCCTGTTCCACCATTCTACGAGATCATGGCTGATTCCATGAGCACAGTGGTTAAATCTGAGTTTGTTTCAATCTTAAGGGGGACGGTGGTACAGCAGGCAATCCAGGACTTCCTGGCAAGTCAGGAAGGGTGGTACGTATGGTGTTGACTTAGATTCCCGTTTGAGTTCCTTTGTCCAAATCACTATGGTTTCAGAGGAAGAAAGGAATATTCTCTTCTGTTTTCCAGGGGAGGAGAGGAAAAGCAGGATCGAGAGGGCAAAGAGGGAAGAAAGGTTTCAAGGTAAGGGAGCACATGACCACGAGATTGGTTCGGTCGAAGAAAGCCCTTTAGTCCATTTGATCTCAACCAAAGGCCTTCCTCTTTGACTGTGCTTACGGTCACCTCCTCCCTCCCCGTCCCCGTCCCCGTTAAACACTCTGAGGAGCTGCCTCGCCTGAGGGAACACACTGTATAAAAATGCAAGTTGTTGTTGCTCTGCTGACTCTGGCCTTAAAATGTCTGCACTGTAGGGTCCGAAAAGTAGCACAGGCCACGCTGGGTATCCTGGAGATAAAGGACCTCCTGTAAGTTGGACACTTCAGTATGTTTGCTTTTCTTTTCTGACCCCTTTCAACAAGGAGTCTTCAAAGGCTATCTATGTTAAATGCAAGTTAAAGGCGGCATTGAAATCGCAAGCACTTACTGAACGCAAATGGGTTCAGCGCACGTTCATTGTCACAGCCAAATTAAATTATCATCAATCTTTTAAATGTCGCGATACTGTGTTGGGGGAAGTAGCGATAGATTAAAAATAGTGACCTATTTTTGCATTACAATTACATGTAATGCAGGTTTATTATCTGTTTTTAGCTTTTAAAGGGTGACAGACCCCTGTAAATCGCTTGAGCTTCACGGATGAAAGTTTCCGATATTGCTCCAGTATTTCAGAAATACAGGGGAATAAAAAAAACCACAAGGAAATCAAATAAAACAACTAAACAACATGTTGTTCCACAGGGACTTAGGGGACTGAGAGGAGAAAAAGGGACTCGGAATCTGAAAGGACAAAAAGTAAATATTCAATACATATTTTGCACATTATTCTGTTCCATTTTATTTGTGTCGATGAGCATTTTCGCTTGGCCCGGTTCCAGCTAATATTTCTCTGTTAAAGGGTGCGATGGGAGACTCTGGATTTCCAGGGCCTTCTGGAGATGAAGGACAGAAGGTATGTGGATGGATATTTCAATACTGATGAGAAAAACTAGAAAGTCAGCCTTTCGCAGTTTGAAAACGAACATTTCGGTAACATTTCATAGGCTGTGCCATGTCTTTCGCAAGTTTCAAGTTTATAATGCCACAAAGAACGCAGTGGCTGGATTTCGCGGTACATTCCTGTCAAGAGCTTTGAGACGTCCTCCTGACGTGAAAGGCGCTGTACCAAATGTAAAGGATTAATATCAGCATTAGCCAGTGATTGTACAGTAACATCTCATTTACTTATTCTGTCTCCTTCTTTCAGGGGAGACCTGGACCTCAAGGTTTGATGGGACCACCAGGTGCCAAGGGTGAGCAGGTAAACCTAGTCTTTGTTCTTTGTTTTCATTACATTCAGGCTTGACTGACTCTTCCCTCCACAAGCTGCAGCTTGTGTTCCTCTCTCGCACTAAGCTCGTGGCCCTATCACCCCCATTCTCCCCGGCTTCACTGGTTCCCATCCCTAGAGTTCAAGATTCCTGTCCTCTCTTTTGAAGCCCTTCCATGGTCTGGCTCCTTCCTACCTCTGTGACCCACTAAAGCTTTACCAGCTTTGTCCGCTCCCTCGACTCGGTGGGCACTGGCTTGCTCCATCTCGCCCGACTTGCCCACTCCACCATTGGAGGTCGGGCCTTCAGCCTCCGGAACTCCATCCCAGAGCCTCTCCACCCCGCCCCCTCCCTTGTCTCATTCAAGGCCCTATAACGGGGCCCGAGAAGGACTTTGGTTAATCGGTAGAATATTAAAACAAAGACATACTATTTTATTATCTTTATGCTTGGTTTGATACTCACACAAGTGTTTACTTATGATGTTACTATACATAGGCATTGCCTGTAATGTGCGGTTTATCTGTAATGACAGGGCAATGCTGGGGCGCAAGGCATCAGAGGAGCAGAAGGATTCCCAGGATTGCTAGTAAGTGCTGACGGGAAACGTGGAGGCATCACCTCTGGCCGCTGAGAGGAAACCGGTCATAAAAGGGAAATAAACCATATATTAAAATATTGTAAGAAAGTATATCCTTTGGAACGTCCTTCACTTTGTAGTATATTCTGTGAAGAGCTTCAAGACGACTCGAAGACTTGATAATGCCCTAAATCAAATGCAAAGGTTATTATTAAATTCCATCTGGGTAAAGAATCACTGTACCTATCCAGAATTCAGCAATTTGTTGAATTCAACTTCTCAACTTCGATTTACAGTAAACTTAGACCCAGGTGCAATTTCTGCCGCCCCCACCCAAACAGCTAATAATGCTATTAATTAATCCCAACCTTGCAATAGGGTTTTATGATAATTGCATGAATAGCATGGAACGAAAAGTTCTACTAACCTGAGCATGTCAGATGCTCCCCGTCCACCCCACACATGCGCGAACACATACACACACACACACACACGTGCACACACACACACGCACTCTCCTGTGCTCTCGCGCCATGTGACAATAAACATGCCCTCTTATTTTCTGCTTCTTTGCAGGGTTTAGTTGGACCGAAGGTAAGTACGGTTTTGCTTTTGTTGCACAAACAGAAGTATCGATCAAAAATCTACGCCACACTTTACTGTTAAGACTGCAAAGCGCTTTGAGAGACACTCAGGAGGTTTCCCGACGTGAAAGGCGCTGCCTCAAACACCAGGATTAATCATTATAACAATGAGAGCCAACATTCTCTCTTTCCGATGCTCATTGACTCACTGTGAATTAATCTCCGGAGGTTCGGTGTTTATGCCTGCCTCACTCGCCATAGACCAATAGACAAAAAAGTGAGCAAACAGCACAGATTATATTTTTCAATCTGCAATCCCCACGTTGCCCGGTTTAGCTTCTTCCCTGCGTTAATTATCGCAACGTCAGGTTTCCTTTTGGTTGCTGGCCGCACGCTTATAAAAAAAAATTTTTTTTTAAGTCACTCAGGTGCGGCCTTGGCCGGTCGCCAGATCATTTTAAAACAGTAAAATTTTTCAGGGGCTCAAAGGCTTCGAGGGATCTCAAGGGACAAGAGGTGCAAAGGGGCAAGCTGTAAGTAATGATGCTTAAACACAGTATATTGCAATGTGTGTGTGTGTGTGTACTCCACTTTACAGTATATCCTGTGAAGTGCTTTGTGACGTCCTCTTGACGTGAAAGGCACTGTATCAAATATAGGGATTATTATTAACATTAGTGTATTATACATATATATGTTTTGGCTTCCATTCTGGTCCCAAACTCCAAAGGACCTTCTCTTTTCAAGCCTCTCACTGCGTCTGAGACCCATCAAGTTCACTCCAGAAAGTTTAGCATGAGGGGGTGGGGGGGGGGGCGTGTTGGGGAGGAAGAGGAAGAGCTGGAGTGTTAACAGTTATCAGGATGCATTAAATATTCGTCAAGTAAGAAAACCAATCTGTCCACCTCTCTATTGTGTCTAGGGCTCACGTGGTCCACCTGGTCGACCGGGACCTTCAATGCATCTGTCAGAAGAACAATTACAGGTACACCGTATCATGGAGCTCGATAACTTTGCGTATCGAGTCGCACCATCTAGATTGTCTTGAGAATAGAAATTGAATCCTTGACTGTCCGATGCCTTGGGACATCCTCCCGACACGAAAGGCGCTGAATAAATGTAACTAGTTGTTGTTGAATGTGTAATTACTGAAGACGTCCTCTTTAAAGTAACCGTCCAGAGTCGCAAGTCCCTGGGGTCAAACTGGAATGTATGTTGCACACCTGTTAAGTGTTCAGTAATTTATCACTTCTCACTTTGGATGCTGGAGACGTGTCGGTAGTGTCCACACCTTCGGGAGAGAAGAGGTCGAAATTGAAATGGAACCTTTTCTTTTTCTAGTCGATGCGATCACCGCAGTGGACCTCGCTCTAGCCCGTGTGTGTGTTTTTTTTTGTGTTTTTAAAAAAACAAACAGGTAATTTACAATAAATCACGCCACTGGGATTCACAAAGCATATGGAAAGCCCTCGAAGCGCTGAACATGGACATAAGGTACATTGTTGACCCGCCCACGGGAACCAAAGACAACCCGGCTACAAGCTGCAAGGAACTGCAACTGTGCCACCCGCACCTCAGTGACGGTGAGGAACATTTAATATTGGGGGAAAAAGACAGAAGTCGCTGGGAACAGATCAGGCAGCAACTAATTCCATATGGATTCCATCTTTTCCCTTCTTGTGTTTGACCATGTGCTCACTAAAACCCGTTTTCACAGCCACGTACACCTCTTTCCTCAGTAGCCGTCTTAAACTGCGACTAATTCCATATGGATTCCGTCTCCATGGATGCTGCCTGATCTGCTGAGTGTTCCCAGCGACTTGGGTTTTTGTTTTCAGATTTCCAGCATCTGCAGTATTTGGTGTTTTATTTAATACTGAGGCTCTGACCTACTGTCAAAACCAAGAGATTCTTCCAAGTACCAATAAGAGCAACTCAACTATGGGTTATTCACTCAACCGCGCCAACACCCCTGAGCACTAACTCTCTCTCTCTCTCACTCTCCAGGTTACTTTTACATCGACCCCAACCAGGGCTGCCCTTACGACGCTCTCCTGGTCTACTGCAACTTCACAGCTGGCGGATCGACTTGTTTGCTGAACGTGGAAAGTGAGGTAATGGTGACGTAACTCAGAAGGAGCCCATTCGGCTATTTTATTGAATGGTGGCAGTTCTTATTCCATTGTTCCCACCGTTTCTCCATATCTCCCTTTGTATCCTGACTTCCCAAGTATCTATCTGTCAGTCAGCCTGGCTCAGTCGGTAGCACTCTCATCTACGAATCGCGAGGTCGCGGATTGCAGCACAGCCAAGGCTGAAACTATTTTCTATTGCCACACAGGCACCCACAAAAGCCTGGTTCAAAGAGGACAGGAGGGAGAACGCATATCACTGGTTCAGTTCTGTGGCTGGAGGATATTTGGTAAGTCGACACTCAACGCCTAGGCTTTAAAGGTCACCCCGAAACACATAAGTGAGCAGCCACAACCTAACCCTATCCGTTGTTGCCAACAGTTTAAATATCGTGGAGCAAGCACTGTACAGCTACGGTTCTTGAAGCTTCACAGTACGCACGCAACCCAAAAAGTGACCTATAAGTGCAAAGTGGGGTCTGACTGGTTCAAGATGAACGAGAGTACAGAACAGTCACCGATTCAGTTCATGGGGGACAACAGGAAGGAAATCTATAATGGGCACAAGGACTTCTCCGTGCAGTTTGATGGATGCTCGGTGAGTTGCTGGTGACTGATAACATACAGAGCTTTATTGATCAGTAAGAGACCTGGGTTCCATTCCAGGCAGAAACCTTGGGCAAGTTTCCTTACTCCACACGCTTGATAATAATCCCTCAAAAAAAAAAAATTGGTAATTTCAATCCACGACTGTCTGTGGGACACTGCTGTGTGCAATTGGCTGCCGCGTTTCACCCACAGATATACAGTCAATTCACTTTACAGTCTATTCTGTGAAGCGCTTTGAGACGTCGAGAAGACGTGAAAAGCGCTATATCAAATGCAAGGATTATTATTATTACCACTGAAGAGTGATTGAAAGGCGCGCAGAAACATCAACCAACATACAGAACGGTCTGCGGGAAAAAAATAAATCATATTTGTATGGGTCGTAATGAATTAGAGCGTTTTCATGGTCTGCCACCAAATCTTTTCGTAACTTATTTATTATAGTGTAGAGAGACTCCGATCTCTGTGGACTTGGCACTGTTTACAGTACAGTGGGCTGATCTTTTAGCTCGTGCTTCTCCAACGATAAACCATTAAGAGTAACAATGCGCCTTGCAATTGAAATAGCGCCTTATCACGTCTTCGAGACGTCTCAATATGTTGATCGGGGGCAAAGATCATCGCAGACTTAATATTTTTTTTCCCCCCCCCCTCCCTCGTTACAGCTGAACGATTCAGGGACCGAATTTGAAGTGAGCACCAACGAACTTAACCTGTTGCCTCTGAGAGACGTGGCCGTGTTTAACAACGGCAACGACGCTCAGGAGTTCGGATTCTCTGTCGGTCACGTTTGCTTTTACTGAAAAGCTCAGGACCACTTTCTGGAGGATGAATGGGAACCCACATACACCCTCACACACAAACCCGCACTCACACACAAACCCACACTCACACACAAACCCACTCACATACAAACCCGCACACACAGACATACGCACACAAACACGGAGCTTTGCGTCATCCCAAGTTTCGTAAAAACAACGGTCGAAGGCAGGACCGAACTCTTCACTTGCAGTTGCACGCAAACTAATGCAAAAGAAAATCTACCTTCAGAAAGCTACAACAACAACAACAACAACTCGCATTTATACAGCGCCCTTCGCACGGGGTAGCGTCCCGGAGGGCTTGACGGTGGCAGAGTCTGGCAACAGGGCGGGCGGGCGGGTGGGTGGGTGGGTGGGGGCACGATCAAAAACGAAGGCCTTTAGGCGGGATTTGAAGGTGGGTGGGAGGGAGGGAGGGGGTCAGGGAGATTCAGGGAGAGAGCCCACAAGCAATGTATTATATTTTTTTGGGGGGTGGGGGGAGTATATTCCCTTGCAGAGGCCTCTGTCAATCTTTGCAGGACTTGCTGTTGTTTACGCTGACGGTTGCAATGATCGACTTAACCGGTGCCCAGTTCTGGTGCAGTCGCCATCTCCCCCCACTTTGCTGTCTGTTGGCTGGTGCTGAGTGAATACCGGAGTAACTCCCATCGCCCTGTCAGCACAAGCTAGAAAGCTGACAAAGTACAGTGACCGTGACCCCCCCCCCCACCTCGGTTTACACACTGGGTAGTGTTCGCGGGGTTGGGTTAGTGCTTCGGGCCACTTATGTTATCGCAAAGCGCTCGGACATTGCTTTTGCCCACATCAGTCTTTCGAGTCCAGAACGACGAGAACAAATCACATTTGTGTAGCGGCCTTCACCTCGAAAAGAAGTGAAGCGCAGGATAGCAGTCTGTCTCACAGTACGTGTCAGAAAATTACAGGGGCTGTATTATTATTATTATTATTATTAATATTGACTATCAGGAGAATCCCAGTCACTTCTTGTCTGAGAATGACTTGAAGCAGTGACGCGGACTGGGAGTTCGGCGATAGCGACACAACGCAACACAACCGTTCCCGAAACAGAATTACTGTCCCGGTCTCAACTTCGACTGTTACAGCTCCAACCGGTCTTGTGCCGGTGTTCCTTACTCCACTCCACCCGACCTCCACTCTTCCGATTCCCCTCTCCCACCCCCCCTCCATTTCCCCTCTTCCACAACCCCCTCTCCATTTCCCCTCTCCCCCCATTTTCCTCTCCCCCCCTTTTCCCCTTTCCCCTCTCCCCCCCCATTTCCCCCCACCATTTAACCGCAAACATCTTTCGTTCGAGAGACAGCAACTCCTTCACTGCCTTCAGCCCCCGAGAGGGTAACCGCACTCCGGGGGAGGAATTCCCCCTCTCATCGAGATTTACTGATTGATAAATGCCGCATTTTGGAGCGTCGGGAAAGCGGCGAAATGGGGAAAGAACTGAACCGGAGAGAGAAAGAGAGAGAGAACGGGTTCGGGGTTCAGCCTTTGCTGTCAGAGGTTTTGGACGCTCTTCAAAACGAAATGTCGCCTCTCAATCAGAGAAGATCTGGAGTCGGGCAACTCCGGTGTGTGTGTCCGTGACCCGCGGGTTACAACAACAACAACAACAAGATTGCACTTACAGAGCGCCTTTCACGTCGGGAGGACGTCCCAAGGCGCTGGACGGTGGGGTCAGGACCCGAGCAGTGGGGGGGAGATGGTCAGGGTGAGGGGAGGGAGGGGGCGAGGAGGGGGGGAGATGGTCAGGGGGAGGGGAGGGAGTCGAGAGCGGAGCTGAAGGCTGAAGGTCAAAGAGAAAGGCCTTGAGACCGGCCTTGAAGGAGGAAAGGGAGGAAGCGGCGAAGGCACTGGGGATGGAGTTCCAGAGCCTCGGGGCTGAGAGGCTGAAGGCCACCGATGGTCGGGCGGTTGGGGCGGGGGATGTGGAGCAGACCGGAGCCGGAGGACGGAGGGGACGGGGGGGGGGGGGGTAAGTAGTGGGAGAGTAGGTTCGGAGAGGGAGGAGGTAGCGAGGCCGTGAATGGCCTCGTAGGTGAGGATGAGGATCTTGAATTCGCTTCGTGTTCCCGATGTGGGTGACGGGGCTGTACACGTGTGCGGACTGAAGACCCAAAAAAGATCACCTGTTGGTTATTTGCAAGATTTTCTCTTCTCTTTTTTTTTTGCGCGTTCACACGTCTTCGCATCTCGCAAAGCGGCTCAGCCCTCCAGCCCCCCGGCCCCTCCCTCCGGCCCCTCCGGCCCCTCCGGCCCGGGAAATCTCCCCTTCGCTTTCACACCGAAATGATTTAAAAGGGAGCGCAACAGATTGCTGAACAGGATCCCGGTAATGGGTAGAGAAGACTACAGTGTTTTTTGGGGGTTTTTATGTTAAAAATAAAAGCAAAAAAAGGTTGGGGGAGTGGGGGGAAGGGGTGGGGGGAAGGGGTGGGGGGAAGGGGAGAAGACTTAAAATATAACCTGAGTGAAGATTTTTTTCAGCTTTCTCATTCTTGCACATTTTTTTTTGCATTAAAACCAAAAGTTTGTATTTTTAGCCTTTTTTTTTTGGGGTGGGTTCGGGGGTGGGGTGGGTTTGGGAGTGGGGGGGAGAGGGGGCTTTAAGAAATGCGGAATTTTTTTTTTACAACTTTTTAGGACTTGGGGTCACACCGCTCCGCGTTCCTGATGCGCGTCTGGAGTTTAACCGTCACAATATTAAGACGTAGAATGGTTTTGCTGGAGTTGACATCAGGTGGTACAAGCTCAGAATATTGTATTTATATATATATTATGTATATGTATACCTTACCTGGCAGTGAGGGCTTTTCTTTGTACTATCCCACTGATTATTTTATCAGAGCCTCTTATTTCTATTTCATTTCGTGTCGTTTGCGTCCGTAGGGGATGGCAGTCTCACTCCGAATAAAACTGATATGCTGGTCATTTACTTGTACGTTTTGTTCAATAAATAAACGAACCAATAAATAAACAAACACGTGAATGAATAAATAAATGAATGAATGAATGAATGAACGACTGAATGAATAAATAAATAAAGGTATTTTTAATTGACGCAGTGTTTGCGTTTCACTGATGCGGCGACGACGCTGATGATGATAATGATAAAACAATGATATTTTATTATGTGTCGTCTTATTATTAATTTTATTATTGATGTTCTATTTCGACTGAGAATCTCCCGGTGACCTGTGTGTGCGGATGACTTGTGTATCGTCCTCACTGGGGTCGGGGCAGCATTCTCCTCTCACCCCACTATCCCACCCCCTGCCCCCCCCCCCACACCATCCCACCCCCTGCCCCCCCACACCACCCCCCCCTACCCCCCCACACCATCCCACCCCTGCCCCCCCCACCATCCCACCCCTGCCCCCCCCCCACACCATCCCACCCCCTGCCCCCCCCACACCATCCCACCCCCTGCCCCCCCCACACCATCCCACCCCCTGCCCCCCCCACCATCCCACCCCCTGCCCCCCCCACACCAACCCACCCCCTGCCCCCCCCACACATCCACCCCTGCCCCCCCCCCCACCATCCCACCCCCTGCCCCCTCCCCACCATCCCACCCCCTGCCCCCCCCACCATCCCACCCCCTACCCTACCACCCACCCCATCCCCCCCCCCCCACACCATCCCACCCCCTGCCCCCCCCACACCATCCCACCCCTACCCCCCCACACACCATCCCACCCCCTACCCTACCCACCCCACACCATCCCACCCCTGCCCCCCCCACACCATCCCACCCCCTGCCCCCCCCCACCACCATCCCACCCCCTGCCCCCCACACCCACCATCCCACCCCTGCCCCCCCCACCATCCCACCCCTGCCCCCCACACCATCCCACCCCCTGCCCCCCCCCACCATCCCACCCCCTGCCCCCCCCCACACCATCCCACCCTCTGCTCCCCCCCACGATCCCACCCCTGCCCCCCCACCATCCCACCCCCTACCCCCTCCCACCATCCCACGCCCTGCCCCCCCACACCATCCCACCCCTACCCCCTGCCCCCCCCCTGCCCCCCACCATCCCACCCCCTGGCCCCCCCCTGCCCCCCACCATCCCACCCCCTGTGCCCCCTCCCCCGCCCCCCCACACCATCCCACCCCTGTGCCCCCCCCTTCCCTGCCCCCCCACACCATCCCACCCTGTGCCCCCCCCCCCCTGCCCCCCACACCATCCCACCCCTGTGCCCCCCCCTCCCCCCTGCCCCCCCACACCATCCCACCCCTGTGCCCCCCCCCCCCACCCCCTGCCCCCCCACACCATCCCACCCCGTGTGGGGTGGAGGGAGGGGGTGGGGCAGGGGTGGGGGGGGGGGGGGGCACAGGGGTGGGATGGTGGGGGGCAGGGGGGGGGCAGGGGGTGGGGGAGGGGGGGGCACAGGGGGTGGATGGTGGGGGGCAGGGGGGGGGGTGGGGGAGGGGTGGTGGGGGGGAGGGGGGGGGAGGGGTGGGGGGGGGGGAGGGGTGGTGGGGGGGGGTAGATGGGGGGGAGGGGGGAGGGGGTGGAGGGTGTTGGGGGTTATCACGGATGACCCTTCGCTGGAGACGTTTCGCCCACAAAACGCACAGTCACTACACTGCGCAGCGTGTGTCCCGGGAAGCGCCTTGAGACGCCCTCCACTGTGAGTGACACGTGCGCGCGCGCGCGCGCGTGCGGGGGGGCGGGGTTACCGGGCGGCGTGGACGCGCGCGCTTGGGGGCGACGGACGTGGCGGGAGGAGGGCGCGGGGGCGCGCACGTCGACGTGGGGCCGTTGAGAGCCGCAGGTGACGAGGAGACGGGGCGATGGCGGCGCGAGTTTAACCGTCACGGACACAGACCCACAGACAGACACACACACAGACCCACAGACACCCGGTGAGAGAGAGAGAGAGACACAGACACACACACAGACAGACACCCCCCCCCCCCCCCTCCGCCTGTCAGTAACTCCAGGCCGCGGCTCGGGCCTAGGCCCGGGTGAAGCCGGGCGCTGTGTTAGTGTCAGCGGCCTCCGCCCTCCCTCTCCCCCCCCCCCCCCGGGCAGCCACAGGCTCCAGCCCCCCCCTCCCCCCATCCCCAGGGGGTGTGGGGAGGGGGTGTGGGGGGAGGGGGTGTGTGGGAGGGTGTGGGGGTGTGTGGGAGGGGGGGTGTGGGGTGTGGGAGGGGTGTGGGGTGTGGGAGGGGTGTGTGGGGGTGTGGGAGGGGGTGTGGGGGAAGTGGGGGAGGGGGTGTGTGGGGGGGGGTGTGGGGAGGGGTGTGGGAGTGTGTGTGGGGAGGGGGGTGTGGGGGTGTGGGAGGGGTGTGTGGGGAGGGTGTGTGTGTGGGGAGGGGGGTGTGGGGAGGTCCCAGGGTCACTATCCTGTTCCCCCCCACAACTCCTCCCTGAAGCCATCCTCTGCCCTGGGGGGGTGTGGGGTTGGGGGGGGACCTCCTCTTCACGGCCTCACTGGGGACCTCCTCGTATTAATGAAAACGCTCTGGAACATTCTCCCTCTATCCCCTCCCCCCCCCCCCCCCCCCCGGCTCGGCCCGGTCACTGTCGGTCCGCTCCCGGGATGGCCTTTACCCCCCGGACCAGCGATTCCCCACCGGTCGACCTGACGGCCGGACTCCCGCTCCGCGCCGGTCGAAGGCGGTCGTCAGTCGGGCGGTCGGTCCCTGAGACCGTTTGGTTTGGTTTGGTTTGGTTTCGCCGCCTCTCTTTGCCGCGGGATTTCGCGCGATGGGAAGCGAAGGCGCGATGGAAACGGTGCTGTTGTCGGCGTGTGCCGGGCGTCGTTCGTGCGCGAATTGTTCCCCGGACTTCTCGTTGCTGCACTTGAGCGGGCAGCTGTCGGTTGGTTTGTTAGCCTGTGTGTGTGTGTGTGTGGCAGTGTGTGTGTGTGGGGCTGTGTATGTATGTGTGTGGCAGTGTGTGTGCGAGGCAGTGTATGTATGTGTGTGGCAGTGTGTGTGTGTGGGGCAGTGCATGTATGTGTGTGGCTGTGTGTGTGGGGCTGTGCATGTATGTGTGTGGCTGTGTGTGTGTGTTGGGCTGTGTATGTATGTGTGTGGCAGTGTGTGTGTGTGTGGGGCTGTGTATGTATGTGTGTGGCTGTGTGTGTGTGGCACAGTGTGTGTGTGCGCGCGCATGTGTGAAAGAGTGAGAAAAACAACACCATCGCTCTTTGCTGTGGATTTTGATCCTGACTCTCTGCGAGTGGACTCTCCTTACAACTCAAGGAACGGGCTTTCGAAGCCGGCGACGCGTTGTAGCCACTGTGCCCTACACAGCCGGCAAGCAATGACTTTTATCAACAGTTTTTTCAATTGCAATACCGCTAACCATTGTGTTAAAACACACACGCAATGAACTGCCGGTGTAATAGATTTTGTGACTTGATAATTTGTCTTCATAACACACAAAGAGGATTTAATGCAGAAGATTCTTTATGGTTCGTCTTGAGACGCTGAACTTGTGTTTCACGTTCTTGTAACTTGAAAAGCAGGCGTGACAACAAGAAGATGAGAGGTTGTGAGATTTTAACTTATGGGTAACTCAACTCATCAGACCTTGGATTTTTTTTTAAAAAAAAGAATTGGCGCTAGTGGGACTTCCATGTAAGAAAGGAAGACATTTGAGAATATTGGAAGCATTTCCATCTGTCACCTTTAACAAGCCAAAATAGCTTCCCTTAAATATCTTTTGGGGGAAAGAAATAGATATTAAAATTATAATTGACGTCACTCGTCCCTTTCTCCCTCCCCAGGAAAAAAAAAAGCCTCAAAGAAATTGTGGAGCTCTTACATGTGTCGTGTTAAAACTAAGAAGAGTACGAATGGCTTTCCGTTGAATCGGCGTGTACTGTGCTGGAAAGTATCTCTCCTCCCGGGAGACTGAAGCATGTATTCACCACAGCGGAGGGATTTCATATCCGTGACTTTGAGTAATCAGAACGGGAGGAACTATGATAACAGTAAGACCTGGAGGAGGCAGTCCTGTTGGCGGGTAAGAGAAAATATGCAGACACACTGCTTCATGGGTGTGTAAAGAGCTTGAATTGAAGATGGTAACTGTAGGTTAATGTTTGTGTCTATCACAAGCTTTTTCTACATAAAATCCTTACGCGTCATCGGAAGTACACACGTTTCGGGGGGTTTTGGAGCCCTTTGTATAGGAATAGCATCAATATGCGGGGGTGAAGATAAGAGCTTCTTCCATCTGTCCCCTTTCTAACCACAATAATAAAAGGAATGTATAATGGAGCACTCATTACTTAAGCTAAGTGGAACTCGGGTCATCAATCATAGAATCCTGGAATTATACAGCACAGAAGGAGGCCATTTGGCCCATCGTGTCTGTGCCGGCTCTTTGAAAAGAGTTTCCCAAATCAATCCCATTCCCCCGCTCTCTCCCCAAAGCCCTGCAAACTTGTCCTCCCCAGATAGTTACCTATTTCTCTTAAAAGTTCACAAGGGCAATTCTTTTATTTTCAAGTTTCTGATTAAAAAGGTTTTTATAAAAAGCAAAAATGACCTATACTTTTCATCCGTTGTTTCCCAACCTGACCACGCTGCCGTTGTGAAGCCTGTACTGCGCAAGAAATGGTATGAATGCAAATCAACACTTATTTCTGTTCAGTTGCAATGACACGTATCCTGCTGATGCTGCCCTCCCACCAGCAGCTGGCTCAACAAGCCACGAGTGTAAATTGCAGTATGTTCGCCCACAACACATCCGGTCAATTCACTTTACAGTACATGCCGTGAAGCGCTTTGAGACGTGACGATGGTATGATAAGGGGCTACATTGGATGCAAGGCTCATTATTATTTCTAGATTATTTCAAGCATTTTGTCAAATAAGTATTAGCTCTTCAAGTAACCCACTCAATTCATTTTATTTTATTTTGGTCTATCTCCACCGAGTTCAAAATGTGTTTTATTTCGAGGAATTTTTGTGCCATTAAACTTTTTCCCTCTTTTCCTGAAAGCACTTATCTGTGCTGAAGAATGGAGGATGGATCCCTTCTCTTCCCCCCCCCCCCCCACCCCCCCTCTTTTTTCCAAGGGCACTGGAGACAGTAATAGAACTCTTAGGGTTAAATCTGGAACTTTTGGAGTCTGTACAAACAAAGTCTTCAAGAGAACGCACCCTCCTTTCCAAGCTATGCACAGTAATCCCTTCCCAACCCTGTGGTTTAAGAACATAAGAACATAAGAATTAGGAGCAGGAGTCGGCCATTCGGCCCCTCGAGCCTGTGTCCTGCCATTCGATACGATCATGGCTGATCTTCAGACCCAACTCTAATTACCCGCCCTATCCCCATATCCCCTATCCCTCTGTTTTTTAAAAATCTCTCAGTCTCAGCCTTGAAGATGTTCAAAGGCTGACATCTACAGCCTTCTGGGGTAGTCACTACCCTCTGAGTGAAGAAATACAAACCCTAAACATATGATTATTGTGCAACAGTCAACTTGTAAGTATCCCTTCAAAAGTAAATTAATTTGGTCACTCAATCCACGGTTGTTTGTGGGGACGCTGCTGTGCGCAATTGGCTGCCGCGTTTCGCTCACAAAATATACAGTCAATTCACTTTACAGTATATTCTGTGAAGCGCTTTGAGGCGTCCTGATGATGTGATAAGGTACTATATCAAATGCAAAGATTATTATTCTGTTAACAGGACAGGATTTTTGGGAGGTGGATGGGTACAAAACCACACTGTCATCCTAAATGTAGTTTGAATGTTTTTTTTCAGAAATGGAAGCAGCTATCAAGGTTACAGCGCAGCCTAATTGCATTCCTGTTTTTCTTCATGGTGTTTTGTGGCATTGCAGCATATCCTAATCTGTCAGAGCAACGGGAAGGTAGGAGACAGCACCAGCTTTCACAACTGGAGTTTAACATTGTGCCGTTGCTAGTCAGTTTGCTCCATATTTCCACACATTTGAGTCTTAATGATTTATTTTTTATCTTTACAAATTATGACTTGCAGTGAGATGGCAAAGTTACCTATGTACACACTGTGTGAGTGGGTTTAGAGATCATATGCCTTAGTTATACTCAGATGGAAGTTCTCTTGCTCTAAGTTTGGATAGGTCTCTTAACTAATACCACCACTGGTGGGAATGTAACCTAATCCCTGACTGTTCAGCACCTTGGGATGTCATCCCAACATGAAACCGCCTTGGGACGTCCTCCCGACGTGAAAGGCGCTATACAAATGTAATCTTGTTGTTGAAAGGCGCTTTCCAAATGTAATTTTTTATTGTATTGTGTTGTATGTGGTCTCTGGATGAAATGGTTTGGTCCTGGATTGCTCTTTGAGAAATCTTCATATTTTATCAACTCAACACCATAGTTATTTGTTCTCCTGTCTACTGACTATTCCTTTTAATCCTTACGGGTTCATCAAGCCATTTAATTATCCCTTTCTTTGTTCTTTCTGATTCATCCATTTGAAATGGATGCTGTTCTGGTCAGTTTTTCACTCTCTGTCGATTCTCTTTCATTTCCCTCCACCCTCTTCCTCCTCCTCACTCTCTTTCCCTCTTCTGTTTGTGTCCGGCATATTATGGTGATGCAGGGTATCATCCGTGATAGAATCTACTCATTACTTCTCTCGTTTGTGCCATTATTAACTCTTAATTCCCTTTTCTTCCGGGAAACATCTGTGACTTTACCCTTCTGTGTTTGTCGCCTTGCCACACGGTGAATCGTAGCCATGTGCAGTTGTCCTGCTTTATGGGCTGTGGGTAAAAGCACCAAAGCATATATAGGTCGCATACACCTACACATACCCACAATTCGCCCATATTCTGCCCCTGGTTCTCCCCACTCCCCCACCCCGATCCACTAAAAAAGAACATCTTTCAGTGTGGCTAATACCTTCAGGCACAAATCCTTCTTATGTTTTGGTGGCCCTGGGCTGCAGCATGGTATATTAGCGATAGAAAACGTTTATGATCTAGAAATATTTGTTCTGTTGGTGGCTCATTTCACAAAAGGGGGCCTGAGTTTTTCTTGTTAGGTAACTGCATGAATTTTGACCTTTCCGTGTGCCAGCAGAACAGTTATACAACGAACCACTTGTGATGTACGGCACTGACCTACCTTCCTTTGTACCCTCTTTTTCGTTGAGTCTGGCCTGAATGTGCTCTTAGCTGTGCTCACTTTGATCCTTCCTGGGTTCAATACAGTTACTATGGTTTTTAAACGTCTGGATGTTTCCTTCACTGAAATGCCAGTTTTGTTTGTAGGAGCTCAGACTGAAGGTCCAGCCAGGCTCCATTGCTCTTAAACATGTCCTCTTTAACAATCAGCAGAGTCCTGGGAGCATGTCCTCTGCCCCATCTCTCCCAACAAGACGTGAATGTGTTGTGCAGGTGACTCCTAAAGAGGTGGGGGCACAAATAACCCACAGTGATCCTATTGCACAGACCATTCTCATGTCGACACTACATTTTTGCACAGTTAACACTTACAGTGCAAAATGAGTGCAATGTTTACCAAGCACGAGCATGATTTTTTTTCAAAAAAAAAGGTAATTTTATTTTATTTCTTCCCTATTTTCCTCTTCTGTAGTCTTCTCCCCGCACCATATACCATCCCCGGCTGAGAGGACGGGATGCAGACCTCCAGTGTGTGGTCCCAGGCCTCCGCCAAAAGCACAGTAGGAACATCTTCTGACCGTATAAACAGGGTACCGTAGCAACTCTTTTTTTTCCAACCACTTTGTGAATGCAGGACTTTGAGGACTGTGAAAGGAGGTCTGATGCACCTGTGTCGATCTGCAAGAGAATTGCTGGCACCTAGTGCTGGATCGTGTCTGTGTGACATGGAGTTGAATATTGGCCGTGTGAATTTGGGCTCCAAATTAAGATCGAACTGAACCGATCCAACAAGATGACTTCACGTTTCACAGGAAAACGCGTCACTCTTTTGCTATTTTTTATTAATCCGCCAATTTTTCTTCTCCGAGTTTCTCTCCTCTTCTGACCGACTGCATTTGTCTATTTTTGCTGCTGGGGATATGGTTCTCTCTTCCCTCCCACGCTCCCCCAACATTAAACCTCATAGTTACAAAACCAATCGATGGAGGCCTGGTTATGGTGCGCTAATGTGTTGAGCCACCTGGAGAGGGATCGAGGAGGACTGTAGAAAGAGAAGGGTATAATTCATACATATATTTGGAAAGAATACGTTTATTTTGAAACCCTTTCCGTCCTGGACTTTTACCTCTTGAGCAAATACGTAAAATGATGGCCTGATCGATGAGTGACATCTGATGTTTATCTCTGCACTGTATCTGTGATATTGTATATGCGCCACGCGACCTCCCAGTACGTTCAATTCTGCGGGCTTGTGTGGGAAACAGAAGGCATCCGATTGGCTGTTGACACGGTGCTGATCTTAAATTTGTTTTTCTCCAAAAAATAAATGCGAGGAGATGTGACACAACGTGCATTTTTCCTGGGCACCGTTCGTTATGCCACTTGCTTCAAAACAAAAGGGTTGCAATTTTAACTTTGCCTCTAAAGCTGGGTCCTTTGTGTTCAGCTGTTGCAGACAGAACAGAAAATGAAAGATCTATTGATAGTCGCTTGAAGCAAGCTGATCCAGCGGTGGGACCAGCAATAGATGTGCCAATCCCTAAGGAACAGCCAGCTCTGACACCTCCACAGGTAACGAGAGAACAAACTGACACTTTCCTATGTAAAAGGCTCTATATGAATGCAAGCTCTTAGTAAATATTCTATTAATGATTTTTCGGCTATTCTTGACTGTCAGGTTGTTTGTGTTGAAAACGCGACTGTAATTCATCAAAGACTTAAAGTTACCCGATCTGTTCCAAGAACTTTAGTATCACAAAAGGATTCCATGTGCTTTTGTTTTGCAGACAAGTATATTAATAATAATAATCCTTGCGTTTGATATAGTGCCTTATCATGTCTTCAAGACATCTCAAAGCGCTTCACATAATATATAGTAAATTGACTATATATTTTGTGGGCGAAAAGGATAGTGTCGTAGCTGAGTGTATTGAGATTTCACCAAGTCCCACCATAATGCAGTATTGGTGAAATACTTTATCAGTAATTTTAGTCCACTGTGTAACCAATTCTTGTGTGATTTATTTTCTCCTCCTTTCACCCCCCCACCCCACAGAAACCCAGAAGACCAAATCCCAACAAACGAGGGCCGCCGTTCTTACAGAACAGATTGCCAAAGAAGGAAAACGTGGTTGATCGCAAGCTCGATAAGGTAGAAACTCAAGCTGAACAGGCACCCAACGACAAGGATGAGAAGAAAGACAGGTCTGTGATCAGGTACTTGAAGGCTTTCTGTGCAGTAATCTGAATGATGAAGGGGTGGAGGGTAGGGAGGGTGAGGGTGGGAGAGGAGACCGAATGTTAATTGTGAATAAAACCCTTTTATGTTGGATCGGCAGATGGCACCTTTCTCAAAACAAGTTATGATTAAAATCTGTGCACTTTGAAAGATGTAAAGCAGGATCCTCAGCTACAGTTAGAACATTTTGCTTCCATGGGTAGACCACAGCACTTTGAATTTTTGTTCAAGCAGCGATCTGTAAATTTGAATGCTGTGCTTGCAGTTGGCGTGGAATGGTGATCGAACCTGAACAGGCCACGGAGGCAATAGCCGGCAGAGTAAAAGAACAGGCAAATGTACTGCCCGATGAGAAAGAAAACCTGAAAGAACCAGGTAGGTTTGATCACTTGAGCTGGGCTAATAATAATAGTGTTATAAATAATACAATATTTTGTAAGGTGCGTGACAATACAAGCAAAAATAAATGATGTACTGTGCTATGGCACAGAGGATAGGGAAGTTAGCCTGAAGATTAAGACTATAGATAAGGGTTTTTCAACTAGCCTCGGGTTCTCAGGACAGTACACCCACATTTTACCAATACTAACAGGCTGTGAAGAGCATCATAGCTAAGCCTGATTCTGATGTCTGTGAACATTGCAGACACAGGACAGTGATCAGAAAGAAAGATACTTAGCCGATTTCCACCACACAACCCAATCGTAATAGAATCAGTGCATTCCTGACTGAGATCAGCAAATCATTACTGTGTAGGGAACAAACCCATCCATCTTCCCAGTGAACCCATTGGGGGGAAGTTCCCAATTTTCTATTGGAATTCATCTTTATGAATTAATGTAGAAATCTAGTAAATCCACTTTACAGTATATTCTGTGAAGCGCTTTGAGATGTCTCAACGACGCGATAAGGCGCTATATCAAATATTTCCAAGTCAGTAACCGATTAATTTGCTTCTGTTCTGTTCATTTCAGGGGCCCTAACTGAGCGACAGAAGGCCGTGATAGAAACATTTCAACATGCTTGGAAGGGGTACAAAGAATTTGCCTGGGGTCACGATGAACTGAAACCCATTTCTAAGACCTACAGTGAATGGTTTGGTTTAGGACTGACCCTGATCGATGCCTTGGACACGTTGTGGATTTTGGGACTGAAAGAAGGTGACTTGTCCATATTGCACGACTAAATGGTGCAATTTCCCTGATAGACAAGATATAATTGCTGGTGCTCATTAGCCCACACACTAGGTTTGCGAAACTTGTATTATTTTCTATTTGTGAAGCACAGGTATTCTGTGCTACATTTGGGATTTATTTTTACTTTTTACATTTAAAGATTGCAAATGAAGTGTTACTTGGGAGGCTTCCTAGTAGCATCTGGCGTCTAAATTGATAAATCTATCCCAGTTGGATCAACATTAAAAAATAAATGTTTTTTAAATTAATTTGCAGTGTTTAAAGTGCACAAAAGGGCTGCAGTGGGATGTTGTTAATTTTGTGGTTTTAAGGGAATAGTGTAGACTAGTGTTTTTATGGACAAGCACTGAATTGTAAACTTACCACAAATTACCAGGAGAGACGAAGATAGGTAAAACGTGTTGAGTAAGACCTGTAGTTTTACAAATGTTGCTCACAATGTTATCTTGCACTTTCAAAGAGATTTCGATGGCTTGTGGTCATCGCTGATTAGCGCACAATTTAAACTGGAATAGCAGAGTAATAGATTAAAGGAACCCAGTGGACTGTCAAATGTATTACTGGACGGTTTGCAGTTGGGGGCAGATGTCAACGGAGGCAGCCACAAAAATTTAGTGCATTAAACTGTCTATTCAAACCCAAGCCATTCGGTGTTGCAGATGGGCAGATAGTTGTCTTTGATATCAAATCAAATCATGAAATTGATAACTTGCATATTTCCATTTTTTATGCTCCTTTCATAAAGGCAGCTGCACACAAAACGGGTTCACTAATTTTTATTCTTTTTATATCTTTTTTTTTAGAATTTGAGGAAGCTAAGAAATGGGTGATCAATGAACTGAACCTCAGTAAAAACGTGGATGTGAATTTGTTTGAGACCACGATTCGTGTTCTTGGTGGATTGCTCAGCACGTACAATCTAACAGGAGATCAAGTCTTTCTGGACAAAGCAGTAAGGACTGTGCTTGTATAGCTGTATCTTATTGCTGCGTGTAACGGGTTATAATCAGCTATTAAAGAAACAGATGGCGCTCAGTCTGTTCATTAACGTTTCAAAGCTGCAGAAGATTTGTTATAATCTTATTTTGCTGCAAAAAATGAACACTTAATTGCAAAGATCACAAGGGCCAAGTCTTGACATTAAACTGTCCTCGGATTCCGATTGAAACAAATCCACAGTTGAATTTTGTGTTAACCTAGTTACTCACTTAACGTCTGGGATCATTATTATTTTCCCAGTATGATTGCCTTAAGTTTGGTTTAAAAGAAAAACAACCTTGAGTAGTTTAATAATCTATCTACAAAATTTAAGTGCAAATGTATGACCCTGAGAGGATTGGCGTTTTGTGGAGGAGAGATTGATTTGGTGATTTTTTTTACTTTAAGAAGCCCTTGAAGGTCACAGCTCAGAACATATGACTGCAAATACTTTTTTGCCGAGCATTTACCATCTGTTACAGCCTTGGATGATGATGATGATTGTGTTTCTCTGCCACAATAGCATGAACTTGGGAATCGGCTGATGCCCGCCTTCAAAACTCCATCCAAAATTCCCTTCTCGGATGTGAACATTGGCCGCGGCACCGCCCACCCCCCTCGGTGGACATCTGACAGCACCGTGGCAGAAGTGACGAGCATCCAGCTAGAGTTTCGGGAACTCAGCCGCGTCACTAACGATGATAAATACAAGGTTTGTTGAAACCACCAAGTTGGCAACGCAGGCGTGAATTTCAAGGTCCCATCTACAGTGCAGGTGGATGTGAATGGATTTTTCCCGTGTTCTTTCTCTCCCTCCCTTTCGTCTTAATTGTTAAACGGAGGCTCCATCTTCCATGGTCTCGTGGCGTTATTCAAAAAAGGCCAGGGGGATTCTGCCAGTGTTCTTGTCAGTCCCCCCCGATAAATTGGTCATTCACTGCATGGTACTCTGTGGGACTTTGCTAGGCATCATATCTGCCAACAAATATAGTTGATGGTGAGTATCTGTGAAACACATTGAGACATTTGGACATTGAAGGTGCTGTTTCAAATGCAAGCATTATAATTTCTGCATGTGAGATTGTTGTTGTAGAGCTGAATATGCAAAGAGAATCTAGGATAGAATAAAGAGGATTTATTGTTCCTCTGCCCATTGGCTTGGGCTACATCCGTTATGTCACAATAATGATGTACCTTTTGCGTCAAGAGAACATCTCAAAGCGCTTCACATAGCTCACTGGAATTCTTTCACAAATGAACTTCATCGGTCTTTATTACAGGAAGTCGTCGGTGAAGTAATGAAACTGGTTCATGGACTCGGAGGTAAACAGGATGGATTAGTGCCAATGTTCATAAACACTAACTCTGGGCAGTTTAGTCACCTTGGTGTTTATACGCTCGGTGCCAGAGCTGACAGCTACTATGAGTATCTGCTAAAACAGTGGATCCAAGGAGGAAAGAAAGAAACTGAGTAAGTAATTTTGAAATCTTAAGTTAGTAGTGAAAATTACTTTGTATTGTCAGTTAAGTGGATGATTCTGAGGTGGAAGACTTTAACACTATCTCGTGATTTCTAACATAAATGTTCATTATTCTGATTATCTGGCAGATTATTAGAGGACTACCTGCTAGCCGTAGAAGGCATCAAGAAGAACTTGATACGAAAGTCCGAACCTAACAAACTGGTCTTCGTGGGTGAACTTTCCCATAACCAATTCAGCCCCAAAATGGTAAGTGCTGCTTTTCTGAGTTGCTAATATGTGGTGGATGAGTAAAATGTTCGATCAGATTGTGTGGGAGGGAGCGTGAGAGGAAGCCACAGTATACTTAATGCCACTTTGCCAGATTAACTAATGAGCATGTAATGAATGCAACACACTTGTGCTAACTCACCAAGTCTGTGTTTTAGACCTGAGATCTTCAAGTCTGTGGCCTCGGAGTGCCTTTACCCACTAGGTCATTATGATAGCTCTTGAACTTGTTCTAATGGTAAAGTAGCAGCTGAGATGTAATGGTTAACCATGTAATGGGTTGTTTGTAGTGGTAAATGCAGTTGGGTTTTGGGACAAATCTTGCTACTAACATCGAGATTTGTGAGAAGCAGCCATGTTTTCTTTGTGTTAAAGGATCACTTGGTATGTTTCCTGCCTGGTGCCCTGGCTTTAGGAGCTCATCATGGGCTTAGTGCTGATCACATGGACCTGGCTAAAGACCTAATGGAAACCTGCTACCAAATGTACGCACAGATAGAAACTGGACTGAGCCCAGAAATTGTCCACTTCAATCTGAGTCCACACAATGGCAAGGATGTGGAAGTTAAGGTGGGTTTAGGTTCATCAGATCGCTGAATGGATGGAGAATGATTTTGTACGGTGATGGACAATTAGAAATTATAGCCAATAATTATTGGATTCAGTAACTTTGAAGTTAAGGTGGATGGCAGTATTTACAAATGCAACTTTCTAATAGATTATTATCACCCCAAACCCTTTTGAACTTGTGTAAATCTGTGCATTTGAACATCGTAGTGTGATTTCAATGGGGAAAATAATGAACATGATTCTGCATGGTATTATCCTTATCTTTTGTTGTAGCCTGCTGACAGACACAACCTGTTGAGACCTGAAACGATTGAAAGCCTCTTCTACCTGTACAGATTTACACAGGATAAAAAGTATCAGGATTGGGGCTGGGAGATCCTCCAAAACTTCAACAAATATACCCGAGTAAGTAATGGGAATTAATGAAAGAATACGATGATTTCAGATCACAGCTGCATTATAATGATGCTAATTTGACTATTTCCATTGCATAAGAACATAAGAATTAGGAGCAGGAGTAGGCCGTTCGGCCCCTCAAGCCTGTGCCGGGCCATTCGTTAAGATCATAGCTGATCTTCTGACCTAATTACCTGCCCTATCCCCTAATCCCTCTGTTTTTTAAAAAATCTATCAGTCTCAGCCTTGAAGATGTTCAAGGACTGAGCATATACAGCCTTTTGCGCTCATTTATACAAAATATAGTCAATTCACTTCACAGTGTATTCTGTGAAGCGCTTTGAGAGGTCACGAAGACCTGATAAGGCGCTATATCAAATGCAAGGATTATTATTATTATACCTAAGTTAAAAATTCCATTGAACGTTACATGTGCCAAGACCCTTACAGTGGGAAATCCCAATTAGTAGATGACATACCCAAGACAATAATAAGACAATTCTACCCATAACAATAATATGGGATTTTTAATTGTCTGCATTTGAAAATATTTTGAGCGACAATTTGATGCTTAACCATATAATTAACAATGAGCCCTTTGTACAATTCCCTTCACCTGTATTCCTTATGGTTTTGTTTTACACAGGTTGCCACTGGAGGCTACACTTCTATTAATAATGTCCGCAATCCTGAAAACCCAGAGCCCAGGGATAAAATGGAGAGCTTCTTTCTTGGAGAGACACTGAAATACTTTTTCCTTCTGTTTTCGGATGACTTCAATTTTATTAATCTGGACAAATTCATTTTTAATACAGAAGCACATATTATTCCAATATGGACAACCTGACCAGATAGATCTTTGAGTTGACCTCTCAACAGGTCAGTTATGGGATGAACCTGTTGGGTGTTTAACATGGAGTTACCCACTGTGTGGAGGTATTGCTCTACTTCATCGCCCACTGTGAAAGTTGATTGTTACATGGAGGCGTAGCAATTGGAACGGTAAGAAACTATGAACTAGGGAACAAACTTTTGGTAAACTGTTGCTGCAAGTGATTTTTTTTCCTTTATTGACAAAACAAGCTTAATTCCATTGTCTTCATCTATTTATTTCTCTTCGCCAACTTCAACCCTGTAGATGAGTATTGCATAATAAGACTCCTTGTTGGGAACATACAAATGTCAGGGAACAAATTGAATTTCATACCATCCATATAAGATTTGGAGCAACTAAATTGCATTGATGTATAGTCTGAGTCTTAGCTGCATTTCTTGGTCAATGGGGTGTTTTATTTTGACTATTTGTTTTCAATTTCATAATAATTTCATAAATTATTTAGAGAAATGAAAAGACTGAATCAACAAGGACGGCATTTGGACAACGAGGTCAGTCACCAGGCCACTCTTTCACTGCAGTAGAGACTGTAAATGAAAACTTATTGCCATGGAACCGTTAAGAGTCCATAAGACTGATACAAGTTATTGTAATAAGTCGATAAATTGATTGACCATGTTCATGGTCAGGTGTGAATTGTCTTTTTTATTATTATTATTGAACAAAGCCCCAACTGCCTACTTATACAGGCTGCTGGCTTGCTATGAAGGATCCACTAGTAATCCATTAGGCTAGCTTTGTTTTATTGCTGTAGCTGCTGCTAAGACTTCAGCGTACCTGGATATTTCACCTTGAAAGCATAGCATGAACTAGTTATGATTCAGTTCCGAGCATAGAAACAACCAGAAATAGTGCTGTGGGATTTGCAAGGCCTATATTTCTATCTACTGCTTTCATGCAATTGTTACAGCTGTAATTGAAGATATATACACACTCGTGATATGAATCTAGTAATGAAACAGTAATCAAATGTGTTTGCATTGCTAATAACTGTATAGGTTGTCTAAGAAATAATTTGTGTTTAGTAGAAAACATTTCTTCCACGGTTTGTGTTTTGTCTTACGTAACAAAGGAAATGGTTGGCTATTCAAGCAACTTTATTAGTTGAGTGATAATGTGCATCACCTCTTAATTTAAGCACATGTAAAATGCAAGCTGGGACTGTGGTGTGGGAATCATGTGGTGAAATGCAATATGACAACTTTGTAAATATATTCAGGAATATGGTTAGAAAACTTTCAGGAAATGAGCCATATTGTATAGTATTTACCTATCTCATCAAGACTCTTTACAAGTCATAGAAAATCTAGATTTTTATGGCCTTTGAAACTAATGCCATCTTGCAAATTGGGAGTGCACTTGTATTGTTTGAGCCTCTGCATCGGAATTAGTAACATTTGTCACTGGTTATACATAGTCCAAATTGGTAAAAATACATTGTAATTTTATGGATCTAATTCTCATACCTTTTCTGATATTTTTAATGACTTGCAATATCTAAAGCAGGTTATTAAAGATTCATTGAATTCAGCTCTGCCGCATTTCTGATTTAATTGTGCGGTCGCCAAAAAAAGCCTTGAACCGGATTGCACAGCAAAGCTAAGTGTGAAATTATCCTTACTTGAGGTATTACTATATTAGTTGTCATAAATATTATGATCTTCAGTGAGAATTACTATTGCACAAAAGGGAATTGGAGCCTATGAAGAGAACCAGTTTGTCTTTTTTTTCCATATCTGATTTTTCAAAATCAGACTAATAGACAAGAATAAAATGGGGGGAAAAAGGTTCGAAAGAGGGGTGAAAAAAGATGGAGGAGCAGTTACTGTGGTCCTAATTATTGCTGTTATTGTTTTTGTTAACAGTTTGCCCCCCTTTACAAATGCCACATTAAATCCTAAGATTTTATTTTAAAGTATGTGGTAAATAAGGTTCAAGGAGATAGATGTGAACATATCTGAAACTCCAGATAGTTTTAAACTATAATTTGTCATTGAAATTTTCTTTTGTAAATAATTACAGGCTATTTTTCAAAATTAAAATTTGACGCCTCTGATTGGTGTCTGAGAGTGTATTTATATATAAGTTATACTGAAATATTCCAAAAGCAATTGCACATGTGAAGCTTTTTGTGTAAGTCCTTTGTGTCAGTCAGTGATTTCTGTTTACGTCCATCATAAATTGTCATTCCTGAAAAGATGGCTGAGTATCAATGCAATATTAGTCCTGAGGATGCATTTCTAAGTAAATACTCATTTTAATTTATGACTGTTAGGTTTAAAACATTTATCCAGTTTCAATGGGTTTGGGAATATTAAACTAGTTCCCATGGCTTTTTGCTTGCTGGTAACTATTCAGTTGAAAAGTGGATGATGTTGATGTAAATATCTTTTTGGGTTCTAGGAAAAATGATTGTAAATAAAAGTATTATAACAGCCATTCTGTCTTCCATCAAACAATTTTATTTCACATCATACTCCTGAATAGTTTGTCTTAAAATAACATTGCATTAATTTTACCTGGTTTTACCCTGAGATGAGTACGTTAACAAAAAATAAAACCTCCATCATTACATTCAATTTCAAATCTCAAAAGGCTTTAATTACTCAGAATTAGTTCTAACAGGAACCTATAAATACATTTATAGGTTGGGTCAAGTTATCACTCGTTTAGAATAAACGTGAGTGATGTAAAGCTGATGTTTTTTCACCCATGTCTTAATTATCAAAGATTCGACCTTACGAGCTAACGTAACAGCTGCTGGATCACGAGGATGAGAACCTCTGAAAGAGACAATTGACCAATTGTTTTGATTTAAATAAACCTCTTACTTCAAACACATATACACAGTAGCAAGACGCTGGCTATTCTGGGCACTTCACTTTTCAATGACAATGGTTTTATAGAATCTTTACCTTGGAATATGCAGAAACAGGTCAAACAACTGGTCTATGCCGGTGTTTATGCTCCACATGAGCCTCCTCCCTGCCCTTCTTCAACTAACCCTTCAAGCAGAAACTTCCCTATTTGATCTATTGGGGACTATTTTATATTGATGGCCTCTGGTTTTGGTCTCTCCCACAAGTGAAACTTCTTCCCTATGTCTATCCTATCAAAACCTTTCATCATTTTAAATGATCAGGTCACCCCTTACCCTCTTTTCAAGAGAAGAGCCCAAGTAGATTCAGCCTTTCCTGATTGGTATAACCCCTCAGCTCTGGGATCATCCTTGGGAATCTCCTTTGCACCCTCTCTAGTGCCTCAACATCCTTTCTGTAATGTGGGGACCAGAATCTTGTGATAATTTGTCCAATGGCATCACAGGTATAAATTGACTTCCAAGACCTAACTGGTCATTCCATGGGTACAACAAACATGAATTTGAACTTAAATCTCAAAAGCGCTGCATGGGATTTAGGTAAAGTGAAAGTAAAGCTTAGGGACTGTATTTGTAGGCCAATGAGACAACAATTTGCACGCAGCAACGTCCTACAAGCGGCCAAGAGGTGAATGACCAATTTTATCTTGTGGATTATTGGCTAAAATATTGGGAGAATCTCCCTTCTCTTTTCAAATAGCGCCATGGGATCTTTAATGCCTAATTGAACAGACAAGAGCTCAGTTTAACGTCTCATCCAAAGGGACAGCATCTCTAACAATGCAAGTCTCGCAAGACTCGGTTCAGTCAACTCACCTCAGATCCAGATGGTGTGCTGCTCCATCGATGATGAGAGCAATCACCGAGGAACTCACGTTTTTGAGTACCTATTTCATACATACAGAAAAAAATTACTTTGTGCACCACATGGTATAAATTTTCATTGTATAAATATTTAATTGTCCAGTAACTGAAATGTAATCATGTTCCACTGGAATGGGATGTTTTGTCTTCATGCAAAATAATAGACTATGATTGAAACCGATTTTGATTTGTAGGAGGCCAACTGCCAAGAACCACCACTCTTGAATTTAGTAGCTGTCTCAAAGACTTAACATTTTAAACCTATCACAGTGTAACAGATACTTACACCACCATTTGCCCATGGATCCAAGATGCCATTGGAAAATATTATATTGCTTGCAGTAGTCAAATCTGCAATAACACATTAGATGGTAGTAACATACTGTATGCAGCACAAAGAAACAACAAAATGTAATAATTAATGTACAGTAAGTTACCATTTCCCCAGTATTGTAGTTTTAACCAATCTTGGCTTGGTCTCACACCCCATTTTCTGTGGCAATATTCCTCTCTCATGGTCTCAGTGAAGGGCATGGCAGGGAACATGTCTGTGAGACCATTACTTTCATACAGTAAGTTGATTTCAGTGCAAGCCTGAAAAAAAATACAAGGAATATTTTACTCATTGAACTAAAATATTTACCTTTCCAAAGTACCCAAGTTTAATTGGTGTGGTTTGTTTTCCAGCATTGCCATTTGAAACGCCATGTTGTGATTTTGTACCTTGGTTAAAGAGCCGCTTGTGAATAGTGTGCTGTTTGGCATTCCCCCTTTGTGGACATAATTCACAAGATAGCACAGGAAATCTTTAGAATGTCATACAACAAGCAAATTCTAATTGTTTTGACTCACTCTACCTCTCTTCATCCCTTCCACTCAGGGAAATTAGTATTTTATATTTTGTATAAAGTGCCATAAATATACGTAGGCTTATTTATTTAATAATTGGTTATAATAAATTAAGATAGTGGCATTTGGTCTGATGTCTAAAAATAAATATAATTACTTTTCAACATGTGACTTAAGTGCCTACTTTCCAAACATTAGCAAAAAGTGTACATATTATGCACTGTAAAGTATTTACACAGATAGCATACATTTCCATTAATGTGAAGTCTAATGGAAATCCGTCTAATTTCAATCCCAAATTGTGCACACAGCTCATCTTCACTGACATTAAATTAATCTAAATTGATAAATATTTTTATGTTTAACAAGCTGTCTGAGTTCCATCAATTGGCACACATTTACACAAACACAGAACATGTCAATCTGGTTTCAAATAATTCATGTGTAAATCGTTCTGAAATCAGCATTCCAATTCTGTGAATGCATACATTTTATACATTAGCACAAAATAATCAGTCACATGATAGAAAAAGATGAAAAAAGGAGTTGTATATATATGTATATATATGTGGAAGAAGTGAGTTTAGGTGGGCATCATTTCTTTGGTTTGTTGCAAAACAATACTTTCGTATGTTTGTCTTGTATTTTATGACCTCTTACAAATCATTCTAATCGATGACCAAAATAAAAAGCACAAAAATCATGCTGTATGATAGGGCAATAAGGCAATAACAATACATTAAAGTAAGCTTACATTAAATTAAAATCTGTTTAAATTCAGAGGTTTTGAATTCTTGAACACAAAGTTACAATAAAGGAGATTTTCACAATTTACAACCTTACTACTATAATCACATTAGAGGCATTAACTAATGCACCTTTTCTACAATTTATAATGACGGTAATGTTATGCTGCACTTCTTCCACATGTTATAAATCAATACAGAAAAGTACAACTACCTGAAAATCCCACGCCTGACCTTCTGAACCCAGGGCACAGCCAGTTGGATCAGCACAGGGCATAAACTGCGTATAGATATCGAAACACCTTAAATCCCCAGAAATATTGTAATAGATTTCTGAAAAAAGAATATTGGGGAAAAATAACAGGAATATCGACTGCCAGTTGCTAATTTTACGTACAAATAAAATTTGTACATACTCTACATGTAAAATTTTCAGTTAATATTGCAAATTAACACAACCACCTATTCAAGTTTCAGGCACACAATCATAGAATTACATAGAATGAAACAGGCCAATCAATTAGTCTGTGTCAGTGTACCAAATGGATAATTTTACTGGAAGCGGAACAATGTAGGAATAAACGATAAGAGTATAATATCAATTATAGAGTATAAAGCGTATTTATAATAATAATAATCCTTGCATTTGATATAGCGCTTTTCACGTCGGGAGGACATCCCAAAGCGCTTCACAGAACACACTGTAAAGTGAATTGACTGTATATTTGTGGGCGAACGCGGCAGCCAATTGTGCACAGCAATTCCCACAAACAGTTGTAGATTGAAAATGACCAATTTATTATTGTTTTGTTTTGGAGGGATTATTATCAGGTGTGTGGAGTAAGAAAACTTGCCCAAGGTTTCGCCCTGACCTGCCTGGAATTGAACTCCGGTCTCTCGCTTGCAAAGCGAGTGCTCTAACCAGAGCTACAGGACTCCACAGCTTTATACTGAACGAAAGCTATACTTTTCAAAGACAACAATTGCTAACATTACACTCAATTGACTTACTGTACAGGTAACATAAAGGAATTTCAAATATATATTCAATTCGTATAATAATCCTTTGATAATCTTTGCAAATGCAAGTTACCCCTTAAAAAGTTCACTTACCACTTACAGAATATACACAGGCAAAAGGTTAGTTGAAATTCCTATTGGCTGGTGATAGTTTTGCACTAAGAATACAGATAAAACTAAACATAGAATCACCTTTGAAGCTCACAGAACTCTAGTTATATTTTTAGCAGCATTTCAACAAACAGTGCTGGTCAAACAAATGGAAGTTTTTTTTTCTACATGGTTCAAACTATTTTAAAAAGCCAAACAGGAATGCTGACTGATAGCATGACCTTTGAAATACAGAACGAAAGCTGTGTTGGTCAGCAAGTGACAATACGTAGCTAAATGCCAACGTCATTTCATTTGTCCAGTAAGTAGTCAGACATGTTCAGGCAAGTACTGCTGACACACACATTACCTGCTCAAGATAAAACACTAAAGGTGGAACTAAGCAGCAAGGTTGAAAACATCTCACTGTGTCCAAGGCAAGAAAAAAGGGAATGAGCAGCAATATGTTTTGTAGAAGCTGCGACCAATGAACATTTTGTGATATAAGACAACGGCTACTAATCGTCAAAGATGAGAGGAGTATTTGTACTTTGGTAGACTTTCATTACCTTAACTGGACAGACTTCTCCATAGCTACAGGTAGTGAAACAAACCAAGCACCGAGGCATCTTCAAAGAATTGTGGTGTTGGAAGAAGCAGGACGATCAGAAAGGTATTAACGGCAGTAATGATTACTGAGTTCATTCGTCTTGTTCAGATTGTTTAAATATCATATGACATAACTAAAGTACTAAAGCAAACAGAAGAGATTCAAGTATTTATTCTTTTACGGATTTTAAATATACTGTAGTTTGTCATTTTTTTCTCGGTTGGAGATTGATCAGGTTCTCGGTTAGAGATTGATCGGATTTGAATCAAGTTTCTCACTTTTACCTGACTTGAATAAGTGGCTGCCAGCTTTGAACCAAAATGAACAATAATCACTGGAAGAATTAAGGTAACAACCAAATTTACAGATAAATATCGTCAGAAAAGGATTACAGAACAGCAGTAGAACAAAGGAGTAAGAACAATAAAAATGAAGTTGAAATGAAATAAAGGGAAAGCAGCTTATTTTTAAACTTAAAATTATGTTTTTGTAATATTTTAGTGGTTGAATATTAGACTGAGGCCCTCCTACTTGGCTCCTGTCAGTGCTCACACCATTGCTATTCATGGATGCATTCTCCACCTCACTGAGCCAGTCCAGCACCAGTCCAGAACCTTGGTGTCTTGTTCGACTCTCAACTCTCTTTCAAACCCCACATCCGTACCATTACCCTTTCTGTTTCCTTCCATCCCTTGCCTCCTTTAAGGACCATCTCAATAGCTTCCTCTTTGACTGTGCCTTTGACCACCATCCCAACTCCACTTCCCTTGTCCTCTACCCCTCTTGACTATAACCCCAGCTCGAGGAGTCCCGAAATGAAAGGTGCTATATTATATATATATATTATATATATATATACACACAGTATATATATATATGCTATTTGTTGTTGTTCCAGTTTAGGAGCTGAAAAGTGCAGAAGTGATAGGCCTCTAAAGAATGGAGTCTTTGGGACTACCTTAACTAGCATTAAGTTAGTTGTAACATAGAAGATGAATCTTTTAAGACATTGCTTTATACTTGTCTGACATTTGAAACTCTTACATAGCATTACAGCGTACTGACATTATGTTTTTTGTACCAAGCTGCAGCTTGTAACAGCAAAAATACTGCCAGATGGTTGAAGAACTACAACTCCTAAAACAGCTTTCTTCCACCCTCAGAAAAATGTCAGACACTTTACAGAACTGTTTAGAACATCAACCACTTGTATCAGACGCCTACCCGGATAAATTACTGGAAGGTCTCTTCAACTTGCGTACGAGAAATATCCTGTGTGATATTATGCTGGAGGCGGAAGGAATCACCTTTCCAGTACACAAAGTCATCTTGGCATCTGTGAGCAGTTACTGTAAGCTACTGTTTGGTGCCAAAACCGCAGCTCCAGGGAATCAACAGAATATAGTTATTAAATTGAACAATGTTAGTGCACGAGGACTCAAACACGTGCTGGATTTTGTTTATTCAAACAGACTCAACCTTACTTTAGACACGATAGAAGAGATACTCAAAGCAGCAGAGATTTTGCTCGTCAGGGATGCAATCAAACTATGCTTTAAATTCCTTGAAGAATGCCTTAGTCAGAGAAACTGCATGGACATTGTTAAAATAACCCAAAAATCTGGGCCACAGGACTTAAAACAAAAGGCAGCTTCGTATGTGGGTCAGTACTACAAACACATTTTGGGAAATCATCGCTCTCTGGTAGAACTGGATAAAGTAGCTCTTTGTACAATCCTGGACGATAATGGCATACAAGGCTACAGTGAACTGGAACTGTTTGACTGCACAATACGGTGGCTATATCATGATGAGAACAGGTTAAAGGATGCAGCGGAAATTCTGAAAAGAATTCGGTTCTGCCTCATCCCAGCAGCCAAACTGCAGAAGTGTGTTCAAGAAACATCGCTCATGAAAACTAATCTCCAATGTCACAGATACCTCCAAGAAGCACTAAGTTACCATTCCCACCTGTACGCCCAGCCGCTCATACAGTCGGCACGATCTCAGATCCGCTCGATCACTGATCATTTGGTGATTCTTGGAGGGCGTACAAAGGATAACAGAATTTGCAGCGATGTTTGGGTTGCAGATGAAACTGGCAGTTGCTGGAGAAAAATGGGGGAAATGTGCATTCCTTTGTACCATCATAAGGTGGTGGTTGTAAATGACTTTGTGTTTGTTATTGGTGGGCAACACAGATTCGAAGCCAATGGAAAACAACCGTCAAACGAGGCAAGTGTCTTTATAAATTGGGTGCCAGATTAATGATGGGATTTTGAATTAGACCCGTGTCTGTGGGATTAAGTTATGAATTACATAGAATGTTATAGCACAGAAACAGACCATTTGGCCTAAGTAGCCCATGCTGGTGGATATACTCTCCACGAGCCTCCACCCCTCTTCTATACCGCTCTACCTCCTTCCCTCTTCTAAATGCTATACAGTTTACCCATTTCTATATTCAATATTCAATTTATAAATAAATGCCTGTATAAAAAGATCTTAAAAGTCTTTTAAGAAAATAGATTAAAAGTACACAATGTGAAACATATTTAGGCCTAGTGTTGAAGTAGGTTGACCCATCTAACTGCTTCGCTTTCCATCAGGTTTTTAGGTTTGATGTCAGGAATAACTCATGGCTGCAGGTTGCTGGAATGCTGGAAAGGCGTACACGTTTTCATGCGGACACAGTTTTAGACCACATCATTTCGGTGGCAGGTGGGACAATTCAAGGAAACCTCACCAACACAGTTGAAGAATACAAGCCTGTAGAGAACAAGTGGCAATTTGCAGCACCATTCCCAGTGGCGGTGGCAGACCATGCAGGGGCTGTGCATAAAGCCATCTTGTACATATCAGGTGAGATTGGAGATGGTGCTGTCGCTATCCATTACATGTTTTTTTTTAGAAAATGTAAATTAGTGTCAGTAATCCTGACGTCATTAATAATAATCCTTGTATTTGACATGGATTTGACATGTAATCACTTTCTTATCACACTAATTAGGTGGATTTTCAGCAGGGGTAACTCTGAAAGATATATATAGCTATCTCCCAAGACTACAAAGGTGGATCGTCAACAGAGCCATGACATTTGCCAGGTGTGACCACGGAATGGCTACCATTGGAGACAAAATATTCTGTGTAGGAGGAAGAGCTTTAAACTCAGTAAGTGAAGCTTTAAATATTTACGTTTTTACTTAAAATTCAAAGTCAGTACTTGTTATTTAATGCATACTAATAGTTTTATAGCATGTTATGACCTCAATGACTGCTCTTTTGAAGTAAATTCTTCATCTAAGAGCAGTCATCAACAGATCAGGTGGGACATCAACATTAATATCAATAGGATGCTGAAATTATTAGGTAATGAGGACAATTCATTATTTTCACAGTAGTTTATACTCATTCAAATGATAACACATTTGGGATAAAAATAGAGGAAACTGAATGGAGACATCACTGCGAGATACAAATGCCTAAATAAATCTATTGTTTAATTACTTTTAAACCAAATTTGAATAATGCAGAATATAAAAATATTGTCATTTTAAATGAAAACTACTCTGAAGTGTGAACTGTTAACAGCATGTGGTGATGTTACTAGGAGACGTTTGTTTACCATACACGTGCCACCTGTTCTTATTACATTATGACATTTGCAGGCAGCAAAAAAATTTTTTTTAAATGGTCTCACATTGTATTAAAGTGCTTTTTATTTTGAATTATATTAATTTTTTTAACTAAGATCCACTCATTTCTTCTACAGTCAAGCGAATGGGTTCACGTAAATGAAACAGAATATTATGTCCCTGGAACGGACCAGTGGACCACACTTAAAGTATCTCCCTTCAACTGCTGTCAATTCAGCACCTCAGTTCATAATTCTAAACTATACATCACAGGTGGAGGCTCTCTGCATCAAATGATGAAAAAGGATAGTGTCTTTATCTATCACCCTGAGGCCCGCAGGTGGGAAAGAGTAGGAGCCCTACCTCTCCCACTGATGGATCATGCTGCCTGCACACTTAAACTCTGTGATGAAGTTTTGAACAAGTTGAAGCGAGAGGAGAGAGTACATCCGCTCCTTGGCAGCAAAAAGAGTTCTACCCTCAAACTACTTGTAACCGATTAGTGTGAGATACAATAACAATATATGCACATGTGAATGAATGAAAATTAAAAATGGAGCTATGTGCCATAGGAAAGCACAAGACTTGTAGTGAAACCTTTTAACAAAGCCATCAGCCCACTGTTTAATTTTGTAGTCTATTTAGACATTTGCATTTTTCTTATAACCTAAATATACGTACAGCTTTGTTTATGAAACATCGCTTCCTGTGTTATGTTACATTAAGTACTTTTGTTTGCCTTATAAATTAAAAGCATTACAATTTTAACAGTACTGCTGAACTTCATATTGGCCATTGACATTAATTTTTCACCAAAAGATGCTGGGAAATCAAAATCACTTAGCTGCATTACATGCACATAAAATAAGCAATGCCAGGGAATTAACTGCAGTAATTTCATCAACTAGTTATGTCCAAAGCATCATTTATAATCCAGATCGAGTGTATGGCTGATTATCTGCCAACATTTTTTACAGCAATACTATCCCTCAGTGTCCATTATACATTTGAAAATAGCAAGCTTACCTAAACCTGCTCGTAAGGCTTCGATAGGATCAGGAATTAATTCAATAATACGGCAGACAATCTAAAGAGAATAGCATTATTAATAAATTATACAACAGCAAACATGTATATGATTCCCTAAACTTCTTTTCCTGCAATAGGATTTTCAAAATACTAATGTTATCAAGGGCTGGGAATTCAGACTAGTTTTAGCATTCAAACTTTCAAAATCATTTTATCTTATAACGTAATAACGCATATGTTAATTGTGGAAATGTCTTAAAATTCTAATCTGGAAGCTGGTTATTTTTTAAGACCAGTGGAAAACTTGCATTAAAATTAATATAATAAAATAATAAAGGATTTTAAAAAATTCCACAATTCTGCACAATCATAACAATAACCTTTGCATTTGATAAAGTACCTAATGGAGCTGAAACATCAGAAACACACCAGAGGTTTCTGTAAAGTTTAGTGCCTGTATATTTGTGGGCCAACACAGCAACTAAGAGCCCACAAAAAGGCACAACATGAAAAACCAAATGCTCTTACAGATTAAGACTATGTGGAATTTCAAAAATATGCAGTGAAAATGTTGTACACTGTAGTGTTTATTTACAGATAAATGATAAATATTGTGATTCATTGCAAACGATTATTTTAATAAACAAACAAAAATATCCTCTGATATACATTCTGGAATTTTTAAAACGTTTTTGTGAAAAATAAAATCCAAGACTTGATGCTTACATTCACTGGATTTTCAGGTAAACTTCTTGGTGTATTCATCTGGTAAGGATAGTTGTACATCGCTATAACTGTAAATCCATTTCTTGCCCATCCATAAAGTCGTTCAATATCTTTTAGAGACATTACTGCTTCACACAGATGCATTTTGTTTGTGATCTCATTCCATTCTGTATAACACCAATTTTGAATGATGTAGATTAATGAGAGAAATTCAATTTTTGTCTATTCACTCATCCTCTCTCAAACACTTGGTCACAAGTACGGATTTACATATCACAGTTCCTCAGAACCCTAGAATTCTACATTTCAGAAATGAGTGTTATTCAAGGTATTGCACAAGCAGATTTAAAAACTGCTGCAAAGCAAACATCTTTAAGTGAAAAGTTTTGAAGGTTGAACCATAGATATTTACACTACAGAAGGCCATTCGGACCTTGTGCCTATGCTGGCTATTTGAAAGATCAATCCATTCAGTCTAAGTTACTTGCTCTTTTACCATACTCCTGTATGCTATTCATTTTAACATTTTTCTGGCTCTCCCTTGAAAGCTAATTCGGGTCCAACCTCGATCACCACACACAAAATTGTACTATGTACAATTATCTAAAGTTCCTGGATATATATTGATTGTGTACTGATAACTTTCACCAAATGAAAGCTGAGTAAATAAACCCTCAGAAATGAAAATAATTATTTTGAACCCTGAACTATAGATACCTTCTTGTTGCCCCAAGGCTTCAAGTGCCTGAAAAGCTTCCCGGATTTGCTGAGGACAGTCAGAGTTGCAACGTTCAAATTCCTGATCAAAGACAAGATTATAATCATATATAATAATGCAGTCCAGACGAAAACGCCACTAGGGACAGGTTATTGTATTTATTGCATAATTGTGCCAATTATATCCAAATGCTCAAGGAAAGGGTTTTAGTGAAAGGAGTCTTTTACATTGAAGAGGGGTCGATTTTCGCCATGTGTATTATAGGTCATCAATAAACTATATGCAGATATGTACTGAGAGGAACAATAGGTATCCCTGTTATGTAATTAACCAACTAAAATAATTTAATTATGCAATAAAAAATTTTTTTTCCATTAGTTGTTAAATACATCATTAAAGGAACCTGCAATTCCTGCTCTGCACATGGCACATAATATACGTGATCAACATAACAGAAGGAGTACCCAGAGAAGGAAACTGCTCTGAACCAAAAGACATTTCTGTATTTATTGATTCCAGTTGTTCGTTGTTACGATGTTATGTAATTATATTGTTCGCATTAATCTCCTTCAATTGTTGATCCTGCATTTTTTTTAAAAATGAAATGTTTCTTAGTCATTTTCAGATCTTTCTCATAAGATTATTCTATACGTGCATCCTCTTTTGAACACACTGATTGACTGCCACCAAATATAAGGTTACAGAGAGCAGACAATGGCAGTCCGATAAATGCAGGTACCACAAAAACATAGTCAAACTATTTCGAGCCTGTTCTGCCATTCTATTATATCATGGCTGATAGAACAGGCTTGAAGGGCTGAATGGCCTATTCTTGTCCCTGTGTTCCTATGAGCAGTAATGCTCAAACCAATATGGACGGAAAAGGAATGCAAGAAGTAAAATATCTTTTAAAAAGACATCCACCTTCAGAGATTTGGTCTTCCGATATGTATATTATTTATTTATTATCTTTTCAGGTCTATCTAACCCTTACCTCATTCTATGCAGCTGTCTCTAAGTTATCAATATTAGGTACATGAAAATAAACGAGTGTAGCTGTTTGATAAAATCACAAATTTCGCACAAGAGAAACCACAGGTGCAAACACGTTTTCCTCCACTCTACCACACAAAAAATCTGAAGTGGAACAAACAAATCACCCAGCAGAGGGCTCTGTACGCCGTTATACTTGCACTTGGCATTGCATCAACCTTTCACGTCAGGTTATCTAAATTGCTTCACAGAATTTACTGTAAAATATTGTTCCTGTGTATTTTATAGGCAAACGAAGCAGACACAGGAAGGTCCCATAAAATGTATGATCAATTTTATCTATACTTCTCGAGCACTGCCCTGAAGTGGCAGCCTCGACTGTGTGAGTTCAAAGTACCAAGATGGGGCTTGAACCCACAACCTCTGCCTCAGAGATGAGAGTACTACCAACTAACCAACTGAACGAGGCTTACACCCGTTTGTTGACATCTTTCAACTGACTTACATGTATGTAGAAGTGTCACTGGAGTAGTGATAATACACTGCGGTGCATCAAGTATTTTTCACTTCTTGAAAGTTTTAAAAGTGCTGTACAAATCTAAATGTGGTGCCTTAATTGCACCGAAGGATTTAGATTGCTCGCTTCTTAAATAATCCCCCCAAAAAGATGGCGCGTACTCACTTTAGTTACATCACGGAAAAACTGAGCTGAACTGCCAATGCCTGCTGTGGAGAAGATAGGTGCACTTGAAGCTAGGGCTCCCAATACAATATTGGGATATTTCATTCTCATATAGGCACTTAACATTCCGCCATAGCTGGAAAAAAATAGTTATAAGCAGAATATTATCAACAGGTTTAATAAAAAGTAAAAGCATGATTAGCAATTATGTGAGTGCTTGGGAATAAAAAACGTACAAATCTAATCATAGTCATTCAGCCCAACATGTCTGTACTGGCTCTTTTAAAGGTGAATCCATTCAGTCTCATTTACCTGCCTTTTCCCCGTAACCCTGCAATTTACCCCTTTATAGATATTTGTTTAGTACCATTATGAACACTAAAAAGAATCCTGCTTCAGTACAGTACAATGCAACAAACCTTTAAAATCCCTTACAGTAATTACTATATGTACCTGCCACCAAATGCAATCACAGGACTGTCTTCAGCATCAAGTACTGTTTTTAGCTTTGTAAGAAGAACCACAAAATCTGCTAAGGCTTGCTCCACGGATAGGAACACAATGTTTGACTTCTCGAATGATTTAGTACCGAATGGAAGGGATTTCCCATAGTATCGCTGAAGATGGAGAAGTATTGAATGAGTTTGTAATTCTTTTATAAAAAACGTAAAAGCAGATCTTATATTGTTCAAGTCAGTTACTTAATCTAAAAATAGGAATTTGCCTTTGTTCATACTCCAACATGTTCATCCAGTAAATGCTCATTCTGCCATAGAAATATATCACAAAAGTAACATCTACATTTTGAATTAATGATCAAAAGCATTTTTAAAGAATAAGGCTAGAATGAAACTTACATGTTCAGCAAAAACCACCAAAGCATTCTGCTCTGCTGCCTGTTCAATGATGAACCCGCTGTTGTTGGCAAAGTTCCAGATATCCCCTTCATTTCCAGTATAGAAGAATATTGGTCCATTGCCTGAGTCCCCAAACTGGTCTGTAATATTAAGAAACTGCTTAACATTTGGCAGTTTTCTATGTCGTAACTTTCTTTAATGGCATGATAATTTCTGTTGACATAGCTCCTATCATGTTGTCAAGACATCTCAAAGCACTTCAGATTTTTTTTGTGTAATATAAATAATAAAAATGCAAGGATTATTATATTTATAGCATGGACCAGTGTGCAGTCCATTTTAAAATTATAAATTAATTCAAACTGGTTTAAAATAACTCATCTGAGAGAAAAAGTCAAATACAGTCAAATCAGCAAATTAAGGAATCTAAAAGAGAAAATAGAAGCATAACTATGGCAACAATGGGTCACTTTTGATCACCAATTACCTCTCACCCGGAAACTCCGAGGTTGGGGAAGGGGGCTATTTCCCTTCCCATACTGATGAGGGGGAGGATGGCCAGGTGACCCAGTTTTGTTTCTAAACTATAAAATCACTAAAAACATGCAATCATAAGAACGCTGGACGAAAAAAGACCAAAGTCCGTCTAGTTCCCCTACCACCTTCCTGGTGGTCGCCTGCAAATATGTCCCAAACTACCTATGTACTATTTTATTTCCCATTATATTTCCTAAAAGAAAACTATCTAATCTGTGTTTGAAAGAATCAACACTTCCTGCAAGGGAGCCTGTGACACAGGTTCACTATTCGCTCACTGAAATAGTGTTTGCGTATAAGAATATAAGGATGAACATAACGATTTGAAAGAAGAAGGGAGTTTCTCCCAGTGTTTTGGCCAACAATTCCTGCAAAATAAAATTTGTCATTCACTTTGTGGTTGCTGTTTGTGGGACAGACTGGTTGCTGCATTCACCAACAAAATACACAGTCAGTATATATATGTGAGAAGGGCGAAGGGGAATCCTCACCAGTAAAGAGATAGCGCTGAAGGAAAGTTCTGTTATTGCTGGTGAAAGTGAAGTGATCCACGGGCTGGAGGAAATACATTTCTCTCAACATGAGGGTCGGACGCTCGATTTCCACTTGGCTGACTATCACCTGCGGGGGTGGGGGTGGCCAGGTGACCTCCTGTACCAGTTGGACATTGGTGGGAGGCATGATACTGGTCTTGATCAGCTCAGGAGGCTTGGGTGTCTCCTGTACGTTGCTAGTTCCGATCATCTTAGGAAACAGGGGCTTGCCACTCACAATGTTAATTAGCTTAGGAGGCTTCTGTACAGGAGACTGTACGATACTGCTTTCAATCAGCTCAAGAGGTTTGGGTGTCTCCTGTTCGATGCTAGTTCCGATCATCCTAGAAGACATGGGCCTGCCACGCACGATATTAATCAGCTCAGAAGGCTTCTGTACAGGAGACTGTACCGTACTGGTTTCGATCAGCTCAGGAGGCTTGGTGCTGGTGTTTATCAGCTCAGGAGGCTTGGAACTCTTCTGTACGATGCTAGTTTCGATCACCTTAGGAGACATGGGTCTGTCACCCACGATCTTAATCAGCTCAGGAACCTTCTGAACAGGAGGCTGTATAATATTGGTTTCAATCAGCTCAGGAGGTTTCTGTACAGGAGACTGTACCGTAGTGGTTTTGATCAGCTCAGGAGGTTTCTGTACAGGAGACTGTAAGATACTGGTTTCGATCAACTCAGGAGGTTTGGGTCTGTCAAGCTTGATGCTGGTGTCTATCAGCTCAGGAGGCTTGAATTTCTCCTGTACGATACTAGTTTCGATCATCTTAGGAGACGTGGTCCTGTCACGCTCGGTGAAGAACTCAGGAGGCTTCTGTTCAGCAGACTGTACGATTTTGGTTTCAATCAGCTCAGGAACCTTGGGTTCGTCAAGCTTGATGCTGGTGTCTATCAGCTCAGGAACCTTCTGTACAGGAGACTGCATTGTACTGGTTTCGATCAGCTCAGGAGGCTTCTGTACAGTAGACTGTACCGTACTGGTTTCGATCAGCTCAGGAGGCTGTGGGCTATCAAATGTGATGCTGGTGTCTATCAGCTCAGGAACCTTCTGTTCAGGAGGCTGTACGATACTGGTTTCGATCAGCTCAGGAGGCTTGTGTCTGTTACGCTTGGTGTCTATCAGGTCAGGAGGCTTGTGTCTGTCTCGCACAATGCTGCTTGTTTTGAAAAACTCAGGAAGCTTATGTCTCAAATTGGTCTCGATCAGCTGAGGAGGCGTAGGTCTCTCTGGCATGATGCTGGTGTCGATCAGCCAAATGTCAGTGGCGGTCGGGTAGGTTTCCACCATCTCGACCAGGACGGGTGGCGTTTCTTCTTCTTCTCCTCCTCCATTATCATCTTCTTCTTCCTCTATCTCCACCACCGTCACGGTGTCGCCCGGCGTTTCTTCTTCTTCTTCTTCTTCTTCATCGCCGTCGCCTTCATCGTCTTCTTCTTTATAATCTTCTTCTCCCTTCCCCTCCTCCTCCTCCTCCTCCAGCGCCGTCACATCGTTATCGCCGCCGCCGCCGTCCCCTTTCTCTTCCTTCATCTCCACCACCATCACGTCGTCGCCGTCTTCCCCTTTCTCTTCCTTCATCTCCACCACCATCACGTCGTCGTCGTCGTCCTCCTCCTCGTCCTCCTCCTCCTTCTTCTTCTTCTTCTTCTCCTCCTCCACCGTCACGGTGTTGATGCCGCTGCCGGCCAGGGCGGCCAGCAGCTCTTCTTCTTCCTCCTCCTTCCTCTTTTCTTCATCGCCCCGGCCGCCGCCTTCCTCCTTCTGCTCCACCACCGTCACGGTGTTGATGCCGCTGCCGGCCAGGGCGGACAGCAGCTCCTCTTCTTCTTCCTCCTCCTTCCTCTTCTCTTCATCGCCCCGGCCGTCGCCTTCCTCCTTCTGCTCCACCACCGTCAGGGTGTCGATGGGCTGCGAGTACCTCCGCAGGGGCCACCGGGCGGCGGTGGCGGCGGCGGGGCTCCCGGGAGCCGGGCTCATGGTCGGGGAGACCAGCTGCTGCCCGACGGAGGACCACCAGGAGGGCGAGACGGGCCGCGCGGCAGGAGCGGGAACCGGCCGCCACCGGCCGCTCACGTCCGAAGGCGACGGGGCGACGGGCGGGCTCTCCCCCCGAGGCGAAGCCGCCGCCGCCGCCGCCTCGTAGGCCCCGGCCCCGGCCTCGGCCCCGGCCGTCGTCGGGGCCGCCCATCCGACCGCCGGCGGCTCCTGCCGGCCCGCGGGAAGAAGCGCGTCGGCCGGGCCGGCCGGGCCGCCCGGGGTCAGGGGGGAAGCCGAGAGCCTGAGGGGAAGCCAACAGGAGACGGCCAGCGACAGCTGCAGCGCCAGCGTCCAGTCGACGGCCATGTCGTCGCGCCTCTCCTCACGGGGCACGAGGAGGAGGAGGTGGGGGTTTGGGCGGACGCTCTGCCTCGCGCCTCCTTCGCCGCCTGCCCTGCCCTGCCCTGCGCGCGCGGGGGGCGAGGGGGTGGGGTTTGTGGTTGGGGGGGGGGGGGGGGGAGAGGAGCGAGCGCGAGAGAGAGAGGGAGAGAGGGCGGGGGCGGCGCCACGCGACCCAACCGTCAGTCAGTCAGTCGATTGTTCCCGCTTCGTTTTGAACAGGCGAACCTGCGCGCGCAGCCAGACCCCTCCCCCCTCCCCTGATCCCGCCCCCTCACTCGCGCACGGGCTGTCTCCTCCCCCACGTGATCGGCTGGGGCGGGTTTTCACGCCCGACGGAGGCGGGTTTCACGCCCCAATCGGGCGGGTTTCCCCCACCACCAACCCAACACCCAACACCAGGTTCCTCTGCATCTCAGAAGGCTCGCGCTTTGGGGTCCACTCTCCCCCCCCCCACCTCACCCCCCCCCACACACTCCCCACCCAGGACAGCAACGACAACTCGCCAGCGCGTCTCGGGGCGCTTAACCCTGAGCCGTGGGGGCGGGGGGTTGGGGGTGACCATAAGCCGAGACCCAAGAGGAAGGTCTCCGGTGGGGTTTCCAAAGGAGGGGTCAAGGCGGGGAGGTCGCGGGAGAAAGCAACTGCACCTCGTGCTTCTGAAAGGCGCCTCTGGCAACGCGCCCGCAACCCCCACCCCCACCCCTCCCAGCGCCGACCCCCCCCCACCCACCCCATCCCACGACGCCCCCCAGCGCGGCGTTGGAGGGTCCAGTTTAGACCTTGTGGATCCACAGCCTTCTGAATCAGGGGCTGGAGGGCAGACACGGCCGCTAATTTGCCCGCAGCGACACCCGTTCCCCGAGCGGCCCGTCTTCCCAACGTTACGGACGCGATAAGGCGGTTTTAAGACTGCGATCAAAGCCGTAACATTAAGCCCCGCGTCCTCCACCGTGACAACTTGCGGCAATTTTGGGGAAACAATGAGCTCTGTGGGTTTGGACATAGAGAGTGAATGGTAATTATTAATGACATTGCCGTCACTGTCTTTGTCCACTGACCTGCTAAATAATTTGATCGCAACAGAAAACAAATCATCGACCCTATAAGAGCTGTTTTGGCATTTCTACACAAAAATAAAGCCACAACAAGCTTAGAGCAAAATGATTACAGGTTTGTCTTACTGTAATATAATATGCATTATATTACGAGACAATTTTATTTGATTTTTCACATTTTCCTTTCCTATGGTATCTACCCAAGGTGCCTTTTGTGAGCCTCTCCAACTCAACAGTTTCCCTTCAGAAAACAATAAGAATTGGGTCACTCAATCCACGACTGTTTGCGGGGACGCTGCTGTGCACAATTGGCTGCCACGTTTTAAAAGAAGAATAAAAACCTCTATAAATCCTTCCAGTAGCATCCTTCCAAATGCACAAACAAAGCCGCCCGTGTTCCTAAAATGACCTCTTACGACATCTGCGCACAGTAGAGAGTGTTATTGTTTGATAGAAACTACTGTGTTGATGCAACATTGGAAAAAAAATTCCACTAACCATACGATACGCATTTCTCCCCTTTCTTTTACGGGAATGTTTTTTGTTATTTACCACCTGCTCTTCATTATTGGGTTTACTGGTATCCGTACATGCTCGTGCATCAAAGCCCGCTAATTTGCTCATTTATCTGTGCTTAAAAGAATTCTAAGAGACATCAATACAGTGACGCGTTTATATTATGTGGTATTTCAGAGCAGGTTCAAGTAGAACCAGTTTAATTTTGGTGGGATCCTGCCTCATTTAAGGCAGCAGACAGGTCTATCCTGTCAGCCTTTCTGCCCCCACCCTTTGGAACTCATCCCGCAGTCCCTTTGCCTTGCGCCTTCCCTTGCACCCTCAAGGCCCATCTCAAGACCCTCCTCTTCGATCGGGCTTCAAGGTCACTCCCTACCCTCTACCTTACCCTCCCTGCCCCTCATCCCTCCTGTTCTCAAGTACAGCTCGGGTCCAAATCCCTGACTGCTCCGTGCCTTGGGACGTCCTCCCGATGCTAAACGTGCTATACAAATATAATTAGTTGTTGTTGTTACTGTGTGGGATAGAACCCAAAGCAATAAGAATGACATTGAAACAGCTGTGCGCTTGTCAACTCAAACAGGTTTTTGAATTACAATGTATGATGAATTATAAAACACAATGTAAACACACCATTATACTGAATTATCTTGAAGCTCTTCCAAACAATCTTGTTTGTATTACCATGTAATTAGTATACGCAGGTCAGACAGCCTCAAGATGTTTTTACAAGTCATCGTGTCGGCCTCCTAAAACAGTAAATAAGGAATAAATATTAAACTATTCTTGAGCGTAGGAGCATAGCTCAATCCACGGCTGTTTCTGGGCCCCTGGAGTGCACAATTCGCTGCCGCGTTTCAAAATATATTACAAAATATACAGTCAATTCACTTAACAGTGTATTCTGTGAAGCGCTTTGAGACGTCTCGACAACACGATAAGGCGCTGTATCAATTGCCAGGATTATTATAACGGCACTCTAACCACAGCAATAGAATGCAGTTATAATAGAAAGAGACCTTCCAAGCTTAAAACCTTCAGCATGTTAACTAACGTCTTAAGTATGAGCAAAACCAGTGGGGCTTAGAGGCTATTCATGAACTAGAAATTTTTCCATCTGCTCCAATTCACTCCTTATCTGACGTCCACACATGTGGACTTTCCAGCAGAGGTCACTAACTCACCATAGTTGCGAGAATTCTGGTTGAAATTTTCTTCCCCCCCACCACCCACCCACCACCCCGTCAAGGAGATAAGTGTAGCATCCCTACTCGCTGTGATCCCCATTCACATGGGTTCAGATTGGGGATTCCTTCCTCGGTTCTTTCTGCTGGTTTGTATGGTTCAGTTTCACTCAAAGCTAAGTAATAACCCTTAGATTTGATACAGGGCCTTATCACGTCGTTAAGACGTCTCAAAGCGCTTCACAGAATATATTGTAAAGTCAATTAACTGTGTATTTTGTGGGGCAGGATTAGTTCATAATGTTTTAAAAGATTTTGCAATTTAAGATAGCTGTATTATTTTGTAATATATAATATCATGAAATAATACTGCGTTTCGCCCACAAAATACACAAAGTCAATCCACCTTACAATGTATTCTGCGAAGCACTTTTGCATATTTTACAATTTAAAGATAGCTGTACTGTTCCATAATATGAAATAGAATATTATATTAAAAAATTATTTTAAAAAAATGAAAGTATCTTAAATTGCAGTTTCACTTGGGGGGTGTATTGCATTGGATGGTCAGATTAAGGTCTGGGTCTGTATTACACGTGTGACTTCCTACGATTGGAAGAGTGTGTGTGTGTCTAATTTGGTTTGCATGATTTGTTGTGGAACTGAATCTCCCTGTAAAATGATAGTGGAAGAAGAGAGAACCCTTTGCATGTGTGTGTGTATATATATATATATATATATATATTAATAATAATTATAATAATAATCCTTGCATTTGATATAGCGCTTTTCACGTCTTCTAGACGTCCCAAAGCGCTTCACAGAATATATAAATATGTGTGTGTGTGTGTGTGTGTGTGTGACACGGACATGTGCTGAAGCAGCAAGATCCTGTGATCTGACCCTGTTCTTGTGAATGGTCACAGTTTCTAAGACAACCTTCTGGGAGTCACCGGGAAATCAGCAGCAAGTCAGCCAGCCTGAGACCGGGCGAGCTGCTGAACTGACAGAGCCAGAGAGAGAACCACATACACGCACACTCACTCACTCACTCACTCACACTCACTCACTCACTCACTCACACGCGCACTTCGATGGGAGCAAAAACCACACACAGCACAATGCACCTGTTCAGAAAACACTGGTGCAAAATCGGAAATAACAAACCATAAGGTGTATTCGCAGAGACTGTGCTTTTTTAGAGCTGGGGAGGAAACAAAACCACACAGCGCTTTGTGCAGAGGACTATTAATACATTGGAACCAGCAAAGGAGACACGCAGTTAATCCCAATCAAGCAGGCGAGCAAGACACCAACATCTCTGCTTGGGTTACAAGTGAGTATATATATGCACATATATATATAAAAATAAACTTCTTTAAATATTTAATTTTTTGCGACTTTATTTAGTTGCAAAAAGAGTGATTGAAGTTTTCACACTTGGTCCCAGTGCTTCATAACTTTCTGTGGGTTCCAGTTTAATTAGCCCTGTTTTTTTTTTAAAAAAATGTATACACACATAAAAGAAACGTGTTTTATTTAGTCAGACACATTTACCCTTATCACAATATTCGTAATCAACGTTATATTTTAATCCATTGTGCTTTGTGAAGCATTTCGTGAGGTTTATTTTATGTGACACGTGCAATATAAGTGCAAGTTTCTATACCCTTCACGTTATCGGAATTATATAGATTTATATAAAGCAAATTGTTATTACTCCTAATATTGGATCACAAGCTTTTAGTTTTATGTGCATGCCTGTGTTACAAATACATTTCTGTGAGATAACAGTCACAACTTGCATTTATACAGTGCCCTCCATGTAGGGGTAACATCTTAGACAGCTTAATGAATTTTCTCGAGTAGTTTATCTGATTGTACGTTGGAGGAATTTTCTGAGTTATGTGGTTAGTGAAAGAAAGGCAGTGAAGGGAGTGAGCTTCAAATTACAAGATAAAATGCCAACCCAGGGTACGAACAGGCTATTACCAGTGCTGGTTTGGTAAATAATTAACTTGGATAAACAGGGATATTGGCTTGGATAGTCAACTCTTACAAGAAACACAATTGAAGATGCTTTCGATGCAGATTTGTGCGTAACATTTCACCTCATTTGTGGTTTATAACCTGTCTACTTTTCAGGGCAGTGCCCAATAAAATATGGCACACAAAGAAAGGCAATAAGGGAAAAAGCATGATGCCGAGCAGAGTGAAGCTTAGTCCTGTAAAAGAATAAAGCCATTACTATCATATAATGATAATAATCCTTGCAGTTGATGGATTCAAATGGTCTTCGACCATGCCATTGGCCATCGTGAAAGGCGCTATACAAATATAATCTTGTTGTTGTTGTAGCGCCTTATCGCGTCTTCGAGACGTCTCAAAAGCGCTTCAATTGCTATGAACACATGGCATTTATTTATGTCGCATGCTTTTGTGGCAGTATTGTTTCTAAAGTATTGAATTTAGACACAGCTGGTGTACATTATGTAAATTGGTGTACCTGCACAATTACATTTTGGACCTGTACATGCAGCCAGGGAATTCTGGCATTACCTCCAGGTGCTGCCTCTCTTCCAAACTGGCAACGTCCACAAATTTTCAGATCCTAAGCAAGCAGTCAATAGCCGCCTGCCCTCATACCCTCCCCCTCTCCCACCCACCCCCATAGGTAGTTGGGAGATTAGCGTCCCGGTGAAGATTTGATGGCAAGATGGCATCAGCCAGTGTGATCCCACTCACTCACCATTACTTCCTGAAAAATCCACTGTGGCTGTTTCCGAATGTCCAACAACAATGTGGAAATAAGTAATAAAATTCAGTATTTAGAACCGTGAGCAAATTCAACAAAGTGCCAAAGTCCCTCTGCTCGGTAGGCATGGGCTTGCTTCATGTCCCCCACCCTGCACCTCCTACCCTCGGAGGTTGGCCATTAAGCCTCTCTGCCCCCCCCCATTCTCTGCAACTCCATTCCAGAGTCCCTTTGCCTCTCGCCTTCTGTTTGTCTCAAATGCTACCTCTTTGACCGTGATTTGGGTCATCTTCTCAACCCCACCCACCCCTCCCAAATCCAACCTCCAGCTAGTGTGTAAACCCTGGAGTATCCAGTGCCTTGGGAAGTCCTCCCGAAGTGAAAGGCGCTACTGTATATAAATGCAATTTATTGTTGCTGTTGAGTTGAGAGAAGAGACTGTGATGAACATGAGTGTGGAATGTTCAGTGGAAACGTTGGCCGAAGCAGATGATTAGCTGCGTTACAAAGGCAACATTGTGCTCTGAATAACAGGCTTTGCATTCAGCAAAGACAAACAAAAGGGAAGCAAAAGGGGGCAAAGGAAACGCAGCACTGAGCACACTGGTGATGTTATTGAATAGCTACAAGTGAGTAGCAAGTAATCCCAATGTCCTTATAAATCCATGGTGAGACAGAAACATGACGTTATAATGAACGAGGCAGCAGTTACCATGCTGGGATGGGGAGGGAAAGCAAAATACATCAGGAGCACATTACGTTTAGATAATAATAACAACAATAATAATTCTTGCACGTGGTTATAGCGCCTTATCACTTCGGAAGGACGTCTCAAAGCGCTTCATGGGAATTACTGTGAAATGGACTGTGTATTTGTTGGCAAATGTAGCAGCACAATTCCGGACAGCAAAGTCCCTCAAACAGACAGGAAACGAGTGGCCAATTTGGGGGATTGTTGCCTAGGACCCTGTGTGAGAGAGAGAGAGAGAGAGAGAGACGCCATTCTCTTTCCGAATTGTGCCACGGGATCTTTAACGTCCACCCGAACAGTCAGACGGGACATTGGTTTAACATCTCATCCAAAGGACAACACCTCCAACAATGCAACACCTCCCCCCAGGACTGTATTGGAGCATCAGCTTAGACTATGTGATTCCAAGTCCCGATGTGAGGCTTGAACCCACAACACACTCTCTCTCACCTCTGAGTTCTGAATCACTGCACCAGGCTAACACACAATTATATACCTCATTCAAATTAAAGAGGCAGAACGAGTAAAAGAACAACAACCCAAGAGAGATAAATCAAAGCAGGAAAAGGAAAGAAAGCAGTGAAACCACAAAAATAAATGTAAAACTGTGCAGGAAAGTCACAGGACAATTGAAATAAATCAAGTTGTTTCATACAGCACAGATTTCATCCCAGGATTTGAAAATAATAACAATAATAATAATCCTTGCATTTTCACGTCTTCTCGACGTCTCAAAGCGCTTCACGGAATATGCTGTAAAGTGAATTGACCGTATATTTGTGGGCGATACACTGCAGCATGAGGTTGCAGGCAGTTAGCCAGTCTGCTAGACTATTTCAGTCTGTAAGCTCTATGCCAGACAACAGGGATTTGCACATCACAGCTACTGGTTTAACACCAACTTACTCAGCGGAAGAATCTATTCAAAACCGTTTGGCAGGAATTGGCAATGTCTGAATTCAATCCAGCCTCGGGTCAAATAGTATCAAAACATTAAGAGTGAAATCAGCATCGTCTGACTACATCTATCATCGTAGAAGCACGAGTGATAAATCCTTCCACCTCGTTGTTTGGCCGTTAAAAGCTGTTGCGGGCCCTGAATGTGTTGGTGTGAATGTTTAAAATCCGTTTGAACTGAATTTGTTTTAAGACATTTTCCTCCTCCCACAACGCTCCCAGTGTTCAGGGCATTGTCAGCTGGCAGTCTGGGTGGTTATATGATCGTAGGTACAGTAAACTCCTGATAACTTGTTACTCTGGGGGGACAAGGGCTCAGTGACTAGTTATCCCGAGTGGCAAGTTAGACATATGTGTGAATACTTAAATAAATGCAGCAGGCTATTGACAGCAATGTTGACCTAAGAAAAGTGTTAGTTAGTGACACGTTAAGCCAGGAGTTTGCTGTTTCTCCGCTTTGCTCTGTGGTAATCTAATGGTTAGTCGTGACTTGAGGTGCAAACCAGATGATCTTCCCAGTAAAAAACATCAGCCAGGCATTTTAAACACAGGTCTCGCAGTCAACAGGCAATATTGTGATAGCGCTAGTCACTTTTGTTCTATTTGAGCTGTCTCGTTTGCGGTGGATTCTTGCCTTTAAATCCATGGATGATTTTGTGTGTGTGTGTGTGTGTGTGTGTGAAATGAAATAAAAAATCACAGAACTACAACATTGAGCACTTTACATTTTGTGGCGGCCTTCATAACACAGGAATGTAACACCATGGTCAGGTACATTATAAGGTTTCCCGTTCTCTGCCTCAACGACACGTTTTAGCCCCAACGTCAAAGGTGTTTTACCTTCCCATCTCTCACACCTGCCTTCCTGGGGGCCACCTTCTGCGGGTAGAAAGTAGGAGAGACTAGTTCCCTTAGACAGGAATTCTAACTTTGAGTAGCCTAGTATAGTATGCATGGTTTCTGTTCTATTTTTAAACATCAGATATCTATTTCCTAGCTTCTTTCCATTACTACCAAATGACGACTGTCTACAAACAGTATTCCCACCATTTCTAGCTTGGTATATTACAATTCCGACTACCAATGGGTAGGGCAAAAATAAGCGGGTGATGAACTTCCTTCAATCTTATAGCATAATTATAACAAGGCCTCACAGGAAATATTGGCTTGAAAGCTTACCTCTGTTTGATAATTGCTGAGTGCAGTTTCAGTATTGATTTTTATCTGTTCTATCATTTGTTATGTAGTTACCAGAAAGATACAATTTCCTGACCTCAGGCAGCCGTTCTGGGGGGAAGTGAAGGACACTGTAGAAGGCAAAGTGAACCAAGATAATATTCAAGCACTTCCCAGAAGCAGTACGGGACCAGGGACAAATCGCCTAAGCACTGTTGATGGCCGGTTGTGGGAGGGGAGAGGAAAGAACCCGAGTTATCCAGAGGACTGAGAGATGGAGAAAATAATGATAGTCATAATAATAATCCTTGCATTTGATAGAGTGCCTTTTCCATCATCTAGACATCTAAAAGTGCTTCACATGATATACCTGAACAGGCAGACGTGACCTCAGTTTAACATCTCATCTGAAGGATGGCATCTCCGACAATGCAACCGCCCCAGCACTGAATTGTAGGGTAGTTTAGACTATGTGAATCCAAGCTCTGACATGGGGGCTTGAACCCACAACCTTCTGATTCAGAGGCCAGAGCGCTAACACTGGGCCAGTCAGATAAATCTCTGTAATGCAGCCACAGAAGAGTATTGGAAACTCAAATAGGAAAAAGGAGGGAAACGGTAAGACTGCAAAACAAACAGTGAGACTGAACATGAAGTACAGATCTGGTCGAGGACAATTTTTGGTTGTTTGAAGATGGGATAAAACAGTTTATTCTGTACATTATTGCTACAGCTGAAGAAAAAAGCATTGAAGCAAACAACTCTCCATTGCCCTTCCTACCCAACAGCGAGAGTCAAAGGCATCCCTCTAGAGAAGCCGAATTGCTAGATGGGATTGATAGTTAATACATTTTATATATCAGAAACCTCACTTTTCGGGATTTCACTTTTGTACGACACAGTGCCTAATTTGGCAACGGACAATATTAAAATATTAAAAATATCTCCCGGTAGAGATTCCGAAGTGGCCCTATGAAAAATACGGCACAAAAGTAATCTACGAAGCAGAGTGGGAAAAAATGACAAGAAGTTATTTGAAAACTTTATAAGATTCGAGTCTGTTTGAGAGGTGTAGTAACATTGAATCGGTCTGTCCTGACATACTGGAAATGTCCACGCATTGCAGTTTGAAGATTTAATCCTTGGCTTTCAGTGTTATGCCGGTAGGAAGATAGCAGCAAAACCTGGTAAACACGTTCATGTTTACAGAGTTCAGTACCTGAAAATCAGGTGGCATTGACAATGTTTCTGTCTCTGTCTATCTCTCTCTATCTCGGTCTCTTATCTCTGTGTGGTTGAGAATTAAATCACGCAATCGGCTGACGTGGCTCGCACACCTAATTTTCACACTTAATTCGATATTTTAGATTCTCACACAAATAAAATCCTCTTTTTATCGGGCAACAAAAAATCCCCAATCCTACATACAGTATAATCTTGCAATAATAATAATAATAATTCTAATCCTTATGTTTGATATAGCACCTTATCATGTCATTGAGACATCTCGAAGCGCTTCGCAGGATACGCTGTAAAGTGGAGTGACTGTGTATTTTTGTGGGCCAAACGCAGTAGCCAATTGCACACAGCAATCCGCCTACAAATACACAGTCACTACGCTCTGGTAAATTCTTATAAAGGGCTTTGAGACGTTTCAATGACGTTAGAATGTACTATATCATAATGCAAGGGTTATTGCTCAACCTGCAACCTAGTTACCAGTGCCTGCGTTCTGTGTGACGTCTCAGTGTTGTTTTATCTCTATCACAAATTTCGAATGATAAGAGCAGAATAACGTGTGACTTGGCTGTGGGTAAGGCGGGACAGTAGTAACTAAATAAATGTGGGGAAAGAAAAGTTCAGATATTAACTTGAAACGATTTACAAGTGCTCTTACCCATTGTGCAACTGAATCGGTTGGTACGGAACAGTATATAAACATGAGCGTATTGTTCGTTCTGTTAATTGGAAACTAAAGTGAATTCTGAGTTCATTTACAGCTTTGCCTTGAAGGCGGTACTACAGTTCTTTAAGAGTTTAATTCTACTAAGTTTGAGCTGCGTTTGAACCAAAATGGAAGCTCATGCTTTCCTGTGTAAAAATCTGTGCGTTCTTACTTAACCTGTAGACGGTGAGACTTTGCCAGTGTTTGTTGCCCAGCCCCTATTCGCCCTGTGCTGGCCGGGGGCCTTCTCGTTAAACCACTGCCCTTATTATTAGTGATTTTTGTGTTACTCATTGAAAGATAGACCTCACGCTGTTTGCTTTACGATGACAATTCTGAGTCATCTTAAAGTTACAGCGTTGGGGACTTGAAACACTGAATGGAGCAGTTGGGCAGTAGCATACTGGTGAACATGTTCATTTGCAGCTTGATGTGGCTCAACGCAGGATCCCTTAACAGCTTGGCTTGCCTCTCAGGAAATCTTCTGCCCTGTTCTTAAGCCAGGATGCAGCAGTGTACAAACCCTCTGGATAATCTGTGTCTAACCTCGCTTGCTCACATACTCTTGGCCCGCATTTGGAGTAATGCCATAAATACAGTACGTCTCAATCCTGGAACCCTAATTCCAAAATTGAATACATTGAATAATATATCGATTTACTGTTGGGTCGAGGGGACGGAGGGGAGGGGGTTGGGGAGGGAGGGGTGGTGGGGAGGGGAATAAGAAGCAGTTGTAAACTCAGGCCAGAAGTTCATTATGAAACTCGCCAGTGTGTGAAGTTTGACAAATACAGAGTTGTCAAGTTCTGAAATCAGTCCAGGACTCGTTCCTTATCTGAATGCATTTGCTCGACAACTAAGCCTGCCTTTGTGAGCAGCAGTGGTTACACTTGTAATCTTCCCCTTGTTATAGGGTTCACAATTCCCGCGGAGCAAGTTGCGGCTTCCTCTCAGTGAACGTTTGGGTTTGCTTGGGCCGGTCTAGTGATTCACCAAACAACAGTCTGAGGTGTCGGAAAGAGCAGCGTTGGAGTGAAACAGCTTTTCCTCCACCTCCTCTCTCCTGTGGGCTTGACAGTTTCAACCCTCTTCTGCCTGTCAGAAGCGAATTACAGGTCCTACTGAGTGCTACTGAGCGCTCGAATCAGCGGAGGTGACAAAAGGTGACCGACCGTGTTCAGAGTGCAAATTCCACCTCCTCTCCCTGAGGCCGGAAAGTTAAAGGTGATTGTGTGCCGTTGTATTTCTTTGCATCGGTTTGAACTCATTTAACCTGGAAAGGGGGCGAGAGTGGGTTGGATCCGGGATGTGATCGGTATCTCTTTGTGTACTACATTTTTTTTTAACCCCACCATCTCTGCTTTGCCTTGACCGTTGTTTGCGAGCTTAAGGGAATCTCTGAATCAGGACCTTTGCAATGTACCTTTGTGATTGTTTAGATCGAGTGGGCCATACCCTGCCTTGTTTTGAGAATCATTGAGGAGAAACTCCGCCTGCGAATAGAGACTCCCTCTGTTCGGGCGGCATTTCGGAGCCTCCAGAATCTGGCAAGTTGTTGACTTTGTTCTTAACTTTGCAGCTGGCTTCAAAATGTGTTGAAACATGCACCAAATCCTAAGATGAGATGCTCTAAAATGCTGTTCGAACAGAGTAAAATCTGGCCACTGGCCAAAACGTTCACAAGAGAGGCTCCGATAATGCAGACTCTTCAGCCCATTTCATCTCATCCTTCCAGAATAGCCGCCCTGTCACCCTCCCAACACAGCATTGAGCGGCTTCTTAAATGATTCCAGAGCCACTTTCTTGGTAATGCTTTCAAGTCGTCAATTTTCCCTCCGGCTAAAGAAATGCACCTGAACAGGGTGTCTGTCCTGAAATGGCCCTTTTTACTCTCCCCCACTAACCCTTCGCCGTCTTAACATACCCGAAAGTATTATTTGGGGGTTTATTTTCTCAATCCCATTGAAAGTCCTACACACTGTATCTCTGTAGGATTCCCCTCGTGGATCCTAACCGTTCTTGTGATCTTTTCCTTGTGTTTGGTCTGTGGTGCGGTGTTTCTGAATGGCAATGACCACTGGCTGGAGCCCACTCTGGAACTCCATCCCACGGTCCCTTCGCCTCGCTTCCTCCCTCGCCTCGTTCAAGGTCGGTCTCAAGACCTTTCTCTTCGACCGTGCCTTTGGTCTCCCTCCCACCTCTCTGCCTTCCCTCACCCCTACACCACCCCTCCTCGCCCATGCTCGGGGCCCGACACCTAACTGTTCAGCGCTTTGGGACGTCCTCCCGACGTGAAAGGCACTCTATAAATGTAATTTTGTTGTTGTTGTTAGTGAGGTGAGTGGGTAAAAGGCCAGACATTTAAGTCAGAGAGGCTACTGGAGAAAGCAATTCTACTGGGGAATAAGGCGGAACTTGTACATTGTTATTGCAGGTTTTGAGGTCTTGGGTTGCAGTAAATGTGTGTGGGCAGCTGATTTCCTTTGTGACTACTGTACACGAGCAATTACTAAGGCTCCACATGGCCAGGCGTATGTGATTGGCTATCTCTTCATTGATCGTTGCAATATTAGGATGTTGGAGAAAGAGAAACGAAAAGATGTGCCGCATTTTATTAGCAGCTGCACCGAAGGGTTTTTTCCTTGTATTGTATTCCGTGCATTGGATTTATTAGTGGCATTTTGTGGAATCCTATAGCTCAGGGGTTATAGCGCTTGCCCTACAAGCGAGAGGTCCCGGGTTCGATACCTGTCGGGGCAAAGCCACAGGCAAGTTTCCTTTCTCCACCTGCCTCTGTTTACCCAGCAGTAACTAGGAACGCGGTTGATAGTCGATTGGTGGATCGCTTTCTGGGGGTAATAATCCCTTCAAAAAAAAATTATAATAACTGAGTCACTGAATCTGCCGTGTGCAATTGGCTGCTGCGTTTCGCCCTAAAAATATGGGGTCAATTCACTTTACAGGTTATTCTGTGAAGCGCTTTGAGGCGTCTCAATGATGTGATAAGGCGCTGTATCAATACAAGCAGTATTATCATTATTATTATTATTACTATGATTATTATCTTCTGATCTCACCTCTGCAGGTGCTCCCATCATGTCTAAGTCAGGGGTAATAGAAAATGACCCTGGAAGCCCCACACAGTATTCTGGTGAATCGTCAGACACATATTTTTATGTGGACCGCTGGCAAAAACTCCGAACTGCTGTCAGGAAGCTAGAATTCTGGGAAAACTTTCATTCCGAACTGATAGGGAGCGGTTTCTGTTCTAATGTGTACAAGGTAAGAAAAGCGGCGAGCATGATAATAATAATAATAATAATAATAATCCTTGCATTTGATATAGCGGCTCATCACGTCGTTAAGACGCCTCAAAGAGCTTCACAGGTTTGTACTGTAAAGTGTAGTGACTGTGTATTTTCTGGGCGAAACGCGGCAGCCAATCTTCTACCGTTGACCGCTGTGGATTCTGCGCACAGTAACAACAACAACAACAATACTACATTTATAGAGCGCCTTCTACGTCGGGAGGACGTCCCAAGGCGCTGAACAGGCACTGACAGCACAGGACCACTTTGTTATAAAGTGGAACATTTTATGGCCCCCCCTCCCAAGCCCACTCCACCCCCCGCCATAAAAACCACCGCATTGATCCTGCTGACAAAAGTGGAGACGGGCTTTGTTCTCCAGCACTGTGTGGAGTTTAATGAGGATAAAGTGACCACTTACAGTGTTATTGCAAGCCATCATCGCCAGGTTGGACTTGTCTGGATGAAATGTTCCTCCTTGTGAACGGCAGCTTGATTACAACAGAAACCGTCAAGGCAAAACTATTGACAACATGCAATGTGTTGCAGCAGCCACAGACGTGAATCAGGCTGAAGACAGCTTTAGGAGAGGGATGTTAAATTGGATCCATCGGTTATCTGACCGGCTGGCTGTGAAGGCATTGAAACAGCATTGATTTTCTTTTAAAGTCGGGCTCCACTGGGGCATCGGACTTGACCGGTGTAAAGTGTGTGGCCGGCAGCTAAGCTAATGTACACCCCCCCCTCCCCCCACCGACACTCAACACGCTAGGCTCCAACACACGATCAGCAACAACAACAACTTGCGTTTACACAGCGCCCCTCACGCAGGGTAGCGTCCCTGAGAGCGCTGGAGAGTGATGGAGCACGACCCCGAGCTGGGGGGAGGCGGGGGAAGGTGACCGTAGGCACGGTCGAAGATGAAGGTCTTCAGGTGCGACCTGAAGCGGACAAGGCAGAGGGATTGAGGGAGAGTGCTCCCAGGGTTTCTGGGCCTAGTGGCTGAAAATGCAGCCAGCGATGGCGGAACAGAGGGCAGGAGGGACAAGCAGGAGCTCGGAGTCGGCCGGGTGTGAAGCAGCGTTTTCTGCCTGTGAGCTGCCAGCAAACCCGGAGAGCGCATTATTAAAACTGCGCTGAGTTTCCAGTTCTGGCTAAGAGGTATGAAACACAGTAACCCCACTGAAAGCTCTTCTTTTCATTTCTCTCATCTCTCAGATAACCCACAAAACAAGCCATAAAGTCATGGTGGTCAAAGTGTACAAGCTTGAAGTTGACCAGCATGTCGTAGTACGAGAGATCAGCCTTCTCCAGAAACTCTCACATCCTAACATAGTCAGGTAACCACCGATGAGACTGAATGCTCCCTTCATGAAAATTCCTTCTGTAGGACTCTCAAGAAACGGCAGTTATTGAAACAGTGGGGTCTAATTTGCGGTACAGTAAAACTCACGGAGTTTCCATGTGTAGGTGGGATGCATGGAATTCTCAGCTGGGTTTGGACACTCTTAAGCACGGTGATGAGTTTCCGGTGACCAAAACAAACTCTCCGAATCACTTTGAAGAGGCCGCTGTGAAATCGCTGACGGAAAATATTTCACTCGGCGCTAAAGTTGACACCCTTATTTTGAGTGTAAACTCTGATTAAGGCTAATCCTTCCTGTGAGTAGAGAATAGAGCTGCATTTTCACCGTAGGGAGTGGAAAACAGGACACAAACGGTGCTTAATTACTTAGTTACAGAGAGCAAAGCAATCAAAAACAAAAGTTGAGCCATTTTACTAATTAATTTAACGGAGGCCGAAATTCAAGAGTTAAGCTGACAGTACTTTTTCCATTGCATTTTACACCCAAACGCTAACTATAGCCCCAAGTGAAGTGCTGTCACCTTTAGAGTATTCATTTCCAAGAAAAGGTTTTGCAATGGTTAACCTGGCTGTACCTAGAGAGTAGTCAGTGCTGGAGGGTGGGTTGGCTTGTTGGAGCCGCTGCTATTTTTCTGCCTCAGCCAAAGGAATCTGTTTCCCACAGTTGTGGTGTGTTCGTTACGGCTTTGCTTGGATAACCAGAGTCCTTGCGAAATGTAGACAGTTACGTGGACTGTGAATCATATATATATATATATATATATATATAAAATGTCCTTCAAGGTCTCAGTATTTTTCAATCAGATCTCAGCAAATTCAAGAGACTTAACAACTAAAACCTTTTCAAGTGGCATCACCACAGCAACTGGAGAGAGATCGAATCTTTGTTAGGTCGGGTGTGTGTGTGTGTGTGTTGTGTGTGTGTGTTTTTTTTTTGACTTTTCGCATATCCGGCAGCATAGCAACAGGGCGCAGCCAGAAACAATTGCAACAGGAGCGAACATCTCATAAATTTGACCCTGGCGGTTGCCAGGAGCAAACAGAGATCTGGAGAAACCGTACCAGATACCCAACGAGCGAGAGATAAATTTCTCACAGATGCCCCAGTAACCTTGGATATTGCTCCAGCCAGACTTTCCTAGCCAAGTGCCTGCCTCCACAACTGTGTCTGTCACTTGCTCACCGTTGTGCTAACCCATTTGCATTATGTCCTCTTTTTAAAATTAAACTACCTGGACGTTTAAGGCAGATGTGTTCATAATTTCCTAAACTATGTAAGCAAGGGTAGAATAATAGAATCCTATAGCACATTAGGCCCATCATGCCTGTCTTTGAAAGAGGTCTTTCCCCAGAGTCTGGGCCATTTGTTTTCTTTTCAAGTATATACCCAATTCCCTTTTGAAAGTTGTTATTGAATCTGCTTCCACCCTCCTGTCAGGCAGTGCGTTCCAGACCGTAACAACTCTCTGGATAAAAGAATTTCTCCTCGTTTCCCCTTTGCTTCTTTTATCTATTATATGTGTCCTCTGGTTGCTGACCCACTCGCCATTGGAAACAGTTTCTCCTTACACAATGCAGTGCTTTTCCACCGCTCCGAGACTCTACCCCGCGTGAAGGGCGCTGTATAAATGCAAGTTGTCATTGTTGTCAAACTGCAGTAAGAACTTAAGTCACCATTGATTTCTGCTGACCCAGAAGTAAGAGTGCTACGAACTGAGCCAGGCTAAAATACCTTGACCAAAAATGCCTTGTTTCCTACGAATTAAGATATAATGAAACAAGCGATTGTGAGAGATGGCGTTGTTTTAAAATTGTTGGACTGTCGCCTAGCAAAATTAAACTTCATACAGGGTGTGCAGCTAAGGGCACTGGCCAGAGTCTGCGATTGCAAAAGTAATCTTAAGTGCCTGGTATCTTAAGTCTTGTGCTTTATAGCACAGAGTGCAGGAAATGACAACAGCGGCAACTTGAAGACCTGGAAGTGTTGACCATGTTTTAGGGCGCTCTGTTATAACATGGAGTTATGGACCCAAACAACTGCAGAATTTGCAATTGTAATATAATTAATTCTGAGCGTATTACAATATAATGGGTTTGGCCTGAAATACAACTGACGGAAAACTATCGAGCAGCAGATAGCTGTTTTGTGTACCAACACATGGGGTGGTTCAATGTATAAAGCATAACCTCTTTGTATAAATACCAAATTCAACACCAGGCAAATGTGCTGACAGCACAAACACCCGCGCAAGTTGTGACCTTCTGTCCACACTGCATTGTTGTCGATTATTTTTTCAGATATCTGGGAGTGTGCGTGAAAGAAGATAAACTGTACCCATTCCTCGAGGCAAGTATCACAGTAATTGTCTAAACGTTGCAGTTTTTCTGATCATTGAGAAACGCTATACTAAACAATGATGAATGAACGTCCCGCCCCCAGTGTGTTTGACAACCATGTTGTGCTCTCTCTCTCTCGCTCTCTGTTACAGTACATTAATGGTGGGAACCTGGAGGAGCTGTTGGCCAATAAGGAGATTAGCTTATCTTGGAAAGAGAAACTGGTTTTGGCATCAGACATTGTCCGAGGCATGGTCTATCTACACTCAAAGAATATCTATCACAGAGACCTCAACTCCAAGGTGAGACATTTCACAGCCTCTTTTCTCTTTTCTCCTCCCCCCACCCCATCCCCAACAGACTGGCTCTGACCTCCGGTTTGGCCCTCTTGCCCTCTATTGCCGCACTTTTATCCGCTATGCCCCGAAACTCTGGAACACTCTTCTTCTATCCCTCCGCCTTGCCCCTTCCTTCCCCATCTTCAGGTCTTGCCTGAAAACCTTCCCCTTCGATTGTGCCTACAGTCATCTCCCCCCCTCCCGCCTCCCCCCACACCGGCTTGGCGCTGTGCTCTGCCACTGTCAAGCGCTCCGGGGCGCTATCCTGGGTGCAGGGCACTGTGTAAATACAAGTCGTTGCTGTTGTCTTCAAATAAATGATTCCATGACAGCAGTTGTTTCCCAATTACAGGGAATTATAGGGAGTTTATAGCAATTAGGTAAAAACAAATTGAGATTGAATGAAATATTTATAAGGTTGCTGTTTAATTTACAATGGGCGCTAATGAATAATCTTCCCTATAATGATCAGAGCATTTCCGTTTTGTGAAGTGGTAGAAAGCACGACATGTAGGAGCAAAGGATAATGGAGATGTGCTTCCTTTACTGCAACCATCCAGTTGTCGTTGTTCGTCCTCTTCTGCAATTATACGGTGTATTTTTGAAACCCATTATTTGATTGGACCTGAGCTGATACCATGTAAACTCCGGATATCACTCAAGACACCCACGGCTCTTCAAAAAGACGCATAGAAAATATCTGAGCCCGGTCGTTGAGGAGAGATTAATGCGAAAGCTATTCAGGACACTTCAGAACCCAGGCGCACACTCTCTCAGATGTGAAACGTTCATAGATTATTGATGCAGAAATGACTGGATCTGCAGATTGTGTGGAGACAACAGCTGCCTCAGCCTTTCACTCCATGGCTGTTTGTGGTACATTGCTTTGTGCTAATTGGCTGTCGCATTTGCTCGCAAATACAGTGACTTCACACATTACCGAAGTGTCTTGAGATGTGATAAGGCGCAAAGGTGTATGAAACTGCAACCAACTGCTATCCAATGTATAGAAGGTGGGGTGGTGTGGGGGGAGGTGTTACTTTGTTATGCAATGCCTACATTTATTCCTTTTTCAAAAAGTGTTGAAATGAAATAGTTGCGTTCAATTCCAACCACAATAAACATCACTACCGAGACTCGAACTGAACAATGCTCTCGTTTGAGTTTCTAGCATTTAGCACAAAACATGACCTTTGGAGCTTCCTCTTTGGAAACTACAACAGTTATAACCACTTGATAACGTAGCACAAACAGCCATCCATCAAGGAGCTGGAAGGCTGAGGAGACAGAAGGCAATTAGTTGGCCTAGAAATTTGTTCTAAAAGCCGGCCAGTGGTTGCTCAGCTCCACCTCGATCTGATACCAAACCTGATGAGCCAGCCAAGTTTCCACACTTTGGCTTTCAGCCACAAGATCCATTTAGTCGACCAAAGGAATGGATTACTTTGCTCCCAGGCAACCTTAAATTGTAGGTGGTGCTTGTGATAACGGGGTGCAAAGCCCAGCATTTCTAACGGGATTCCTTCATTTAGGCGCACAAGTTGCGTTATTCCTCTAGCTGTTGCTTGTGTTGTGGAGTTGCTTCCAGGAAGTTCAGACACCAATTTGGTGCTGATGCAGGTTACTCTAACCCAGGCCTTTGCTCAAGAAATTTTGCATTGCTTGTTTATTCCCCAGCATTGCACCTGAACACTTGGGTTGCTATAGATACATTCTGTTGGGACCCAATGCATAATCATGAATTGCTTTACAGGGTGATTTACAGCGAGGTTTAATGGAAATCTCGGGTTCTTACTCTTTTCCTTTTGAAACACAGTTAGAGCGAGATATATAAAAAAAAGGGTGTGAATTTCAGATACGCAGAATATCTGGCTTTTTTTGGGGGGGCAAATATATGCAATAAAATGTTTTACCCGGAAAAGAAAATTGAGGCATTTCAACAGTATGATCCTATTGATTTTCTGCTGTGAACACACTGTCCTATCCTTCGGATGAGACATTAGATTAATTAAAAGATGTCCCATCTACCTGTTCGGGTGGATTTTACACAGGTTCCAAGGTACTATTCAAAAAGAGAAGGGAGTTTCTCTGCTCAGGAGCTAAATCAAATGCAAGGATTATTATTATCAGTTGAGGAATTTTTGTATTTGTTAATTCCGAATTTCATTGATTTCTCCATGCGATTCTCCCCCCCTCCTCTAACCTGACCAGAATTGCCTGATCAGGATAACGCAGCGTGGGAGGGAGGCATTGGTTGCGGACTTTGGTCTGGCAAGAGAAGTGGTGGAGCTGCCCGTGAAGGACCCCGAACGTAAGCTGTCCTTGGTGGGTTCAGCCTTCTGGATGGCACCTGAGATGTTGCGTGGGGAACCTTACGACAGAAAGGTAATGCGCTACACATCTCGCACACAAAATGCAGTCAATTCTTTTTAAAGTATATCCTGTGAAGCGCTTTAAGATGTCTCGAAGACGTGATAAGGCGCTGTATCAAATAATAATAAAGGATTATTATTATTGTGTTACACCAGTCTCACCTTGTGGCACATCGCCAAAATGCCAATTCTTCATTGACCGTGTGTTTAATTGGATGACCTGCCAAATAAGAGGCTTAATGGCCAGACAGCAGCTAGGACAGTAATTTGGTCTCAAATAGTGCCGTTCACGTAGGATGAACATAGGTAGCTTCAGACAGACACAGAGACCCCTTTCAGCCTGTCAAGGTGCTCTGCAAATTACTCATATCATAAGCAGACTTGTAACTCAATACCACTTGTCTGCCTTCTCTCTATACCCTCAAAACCCTAACTGGCCAAGTATTTAACTGCTTCCTTCTTAAACAGTCCCACTGACTCTGCATTACGAGTCTGCCTTTGAGAATGAGAAGCTCTTCAAATGCACTAACTTGTTGTTGCCCAAATCATAGGCAGCAGAGTGAGTAAACAACAACAATAAATTATAGCTGTATAAACGCCTTTCACATCAGGGGAACATCCCAAGGCACTGGGTCAGGAATTTGGACCGTAGCATAGACAACAATGTACAACAGTGTTAAATGTTCCTGAGTACAATGTGGTGCATTATGTGCTTTTGTACACTGTGTGAATGCTATCACTGCTCTGACTAGTTATATATGTATTTTTTCAGGTTGATGTGTTTTCCGCTGGTATAGTATTGTGTGAAATACTTGGCAGAATTTCTGCGGACCCTGAAATTCTACCGAGAACACAGGTAAACAAAGCTCGACATACGTCAACGGGAGTGAAGGGGGTTTTCTTTTCGCTTTATTTTGCCTACAGTTTTTTGCCCACAAAACACACCCATCAATTCACGTTACAGTATATTCTGTGAAGCACTTTGAGGCTTCTTGAAGATGTGATGAGGCGCGATATCAAATACAAGGATTATTATTTTGACTGATAGTTCAAGACTTGCTTTTAAATTCCACAATATGATGAGTAATACGATCTTGACACATTTACCCCCCAAGGAGCCAAAGAACAACTTTTCTTCAAACGCAATCATTAATGTGATAGACCTGATAATACTTCTGTTGCGCAAAATTTTTTTTTATCAGCGCAGTCCAGGGACTGATTTACTGAAGTTAATTCAATATTCTGTAAAAATAGGTAAAGGCAGGTACATTGTCCGAGTCATCATTAACCTGTCAGAAAGCTGATTCACGGTCAATTATACAATTCAAGTTATTGTCCATGAAAGCAAAAGCAAGGGAGCCAATGTTATATATGGTTTACAGCCTGGCACCATGCTGTTTCTTATGGTCTTTTCAAATTGTAATTAATTAATTCACTCTCGTCTAGGATTATGGACTGGATGCTGAGGCGTTCAAGGAAATGGTGGTTGGTTGTCCTAACCGTGTCCTAGAATTAGCAGTTAAATGCTGCCGGGTAGGAAATATCATTTTGTTCCCCTCTTTAGACTTCAAATAAACTCCGTGGCTGTTTGTGGGACATTGCTGTGTGCAAATTGGCTGCCGTGTTTATCCACATAATATGCACAGCCACATCGCTTTACAGTCTATTCAGCGAGATGTGAAAAAGGCACTAAATCAACTGCAAAGATTGTTGTTATTCTTATTATTATTATATCAAATGCAAGGATTGTTATAAGACTGGACTTAATAGTTCCTTTGCCATTTCCACAGATTGACGCCTTCAAGAGGCCATCTTTTGCTGAGCTACTGGAGGAACTTGAAGAGATAGCTGAAAGCCTGGAGCCAAATAAAGGCAACCAGATCCCTGTGGCATGAATCTCCCGGTGCTGTCTGTACACTGCTATCAGATTGGATATCAACAATAACAATTCTGCATAAGAGAGGCAATCTGGATACTGTGTGGAACTAGGGAAGAGTAACACCTCTTAGAAAAAGTTGATTTGGTCCCGACAAAGAAAGCAACTCAAAATGATCTCATCAAGTGGTGATCAAATAGACCACTTCTGAAGTGTCCATCGCTGACGGATTGATTGACTGAATCCCAAGTAAAAATGACATCGGTCACTGACAGGTTGACATTCTGGTTTGCCAAGCAGATACAGTGCATGTTTTCAGCCAAGATAACAACAACAAATTACATTTGTATAGCGCCTTTCATGTCAGGCGGACATCACAAAGCCTTCGTGTTCGATGGATGAAAAAGTCCACATTATCAATTGCTGCCATCAGAGGTGCAGTTTTCATAAGGCGCAGTTTATAATTAGAGAGGTGATGAGAATTTACTGTTTAATCTTTTTATCAATGGGCTCTGATCCCCCCCCTTCATTCATATCTGTTGTTTTTATCGATCACAAACCACCCTTTTGATCGATTTCCTACAAATTGCTAAATGATGAGATGACCTGGCTGAACCGAGACATAAACCTGGGCTTAGGTTTCCCGAGAGAACTCTGTTAAATCATTCTTTTTTTTACATGTTCAAAGGAAGATGTATAAATTATGAAACAAACATAAACATTCGCAAAGTGTTTTGCCTGCCAGCTGCTTTGAAGCACTGACATTAAGGATGTAACAACTTACTTGGGGGTTGTTAATGGCATGAACCTTCAGAGCATTGTGGTTCTGTGTGTGACGCAAGCACACGTCATTCCATTAGAGCATTTGATTCATTGGGGCCAAGGTTGCGTTGTTCCTTCAAGGATTTCTTAATAAGCACTGGACCGTTTTGTAATAGAAACAGGAGGAGGCCATTCAGCCCCTCAAGCCTGTTCCACCACTCTACAAGATCGCAGCTGATCTGTACCTCAAGTTCAATTACCCGCCCTTGCCCCGTATCCCTGAATACCCTAACCTGACAAGTGTCTATCCGCCTCAGTCTTGAGTAGGTTGCCGTGACGTATTTCTGGTGAGCAGAAGGAATCCTCATTTTGTTTGACTTGTTACTTTTTTGCCAACAAAATATATAGTCAGTTCACTTCACAGTATATTCAGTGAAGCTCCTTGGAGATGTCTCAACGGCATGATGAGGTGCTACACCGAACGCAAGGATTAATTGGTATTAACAGGCTACTGTTTAGAACCACAACAATAAATTACATTTGTGTAGCGCCTTTCACATCAGAAGGATGTCTCCGTTAAGCTTTAAGCGCTCCAAGACGCTTTTGTTGTTATATTATGAAATCCCAGTAAGAAATACAGCAAACTAGAGCCCTCTGTGCCTTGCTCCAAGATGACTTGTCAATCTGGCTGCATATTTTATTGCTTGCTCACAGTTACTTTATGTTTGCAGCAGCTTTATATCCATGTGAAAGAATCACCCTGAATCATTGTATATAATGTACTATAACTACATTGTACCTATGGTGTATATATTGTGGATTCTTACAAACTAATACATGTGATTTCCACTGTAACTGCTGATTTATAGATGGTGCTAAACTATGAATAACTGCATTCAGAACTGAACACACACACGTGGCTGATTTTATTGCCTTGCATCTAACTTTTACACAATCCATAACAAGCTAGTTTCAGCTTAGACCTTATAAATGTTTAACTAATGAAAATTATGGTAAATTGTCAATCACTTGATCTTTGCTTGACCGCTTTAATCCTCTTTTTGTTAATCCAAACACCGTATAGTTCAAAGACAATAAAGTTCAACGGTAAAGATTAATGGAGGTTTTTTTTATTTTGCAATGGAAACGATGAATGAATGGATGAATGAAGGATGGATATTGAAGGGAAGTAAGGGTTAAAGTCGACCTTGAGAGCATTGGCAGAAAGATTGGTGCTGAACTGATAGACAAGAGTCCTAAACCATTCACTGGATACATACTTTTGAATCAAAAGTAACACTGCAAAGTTCAACGACAACAAAAAGATGGTTTGTTTGTGTAATCGTCAAGTCAGGCTCCCAGTCAATTCCCAGCACTCTCCCACTGTATTGCCTAATGTCATGTCCAATGTGCTTTATGTTGTATCACTGGGGGCGGAAACGGAGTTATTCATAACTATTAGGAAATTTCCAGTGTTTAGTCATGAGTGTTGAAAGAAGATTATTCCGGGAAGTCCCAGCTTCCCAGTTATGGGAACTGGCTTCATAGTTAACCGTTTCTTTAACGACAAGAACCATGAAAGTGGAGCGGATATGGGGTTCTCTGATGCCTTTCCCGCCCGTCTGTTCCTTTCCCCAAGTGGCTATCGCATTGCCTGTCTCTTGTAACAAACATGATCACGATGAGGTTCTCTTACTCTACAGCGCGATCCGACGACAACTTGCATTTATATCATGCCCCTCAAGGCAGGGTAGCGTCCTAGAGCACTTGACAGTGAAGGATACCATATAATAGTAATAATACTACCTTCTTTCCCCCCTCAGAGTCTCTTATGCTACCCTTGAAACGATGCAATACGCCATTCAGATGCAAATCACATACATATTAAACAAGATCTGTTGATTCTTACCTTTTGAAAAATTCACAGCTCCTTAGCTCTCTTTCTTTTCCGTGGACACATTATTATAATGTCTGGTCATTAACATGAGGAGAGAAAGAGGCTTGGGTGAGGGGAGCGAGGGGTGAGGGAAGGGGTGGAGGAGAGAGCCATCAAAGCGTTCCTTTCTTAGCACCAACTGAATCCATAACTAAACGAACAGGCTGTAAAAACCCAGAGATAAGATTTGGGTTTTGAACTGCTCCGAAAGACGTCTTCCAAAGAATAAATCATGCAGATGACAACCCATTTTCAATCGAAATAATAAACACTGGGGCCCCTTTGTTCCAATGCATTAGCTGAATAAAATGATCAAAAGTGTGACTGACCGTATTATCTGTCTGCTTAGAAACAGGAAATGTTTCAGTGAAGGCGTGGATCCACTTTCCGTTGAGTTTTCTTCCCGACATGAAAGGTGCTACACTATATAAATGTCATTTGTCGCTGCTGTTGTTATAATAATACTAATCCTTGCATTTGATATCGTGCCTCATCGCGTCATTGAGACGGCTCAAAGCGCTTCACAGGATACACTGCAAAGTGAATTGACTGCGTGTTTTGTGGGCGAAACACGGCAGCCAATTGCGCACAGCAGCAGTCCCACACACAGTCGTGGATTGAGTGACCAAATTTACCCTCAAAAAGCCATCCGCCAATCGACTAACAAGCAGGTTCCTTATTACCCTTAAGGAAACAGGCGTGTGGAGTAAGGAAACTTGCCTAAGGTTCTGTCCCTGCTGTGGTTGTTGTTGTACGAGTCCCAGGCTGTAATAGTTCTCAACCCATAACACCTGTGCATTAAGTAAATTGGCTATTTTCCCATAAACCCACACCCCAGATCCCTTCCCATGATCTCAAAATAAGAGTGCCTGCTCTCGCCTGCACTCCAGAGTCAGCCCAGCCTGAGGGTTCAAACGCCTGACGTGAGGGGCTTGAACCCACAAACCTTCCAACAGTGCTTAGGCAGGTCGTGTTGGTGTAGAGAGAAATGGGCTTCTCCTGAAAATGGTTACATCTATTGCAGTGTAACATTCTCAATGTGGCTTTTGCATTCTATCTATCAAAATGACGATTAAAAAAATCACAGATCCGGACAGAACAACAGAGCCCCCGCTTCCATCTCTGGTCTCGGTTGGTTTAGCTTGACCTCAGCAACGGTGAGATCGATACAACTGGTCACTCAATCCACGACTGTGTTGTGGGGACGCTGCTGTGTGCAATTGACTGCCCAATTTGTTGGGTCACAAAATATGCAGTCAGTACACTTTACAGTACATTCTGTGATTATATTCCCCCTCTGTGGCATCCAGTGACCTCTACTGGACAGTGTGACAAAGTATAATACCAGTAAACCTTGCATTTGGTATACTGTCCACAACAACAACTTATATTTATATCTTATATATAAATATATCTAGCATCCTTCACATGGGGTCGTGCCTTGGAGCGCTGACATCAACATCAACAATAAATTGCATTCTTATAGCCTTTCACGTGGGGAGGACGTCCCAAGGCACCAAACACATGGGGAACACCTCTAAATACTTACTGTAAAATAAAAGCAAAGTTACTGGGAACAGAACAGTCAGCGGGAGCTTCAGTCATTTCATTGAAATCCCCAAGAGTTGGACTCCCACCTTGTGGCAAATATGTACCAGTGCAATTGTGCCCCCAAAAAACAGCCCTGGAGTGAGAAAGTCCCTTCTCTTTTCACACAGCGCCACGGGAACTTTGACGTCTACCAGACTGGACCTTATTATAATTATTATTATTATTATAACGTCTCTTCTGAAAAACGGCACCTCTGAGAACCCATCGTCCTTCCATTGCTTGGAATGAGAGCTTGAAAACTCAAAACGTCTGACTCGGAAGCGAGAGAGCTGCCAACCTCTGCCAACCTCTCCGCACTCAAAGAACTGGTCCAAAAACTCGGGAGGTAATGAAAGGAATAAGAAGTCTTTGTTAAAACACTGTTACTTTATTTTTTTTTAATTAAGAGTACACAGAAACATAACACTGGAGGTTATTCAGGCAAGAGAGACAGAAACTCTACTCATTATCTTACACGTGTCTAAACAAAAGTTTTTTTTTTAGTGGCATTGTACAACAAAGGTGTTTAGTGATTATACCTGTCCCGTTCGGGACATTTGTACTAAGCATAAGGACTTTTGCACTTTATATTTTTTTTTGGTAGAGTGATATTCAAACCACGCACACAAACCAAAAATACAACTTTTTTACACATGCTTCGGAAATAATAATTCTCGAAAAGTACTGCGCGTTTTCCACTTTTACCCCCTCGATGTCAGAAAAATGTCGTGCTCCCCTTACCTACATTCTCCTGCTTCCTCCCCAACTACTCCCCAACCCCCCCCCCCCCACTCTCAAATAAACGCCTTAAATAAACTTCGAGATGGGTATTCGCTTGCTTTAAATTAAACCATAAAGTTTGTATCCGTAAAAGGATCTCGGTAAAAAAAAATGACGAAAGAAGACATCAAGGGTAGCACTGCCTGACTGTTAAGAGTTTTATTTTGTTCTTGTTTGTGACGGTCGGAACCAACGACCCAGGAAAGAACAGGACCGAGGTCCGCTGAAGGAGCATTATGATCTAACAGAATGGCGGAACAGGCTCGAGGGGCTGAATGGCCTACTCCTGTTCCTTTGCTCTGCGCGGATGTGGAACTGTGCGTTAAGCGTTGCATCGCAAGGCTTTTATAAGAGCCTTTCGGTTTCTGTCAACCGAACTGGTACCCACAGCGGAGCTCGATTTCCTCTCAAGATCTGTCTGACCTGTCAGGAAAACGAGTCGGTCAGGTCCCAGGGACCTCCTGTGTGGACCAGGGTTTAACTGGATCCAGCCATTAAGACGCTTGCTTGCGACGCAGGGTCAATATTTGGTCCCCAAAACGGGCAGGAAAACTAACTGTGCTTTTGCGGGCAGCACTTTGACTTGCAATCCCTCCTGGTCCCACCCCCACCCAATTACCCCCCAACATCCCCCCTCACCACCCCACCCCACCCCACCCAATAAAGCACCACAAACACAGAGCTTTGTACAACAAGAGCTCGTCGCTAAATATTAACTTCCCTTTTACGTACCTGACAGTTAGCAAGTGTCTGCACATTCACCCTTTTGCTTAATATAATAACTCCTCCCGGCCCCCCCTCTCTCCCCCCCCATGCCCCTGTGAGCACTCTGTCGTCATGGCAACATTACCTCCACCACTAAAAAAAATACTGCGGGAGGGTGGGGTGGAGGAGGGGGGGGGGGGGGTTGTTCCTGTGCAGACATGGGGGAGACGACGTGCCTATAAAAACAAGCGACATATATAAAAAGCTAGAACCCTAAAAGCAATAAAAACCTATGTTATTCCCCCCTCCCCCTCGCCCCCTCAAATCCCCCCCCAACCCCCACCACCCACCCCCTCCCTTCAAAAAAAAAAGATCTTTGGTGTTTAAACAGAAGTGGAACCGAGTCCCGTGGAGGACGGGGTGAGAGAGAGAGAGAGAGAGAGAGAGCCAAGACAAGACCCATGTTACACAGTCTCTCGGTTATCAGCTATTGTTAATGATGCTTCCTGTACATTGTGAACCTGTGTGTGTTTTTTTTGTGCTTGACGGACGGACGGACGGACGGGCGGTCAAACAGACAGACGGACGACCGGCCGGCCGGCTCAGCGGGCTGCGGGTTGGCGCCTCTTTCTCTGTTGCAGGTCTCGGAAGTTGTGAGGTCTCAATTTCATCTCCACGAAACTGATGGAGTGCTCGTGTCCCTTCCAGTGGTACCAGTTGATGCCCTGCGGGAAAGGCAGGAAAATTCCATTTAGCGGTAGAGAAGGGTACGGGCGAGAGACGCAGAGGGAGGGGTTGGGAATGAAGGAGAACCCTGCTTCTGGAAAAAACAAGACCAAGGCGACACACTAGGCTGGGCTGCCCCGAGCCTTGGCTCTTGTCAACCTGCGTCTAATATTTCCGTAATTAGGTCAGCAGGATGCTTCCCTCCAGGAAAAGAGAACGCCTTCCATTCCAACAATCCATCTCTGGGATTTCTACGTGGAGTGGGGGTGCCTGAAATTCTCAGTTTGGTTCGGAATACTCTTAAGCAACGGTGATGGGTTTCCGCGTGCGTCAGGACACTGAAATATGTCGGTTTGTGACTTATGAAATGGCTTTGTTCCACCTTTGACATTGCGATGCGGGTTGGTATTCTCATACCTGGCTGTGGCGGCGATTTCCGTAGACTCCGTTCAGATTGACCCGATGGCAGTTCTTGTACCACCAAGCGCCCTTGTAGGACAGAGCGCAGTTGGTGACGGCTATGTCATTGTCTCTGTCCTTGGTGGAGAATGGCCGGCCCTGGTGGTAAGTCAGAGAATCACCTGCGTGAGTGAGAGAGAGGGGAGAGAGAGAGGGAGAGAGAAGGAAAATGAACCTTTCAATCAAACTTGAAACGTCAAGAAAACCTTGCTGTCCCTCGTGGAATATTTATTATTATGATTAACTATTGTAACTCCCTGGTCATTTTTTTAAGTAGGTTCCTGTGATCGTCAACATATGATTGGAATGTCAAGCTGACAACAACAACAACAACGCCCTATACCTGGGGTAGCATCTCGGAGCTCAGAGACGGGGTGCGGAGGGGTTGGGGGCTTTGGTTTAACGTCTCATCCGGAAGACAAAGGTCCTAAAATCCCAGTGGTGTAGCCATGCGTCAGGCAGTCACTGTCCACCATGTACTGCCTCCTTCAAGGCACACCTCAAAACTCTCCCCTGCCTTCAGTCACCCCCTACCCCTAACCACGCTGCCCTCCACCCCACCCCCACCCCACCACGATCCCAACCGTCCGGCGCCTTGGGTCATCCTCCCGACGCCGTGAAAGGCAGGCGCGGCGGGCAAGTGTAACTTGTTGTCGTCGTGGTCCATGTATCATTCAGCGGCTGAGCGGCAGGCGCTAGGATCACCTGCGGTCCCGCTGTACTCCCCAATGTGCAGCTTGTAGCGACTTCTGGGATCTGTCACCAGGAACTTGTCGTAGACAGCGTACGCCGAGTTACCCTCATCTCGCAGGTCCACACGTAGTTCGTAACGGCCGTGGGACGTTATCTTGTGAAGGCTTTGAAGTCCTGAAGGAAATCGTAAGGTAAGAGGCGCCTGTTTCTGTTCCCGGGGCCAACAGTCATCCCGACACTCGCAGAAACCCGTAGTGGGGGAAGGCACTAAGCAGCCCCCACAGCTAACCGTTTCGGTATTAAAATGGTGTGAATTAATCTCAGAGACAGAGCCGAGGGGGAGCCATCACACAACGTCAGCAGAGAAGAGCATTCTGTCTCCTGCACCTGTTTTATTTGCTGATACCTCCTAATTTGCTACTAATCCCATCTCCTGCTGAACCTTTTGAACATCAAGTGGAAGCCACATAAGATGGAAAAAATCCGATTTACTCGCTATCCGGGGATAACCGGCGTCCGGCTAAAACGCCTTCCACTGTATTGAAGGAAACGCCCACTCCACGGGGCAGAGCGGCTTCAGGAGAGAATCAGCAGCGTTAGCAGGCGTTGGATCTCTTACCCAGCCAGAACTCATCTGAGGGATCACCAAACCCGGCACTGTAATTCCTCCAGTTTCTATAGAAGTTGACGTTTCCGTTCTGCCGCCTCTGAAAGACCTGGAATTTGCATTGAGAAACAATTAGTAAAAGGCTTCGGATGCTGTGCGTCTCACTCATAACTTTAGGAACATAAGAATTCGCTAGACAAAAGAAGACCGAGGTCCATCCAGATTTGTTTTGAATTTACATCCTTTCAATTGCTCTGATTTTACTGTTCTGGACAAGATAAAACTACTTATCGTGGTGTACATCATCCAGACTCTTTAGAGTCCGAAAAAAACACGCGATCATATCCACTATCATATCACCTCTCATCCCTCTCATTTCCAGACCAGTTTACTGTTTAATCGCTTCCCACGTTGGAGATATAAGTCTCAGGAACTTACCACCCATCCACCGCCATCAGTGGTCATGTCACAGTACACCTTCAGTGGATCTGACATGTTTCCGTTCAAGAATATGGTGTAGAGTCCAGAACTGGCCTCGCCGTTCAACAAGGTCTGTGAGCAATCCTTAGGGTGTGGGTACAAAACACGGCCTGGGGGAACAGTGAAACAACGAAGAACATTGATGGCGGGTTGGAACAAGGTCCTGTTTCATCCCTTATTCCAACGAGGTATGATTGGGTACCTGCTGTGAAAAACGTCTCTGCTATTTTGCTTCTCTGGGATCCCTTGTTGGCCTGGAGTTTCACGTGGTACCTCATCGACGGGACCAGCTGAGCCAAACTGTAGGACGTGTCGGTGTCACTGAGCACGACCTGCTGGTTGACGTTCATGAAGAGCAAAAAAAAAAGGCAGGAGTTAGCAAGGGGTGCTGTGCTGGCAACGGTTTCAATTTTATGGAGCAAATGCTTGTGAACCGTAGAACGTATGACTGTCCAGCGCCTTGGGACGTAGCTTCAGGTATTACTGTGAAAGGCACTGTGTAAAATGTCACGTGTTTTTGGTGGTGGTTTGATTGTAAACTTCACGGGGCTGGATGACAAAGAAGGTTTCTCCGTGCGTGATTACCTGCATGTTGCCATCCGTGGACTCCAACGTCAGAGTGTAGCCGGTGATCTGGGCCGTGGGAACCTTCCACGAGAGGAGTGCGTTGTTGGTGGTAATTTCACTTGCTCGCAGGTCTGTGGGAGGGTCGATAGCTGGGGCCGGGCAGGGGAAGGAAAGCAGGTGGGCAGTGGGATGGGGGTGGGAGATGGCGGCAGAGGGAGTTTGGGGGATAGGAAACGTAAGTTAATAAGCAGCTATGGAAGTCTGTAGCTATGATAATTCTTGCATTTGACAAGAGTGCCTTATCACGTCGTTGCGACGTCTCAAAACGCTTCACAGTGCAGCCAAGGACTGTGCATTTTGTAAGCGAAACACGGCAGACCATTGCGCACAAGCAGTGTCCCACGGACAGTCGTGGATCGAGTGAACCAAATTATTATTTGTTTTGAGGTTATCCCAGTAAAAAAAAATTTTACATTTTTTTTCTTTAAACGACTTTGTGAGCTGCCAACTTTGTTCCCGTTTGATTGAGAACGAAACATCGGCCAAAATCCGATTGCCAAAAAGAAAAAAAACTGGCACATTGAACCTTTATTCATGAACGAGCTGTGAACAGAAAAGGCCTTATGCCCACAAGGACACAGCCTGCCCACTCCCCCACAACAACCCCCACCCACCCACCCACCCACCCACACACCGCCCCACCTCACCTGTTGTGAATGTAGTGGAAGAAACCAAACTCTGCAGAGAGCCTTTGACTGCGTGCATCCACACAGTGTAGTGAGTGCCCGGGTGGAGGGAGATGAGTTCAGCCTGTACGGTATTCCCCGAAACCTGCTCTGTTTCCGTAATACCTGAAGGAAGATAATATTTAGATACCGTCGCTTTTGCTTTTCGATGTGAAAGTACCCGGCAGATCATACAAAGAAATTACGGTTTCCCAAACTTTCCATTTAGTTTAGAGCCAGGGCCGGTCAACACAGTTTTATAAAGTGTCTCTCAATTGGATTTATAGTAAATAATAATAATAATAATACTAGTAATAATGATAATACTGGCATTTGATATAGCGCCTTATCATGTCTTCGAGACTTCTCAAAGCGCTTCACAGAATATACTGTAAAGTGAGTTGACTGTGTTTTGAAACACGGCAGCCAATTGCACACAATGATTAAAGAGTGGACTAACAACAACAGCAACAAATTACATTTACACAGTGCCTTTCATCTCGGGAGGAAGTCCCAATGCATATAATAATATTAGCTTGGCACCCGAGCTGGGGGTGGGACCCGAGGTGGGTGGTTGGGGGGGTGGGGGGATGGTGATGTGGGGAAGAGGAATGGTGTTATCTTACCGTAATCAGCAGTGTAGGCGATAACGTAACCGTCCACTGCAGCGATGGTTGGTTGCCACACCAGCAGCGCTTCCGAATCAGTGACGTTCACGACTCCCAAGGCAGAAGGGTTGTCCAGAACTGGCAACGGCAAACAAACAGTCACATGGCAACCCTCTCAACCTCTCCTGTGGTGGATGGATTCCAGAGCAGGATGTGTTCAATTATCTGACACCCCTCCCTGGCCTCCCTTGCTCACTTAGGTCGGCAGAATGCATCCCTCCAGGGGGAGGGAGCGCGCGCGAGCGCATTCCATTCCAACAACGTATCGCTGGGATTTCCAGGTGTAGGTGGGAGGCAGGGAATTCTCAGTTTGGTTTGGAGAATCTTAAGCCGCGGTGATAGGTTTCCGCATGTGTCAGACACCCGGCTGGTCAAACAATATCCCTCTCCCTCCCTCCCTCCATTCATTTTCCACCTGACTGTATTTTCGTCATTTGAAACCACCTTCCAAGCTTCCTTATTCACCCATTCATCCGTCGCTTTGCCAAAGGGCTCAGCAATAAAGAATAAGGTCACCTTTGACTTTAAAACATTGTAAGATTGTGTAGATTTGCGTAGGTGCTGCCCCCCCGAGCGGGTGCTCAGGAACACCAGCGATGGATTTGAAACGCTGCAAACTTCACCCCTTGGATTAAGAATAACATGTGGTGATTTCAGAGCGTGGGTCTTGCACTTTGCTGTGAATTCCTTTACCTGTGAGCACGGTGTCTGAAATGGATTCACTTTCCTCAAACCCTTTGAGAGACACGATGGTGATTCGATATTCAGTGGCCGGGATGAGTTTGTACAGAGTGGTTTTTGTCTTGGTGCCATCCACAACCACACTCTGAAACGCACCTACATTGATCGTAATAATATTAATGATAATAATATATCACACTAATAATATTAATAACAATAAGGAGTAATAATCCCTCACGGAAAATGTAAAATCAATCCACGACTGTTTGTGGAAAACTGCTGTGCGAAATTGGCGGCCGCTTTTCGTCCACAAAATACACCATCGATCCACTGTATGGTATATTCTGTGACTCGCTTTGAGACATCTCAACGAGGTGATACGGCGCTGTATCAAATACAAGGATTATTATTTTTCTATTGTCCGTGCGAACAGCGGACTGAGTAAAAAAAAACACCAATGCAATGGATATGCAAAGCGAATAGCAATAATAATAATAATAATAATCCTTGCATTCGATACAGCACCTTTCAACACCGGGAGGGCATCTCAAAGTGCTTCACGGGATTTTACTGTGAAATGCAGCGACTGTGTACTTTGAAGCCGAACGTGACGGCCAATTTGGACACAGCAACGTTCCCCCCACAAACAGCCATGAAGTAAACGGCCATTTCTCTCTGGGACATTGTCACCCAGGACACCAGGAGAGAGAGACTCCCTTCTCTTTTCGAATAGCGCCTCGGGATCCCTAACGTCCACCTGAACAGGTAGAGAAGGGATCTCGGTTTAACGTTTCATCCGAAGGACGGTACCTCTGAAAACATGGCACCCCCCCCACCACACTGTCCCCTCCTCCCACCCCCAGCACTGCATTGTGAGCTAAAGGTCCCGAGATGGAAGCTTGGACCCACTCAGAAAACAAAGATCAACTCTAACAAGACTCACCTCCGTCAGTTGGTACATAAGTGATCCTAAAGCTGTTGACTTTTGCCCTTGGATGGTCCCATCTGAGTGTCACTGTGCTGTCTGTGACGTTTTCGAACCGGAGACCCCTCGGAGCTCCCAGAGCTGTTGGGGTTGGGGGGGGGAGAGGGATGGGGGAGAAACGTTTGAAAAGGGAAAGCAAGAGAAAGTTAACGTGAACTGGAACGAAAAGCTCGCCACTCGCACGCTAAATAAAAATATGTCTGGTCAACTGCTGCCTCCTGCAGACGTCCGTGCTCGCGCTCTCACTTGAAACGCTCCCGTCCGAACGCGAGAGGTGTGGCCAACAAATTGAGAGAGAGATGCGAGACCTAAAATGTGAGGCTTTAAAACAAAAGTGTAAACAGGAATTGAAGAAACGAGGCATCGGAAAGTGAAGCTCTCTCTTCGTCAAACCTTCCTGAGTTGGGGGAGAAATCAAAAGGATCGGGCCGTGGAGAGAAAGGGAGAGAGAGAAAAAAAATCCTCCAAATAATAATGAAACGAGCTGCGAAACAGGAGCGTAGTTAACAAGAAAAAGTCCCTTGAAAGGAATAAAATGCTGGTACCTGTGTTGGCCACAGTACTTAATGCCTGTGACCGCTGGCCCTCAGCAATACCATGAACGGTTATCTCGTACTCGGTGCCGTCTCTCAGACCTCGGATGTCAGCTGTGCGAAGCTCCCCTGCCACTGAGTGGTCCAGGGGGGCAGATTCCTTTTGGGAATCCCTAATTTTAATATGAAAGATATCAAAGGCACTGTCGTCTGTCGTCCAGGTCAGGGTGAAGCCGTCGGAGGTTACATTGGAAACTGACAAGTTGTCCAATTCTGGTTCAGCTTCTGAGGGGAAAACAGTTGGTGTAAGTTCCTGGTACTCAAGTCTGGTGGAAACATGTAATATTGCTTACAGCACAATGTAAAGGATATAAAGAGGGAGATTAGGGAGGTGGGGGGGGGGGGGGGAGGGAGGGAGAAGGGAAAAAAACAGAAGTGTTCATTACAGGAGGACAAGGTGTCACTGATTCGATTCCCAGGCAGGTTTCATTGTAAACTGAGATCCAGAAAATGCAGAAATCTGAGATTGTATAAAAGTACGTTCAGCTGTGAAACGTGTCGTGGCTCAAACTCAAACTAAAAAAACCAAGGAGAAAAAAAAAAAAAAATCGGAAACCCAACCAATAAATCCATCGCAAACCTACAGAGGTAAATCGGTCGTGTAACTTAAAGCAGGTCAATGATTATTAGTAGCAAAGCATCTTTGCGATCTCGAGGGAATAAGAGAAACAAATCCGTATTAAACAAACACTTATTTTTTTCCAATGGCCCGTTTGTATGATCCTCGCCTGTGGGGTTCAATCTGTTCTTAATTGACAATAAATAATATTTGATAACAGTAATGATAATCAGAATCCTCGCGTTTGACAAAGTGTTTCACCAAATTTCTGTGCGTTGTAACGACTGTGTATTTTGTGGGCAAACCCAAACAGCCAATGTGCCCACTGCAACGCCCTGCAAACAGCCACAAAGTGAACGACTCATTTTATTTGGGGGGAAAGAGATTGTTTTGCACCGGTTCCAAATCCCAAGTGGATTCCGTAGGCCGGCCAGCGAGGGAAGCAAGTCAACTGACACCTGGTTTGAGATGGCGTGGGAGGACCTGACAATACCAACGGGTCATTGGACACATAAATGAGCAACGGGTACCCCACTTGGGAAGGAGAGAACGGTTACAGAATGCGCAGGGAAATTGCATTCATTCAATCTCGTGCGAGCACGGATTTCACATGGCTGTTAACGTGAGCTACGCAGGCAATTCCAGAGGCCAAAGGAGAAGACCTCCCACGCAGAAGAAACGGTTTTGTCGTTGCCGCCACTGTTTGAGGCGGACGACCAAGACGTGGTTATGTGAGGAAACGTTCAGGTTCATCACAAACAGTTGCGTAAGGAAGTTATTTCAGTCACAAAGTTAACTGGAAGACCACGGAGGAGTGACACAGCATAACTGTTAACAGACAAGAGGGTTTCAGGCTGTTTTATCACAAGGCTGTTTTCTCCCCCCCCCCAACCCCACCCCACCACCCCAACCCTTTTAAAAAAGTCATTGGTTGAGAAGGGTGGAAGTATGATACACATTCTGGGGCCAGATGTGGATGAATGGGGTTAACAGCACAATGTTAAGGAAAGAATTTCGACAAATGCGCAGGATTTCAGGAGAGAGGTGCAGTTGCCCTTGAAAGTGCAGATGAAACAAGCCATGCTCAAGCCTGAAGCGCTGAGTTTTCTTTAGCTCATGTCAGAGAAGGACAGGCTGCACTTGATATCTCGCGGTCTTGGTTTGAAGGGCAGCGTCCTAAAGTGTTTAGACGTTTTTGCAAAACCCAGTCTCGAGCTTTCTGCTCAAGTCTGCTTAATGTCACGTGAATACCAGGTGTGATGAGCTTGATGGGGTGACTGTGACCAGCCGACCGTTTGCAGAGAGAGAGAGAGAGAGAGAGAGAGAGGAGGAGAAAGAGAATTATGTGAGATTGGAGTCCGTGAAACGGAAGCAAAGCTCTTGTGAAATGACACCAGGTAACAATAAAGAGGCAAGAGTGAGCAAGAGCGAGAGAAGAAAGAGCTCGTCTGATGAAACAAAATACCTGTTGTAGTCTCAGCAAAAAGAGGCTTAGATTGCTGGCCTTTGGCTACACCAGAGACATAAATATCATAACCGATGCCAGTGATTAGGCCTGTGATGTCAATGGTATGCTGGTCGCCTGACACCTGGTGTTCAAGAGGGTCCAACAACCTGCCCGAATCTCTAACCACTACATTAAAACTTTCATAGGCGCCATCCACTGCGTCCCAGGTGACTCTGAATCCATATGAGTTTATGTCTGAAACCACTAGGTTTTCCAGTTTGGGATTTTCCTCTGGAGAGACAGGGAATTGTTTTCTTTTAGGAAAGAGCAACATGAGGGTGTGAGTGACAAAATGCCGTGGGCACGATGCACGTTCTCACAGCTAGCCAGACCCACGGCTTACTGACACATACATGTATGTAAGGTACTCGTGTTGTTAGCATGCTCCGATCAAGGTTACATAGCAGAGAAGCAATGCACTGAATGGACCCATCTCCTACCAGGCCAGGTTAAGGGCTTCTTATAAGAGATTGACGAGTTTAAGGAGTTCAGCACTATACTGAGTACGGGGGGAAAAAAAAAAGCCACCTTTTAAACTTAATGCAAATGAAATATCGAGGTCTAAAATGCGTGCCGGGCTAATTAGCCCGTGGAATTAAGTAAAGAAGTCCCGTTGATGAATAGAGCAATTTAGTCCCCGCCATTTCCACGAGCGGGGCAGGACTCCACGAAGCCTCTAAAAGTAAAAGTCGGTGGAAAGAAAGGTTTTGCATGCACTGAATGGGGCCATTCAGTCAGTCACAAGGTCCCGACAGGTGATCAGAACATAAACTCTTATCCCTCCCACTCGCTCTGTGTTTTTGCACCTCTCTCTCTCGCTCTCTCTGCACACCTCGTGTGTGTCCGAGAGTAGGTAGGGGATCTGTTAGAATTTGGCCGTGCACGGACCAGCCAGGGATATGAACAAATGTTTGGCTGAAAAAAAAATCGTGACCTTACGAGTGTAAAAAAAAAGTCCCGCCTGAAGCCCTTCCTCTTCGACCGTGCTTACAGCCACCTCCATCCCTCCCCTCACCGCCCTCCCACCCCACTCCGCCACCGCTAAGCATTCTGAGACGCTACGCTGCGTGGAGGGCACTACATACACGTGCAAGTTTGTTGTCGTCGTTGAAAAGGGTTAGTGTAGCAGTTAGCTGGATTATTGTCGAGCAAAATGAAAGAAAAAAGGTAAGACGCTCTGGAATGAAAAACCATCCTCGCGACAGGCAACGCGTGATAAGCCGATGAAACGGGCACCTCTGGGCTCTCCGGGAGGGATATACCTGTAGCTGTCACTGCAGTGAGAGGGGACGTGAGGCGTCCGTGAACTGCACCGAAAACATTGACATGGTATCCAGTGCCTTGCCTCAGGCCTGAGATGTCAGCGGTTCGTGTTTTGCCCGACAACGCTTGCTGCAAGGGGTTGGCTGAGCTGTTGGAATCTCTAACTTCTATGACAAAGTACTGGAACGCTTCATCCTCTGCTGTCCAAGAGAGTGTGAAGCCACCAGAGGTAATGTCTGAGACAATTAGGTTGCCAAGCTCAGGCTCTTCTTCTAAGGAGAGGAAGATTGACGGAGATAACAGTTTTAGATCTACGGGCCGTTACCCAAAAAAGTGCACAATTGTACAGGTAAATCTGCGCTGGAATTTCTTCCCTTCTTTCCTTCCTTTGGTAATGGTATGAGACTCTTGAAACCACTACAGCAATTGAACGTCCCTCACTAAGTAAGCATGCAGCAGAGCAGACCGGTCGCCTTCAAGGAATCTAAGGTTGCTTCTCCTGAAGCGAAATCGCTCTACCATCTGGCCTAATCTAGGCCTCAAAGTACTGTTACGTTGCTGGCGTTAAGATAGCACAGAGTGATGAAAGCGTCGGTGAGTTTAAGTTCCCGTTTCGAGGGTTACTCAAAGAGACGTACGCTTTGTTCAGATGAGAAAGAAATACCAGCGAATTGAGAGAGGGGGTGAAAAGTGCGCGGTGTGATGTGAGAATTATGGAAGTCGAAGTTAAGACAATGTTCTTCTCTGTCTCCACACAGCCCCCCCACCGCCTGTTGCAGTGAAAAGCAATGTCTCGAAGACGTGATCAGGCGCTCTATCAAATGCAAGGATTACTATTATGATTATTATAAAATGCTGTGATCCGTAACGGCATCCGGCCAACCTCTGCCTCAGCTACTTACACAAACACAGGCGGGCGTTCCCAAGTCATTTAACTGGAGACGTCACCCAGAGGAGGAAGTAATGTCCTCCCGTGTGGCAACTCTTACCGGTGTTAATTATCACGTCAACGCAGCGCATGGGGTTAAAATCGGAGGAAGAGGGAAGGAGAGTTCGAGCAAGTACCTGTCAAGGCAACGGTAGTTAGAGGTCGGGTCCGATGACCCCGGATAACGCCATATAAATAAATCACATAATTAGTGGCCGGTATGAGATTGGTGAGCTGGGTGGTTTGCACGTCCCCTGGTGCCGTGTACTCCACTGGGTCCGAGAACCTGTCAGAATCTATAAGTTCTACTACAAAGCTTTCAAATGCCCCTTCCTTCCCCGTCCAGGAGAGGGCAAAGCTCTTTGAGGTAATGTCTGAAACCACTAAGTTGCCCAGTTCAGGTTCTGCCTCTATAGGGATTGTTTTGGAAATAAAACTTCAGCACTTTTGAGACAACACAACAGAAGAGCACAAATTAGCTTAAGAATCACAAAGTCAAAGCAACACAAGTGTAAAACCGAGACGATGCTGGCTGGCTGTGCAACAGCTCGCGCAATCAATGAGAACGCCTACAAATGCACACGGCATCTCTCCACAATAAGTATTTAAGAAGTACCTCAGTGAAACATCCGAGCGACGTTAAATTACTGCATTAAATTCACGAAAATGCACTAATTGCTCGCGAGAAAAAAAGAAAAGGTTTTGCACAACTTAATTGGAACTTTTATCGTTCTTTAACGTGCATTTCTCGTTGTGAAACCTGCTTCAGGAAATTCTTATTTTCACAGAATACATTGTAAAGCGGTTGACTGTACAGTTTGCGGGCGAAACGCGGCAGCCAATTGCGCACAGAATTACAAACAAAACGTTGAATTTCGGTAAGCAGATGCGCCGTAAAACGATCGGCATTCTTTTTTTTTAAAAAAAAGTTAATAAAGTTAACGTGACGTAAAATGAAACGGCAGCTGGCAAACTCCAGCTGAAACACAAATACCTGTTGTAGCCACGGCAGTAAAAGTGTGTGACCTCTGTCCTTGATAGACACCAGAGAGATATATAACATAATCAGTGCTGGCTAACAGGTTTGAGATGTCAATTGACTGGAGGCCAGCTGGTACAATGTGCTCCGAAGTTTCCAAGAACCTGTTAGGGTCTGTAATATCTACAATAAAGTTCTCAAAGGTGCCGTTCGCTGCCCAAGAGACAGTGAAACCATCTGAGGTCATATTGGAAACCGTAAGGTTGCCAAGTTCAGGCTCATCCGCTGAGGAAAGGAAATAATGGATTGAGATAAAAAATTGTCAAATACAAAATAAAACGTCCAATAATCCCACCACCCAAACCAACTCCCTCCTCCTGTCCATCACATCAGTCAGCTCCCCCCACTAAAAAAATTTCAACCAAATTTCTATCAAACTTACTCAATAAAACAATCCTTAGATTTGGTGGAGCGCCTTTCACGATGGGAGGATGTTTCAAAGCGCTTCACAGGATATACCGTAAAGTATAGTGACTGTGTTTTTTGTGGGCAAACCCAGCAGCTCAATTTGCGCACAGCATCCTCCCGCAAGCAGCCATCAAGCGAGTGACCAATTTTCTTTGGGGGATTGTCGGCCAGGAACTCAGGAGAGAAACTCCCTTCCCTTTTCAAATAGTGCCTCAGGATCTTTAACCGTCCATCTGAACGGTTCACCATCTCATCCGATCGATGGACTTTGAAAGGAGGAGCGGCAGATGCTGACTGATATGCAGAGCCGGAAAGGGATGGTAAACCTGAAAATCTCATCTTCTTAGTTAGACTTAAGCCGTCTTTAAGATGACCGCGTCATGTGAAAGATTAACCCTGAGTGGAGGACTAAATGCTTCACTTGTTCCTCTGTGCAGGATAAAGAGAACAAAGAGAAGATGATAAGCCACAGTACCTGTGCTCGCTTCAGCATACAGAGGTTTTGTCCGCTGCCCATGAATTAACCCATAGAAGGAAATCTCATAATCAGTGTCAGCAGATAGTTGCGGGACGTCTAGAAAGCGCACATCGGCTGCCAGCGTGAGGTTTATTGGGTCCAGCAACCCATCAGAGTCTCTTATTTCTACATCAAAGCCTTCGTATGGCCCCAGCGCTGTCCAAGAGAGCTTGAAGCTGCTGGGCGTAATATCTGAGACCATTAGGTTGCCAAGTTCAGGCTCTGCCTCTGAGAAGGAAGCAATAATTTGGATGTTACATAAACGTCTGGACCGTGAAACAAATAAAAAAAAGGCACAAGTCAAATAAAAGTATAGGCTTTTTTTTTTGCAGTCGATGTACAGTGCAGTACAATGTAAAACAGTCTGTAAAAGAAACATTATTCAAGGTTCAACTACTACTACTACAATAAAAAAAAGCAGATTTCTATAACGTTTGCGTGCAGTGTTATCCAGAGTCATTAGCTGTCAAAAGGTTGTTCATGGCTAAAGAGAGATACAGTAGATGGAACCAATATGGTTTACATGCAGCAAACAAGAAGTGGATGATCTGTAAGGCAATCAGAGAACGACTGAGGTAGACAATGCTGTAATAAAGTCAACGTAGGTTAGTGTGTGAAGTCTACTGACAGGAGCTCACACAGCAGCAGCACGATCTCACTCCATTCCACTGGGATTAAAAAAAAACAAGAGAAAGACTTCGCATACGAAGCAAAGTTAAAGTGCCAAGTCACCTGTAAAAGAAGGTGTGAGTACAGGTTACATGCGCAATACATTCGCAAAGGGGAAAAGCACTGGCATATTCAAAATGGTTTTATCCTGTAAGGGGGGGGGGGGGGGAGTAAAAAAAAAAAAAAATTGTTATTTGTAACCCGGTGGTTTTCATCTCACGGGGGAGACATGCTGGACGGTGCGACAGAGCAACAATACAAAATCCTAGTCTGCCATTCCACATACTTCGGCAATACACAGCTAACTGCTCCATCCTCAATTCTGTATGTTATTTGCGTTTCCAGGTGTTATAATGTCAAACACCAGGGTTGGGTTACATTAGAATTGGACCCCCCACCCCACCCCCACCCCCACCCCTCCTCCATCCCTCCCTCCCCAAGAGGTACTTTTATATCACATCAACTCATTAAAATGCTGACCAAATCCCTGACGGTCCAGCGCCTTGGGACGTCTTCCCGACGTGAAAGGCGCTCCAACCAATGTAACCTGTTGTGGTTGCTGAATGAATTGGCTTGACGTGTCATCATGTTAGACAGCGTCTGAATTTATCCACGGGATCCAATCGGGCAGGTGTTTGACGCACGTTATCGATACATGCGTGTGTCAGACCATTGGCTGACCAAAACAAAGAGGTAGCGTAACACTGCATGGGCAAGTCTTGCAGCACACATTGAGTTTTGTCCAATTGTAGCTGTTACAATGGTGTCATGCAGTTGTATTGGGGGGAAAAAAAACAAAGGCACATTAGTGACTGTTGTCGAGTTAAGGGGTAACGCTGCCTATTGTCACGTGCACACAACATGCTTTGTTTTATTTTGGTCTCACATTTCCCAGCATAGACACAGTGAAACATGGATGACACAGGAAGGGGAAAGAATATTCTTGGACGTGTATAGAAATCTGTTCTTCTAGAAGGGGGGGGGGGTGGGGTTCGAGAAGGGGGTAAGAGGTCAAGAAATGGAAGGCAAGAGAGGGGTATGTATGTGTGTGCAACACACACAGTTCAGGAATACCTGTTGTTGCAAAAGCTTTCAGTGGTTGCAAGAGCTGTCCTTGCACTATTCCGTACAGATCAATCTCATAATGTGTGCCAGCTAAAAGCCCTGAGACATCAGCCGTGTGTTGCTCCCCTGACAGGGCAATCTCAGTAGGGCTGCTCATTTCAGCCACATTCTGTACTGTTAGGAGGAAGCTATCAAAGGTTCCTTTTGGGATTGTCCATGACAGCTGGAAGCTGGTGGGAGTTACATTCTTTACTGCGAGACTCCCAGGTTTGTCATTTCCTGAGCTCAGTAAATCTGTAAGGTATTTGCCAGGGGCTGGCGTAACAGGCGTTTCTGATTTGACCCCAGCCGGGCGATCCATGGGGTAGTTTCTCTCGTATGTTTGTTGAGTGGGGGATGAGCTGGGAGCTTCATCGCTTATTTTATCTCCACCTGGGGTTACCCGAAAGGCTAAAAAAGCATATCAGAAGTTAGATCTATTTTTATGTGCCCCTTTTTTACGCTCAAGTTATAATAAGCAATCCCTTGTGAAACTCTGAAAAATAAAAGAAATTGGCAAGTCGTCATTTCAATCCCGAGCAAGAAACTATGTCGTCATTGCTACGCTTCCCTCTTAAACAGCAACTTATTCTTAGATTGTACTGTTGACCTTAACAAGAGGAAATTGCTTTACAAGACGAATAAATTGTTCCAACTATGTTGGTCTCTGTGAGCCTGATTATCTGGTGTCTGAAACCACTGGACTCAATCTTTCAAGCCAACAACTAACCAGGCACAACCTCTAAGCCCACGTGACAAGAGGGTGACTATCTCCGTGCAGTTGCATCCACACATGTGGGCACAACACTTTGGCAGTGTCCCATGTTTTAGTCTGGTGTTGTCAGTCACACTGCCCCAGGCGTTCCCTCTCTGCTCAGGTCTGGTACTATTGCAAGTGTATCCTTACTGCATTGCCTGTTCAGACCTCTGCATGTAGACTTCCACCATACAGAGCGACTAACCAATAAATTATATCTGCAATCTAACACTGATCACTTGCGTGGAATTACATGGAATATTGCAGCACGGAAGCAGACCATTCGGCCCGACTAGTCTGTGCTGGTGTTTAGACTCCACATGAGCTCCCATCCCTACTAATGCCCTCCATCTCCCTCTCCTTCATCAAGTTTCCTCTTAAATACATTGATGCTTTTATTTGCTTCAACCACAGCTACCGGCAACGAGCGAGCGAGCTCCACATTCTGGCTTGAAGAAAGTTCCTCTTAAACTCCCTTTTAGGTTCGCTGCTGGCTTTCCTATATTTACGTCTCCTCTGTCAAAAAGCGAACCAATGAACTGGTGGAACATCATGCTCAGTGGGCTGAGCGGTTTGCCTCCTGTTCGTACCTAAGAAGCTAGGCTTGGATAAAAAGAATTAGAAAAAAAAAAGAGAGGTGGAGGGAGAGATGAGAAATACAAGAGAGAGAGATTGTTAACGAAAAGAATACCTGTTGTGATGTCTGCTTTCAAAGGGTCTGAACGCCACTCTCCTGTCACTCCGTATAAATATACCTTATAGTGTGTGCTATCCGAGAGGCCGGACACCTCTGCGTTACGAATGTCACCGCTTAATGGTATTTCCAGTGGTCGGTAAACCCCGGCAGAATCTCTGACCACAACCAGGAAACTGTCAAAAGATCCGTTTCCCGCATTCCAAGAGAGCTTAAGGCTTTGCGACGTAGCGTCTGTCACAGTGAGGTCTCCCAGTTTGCTACGCGTCACCCCTTTTCCTGAGTCAATTGTGGGCGAGTGGGGGGTGAGGCTGGCTTCTCTGTGGAGCTGAGCTGTGGGGGCTGCTGTGTGAGATGCCGGCTCCTCAAACGGGGTGGTTAGGGAAGCTAAAATACAATTTGGAAGGAATGCGGTTTGAAAGTGCTCCCATTGAGTTCGTTCAACAACGCAAATTTACTTTTGAAGTGCAGCGAAAAGGTTATGTTTCCAGTTACTTGGTCCTCCTGTACTTTGGGATACATTTGATGACCTAGCTTATTATTATAATAATTTATGAGTTAATAATTAATAATAAGCTTCCAGTCACCTTTGTGAAGAGTGCTTCGCAAGAAGTTTGCTTGTGCCAACTGCCACAAGGAATGCAATACGAAACGTCTTAAAAATTTGGCCCTGCTACGTTACTTTAAAGTGTGTGAAGGGCGCAATATAAACACACGCTTGTCGTTGTTTCCATTACAACTTCCTGGAGGCGTTGAAGGAATAAAAGTCGATAAGAGTTGTTTCTCAAAATCGACTGCGTTTTGACTTGCAACTGGAAACAATTGGCGTAAATGGTTAAATCCGTCCGTTACAGGGCTCGGCCGTCAAACCCGTATTGTTTGGTTCCTAAGACAAACGTTTTCTATTCAATCCCGTGCTCGCCTGGGCCTCTGTAGGATACCGCATCCACTTACCCCCCCCTCAATGGCCAATGACTGGCCAAGACCAGTACAAACTCACACAATTAGGAACACAGGAACAGGAGGAGACCATTCAGCCCCTCGAGCCTGTTCTGCCATTCTATTAGATCATGGCTGATCTGTACCTCAACTCCAATTACCCGCCCTTGCCCCATATCCCTCGTTACCCCGATCCTAGACCTAATCCACAGTCTTTTGAGGAGGGAGAGAGTTCCAGATTCCCACGACCTCAATTAAATTGACATTTGATCCGAGATGGAATAGGCTTGTTTTACGGAACCAAAAAAAGGGTTGATTAATAAGATAGCCAGCGAGATGTTTCATTCCGCATGCTTTCCTCTGGCATGACCTAAGTGAGCCACGAAACATCCTTCAAAAGAGAGTCAACAGTCGATCGCTGGGTCCTTCAGGTTAGCACAGGCAGCAAACCCTAATGTCAGCTATGATTCTCTGGCTCACCAGATCTGCAGCATTTGGACTTTATAATTGGACCACAATTGCTTGGCATCACACAAGACACTTGTCAAGGACCAGGCCGTAGGCTAACACTGATCTGCCAAGGCACAGTAAACAGCTAACAAGCCATGCAATCGGGTTACCCTGGCTCACAATACACATGCTTTTTAACTGCTATTTAAGAGATGCTACTAAGGTTACACTACTATCCTATTTATAAGGTGGGGTGGGGGGTGGGGGGGGAAATAAATTTCCGGCACTTCAGAGGGGGCGGGGGAAGGAAACGTCATGCAGGCACAAGCTCCAATATAACCTCATGCAAGTGATAGCATGACCATCAGTCTCAGAGGAGCAAGGCTGCCTCGGGCAAAAGCAAGTTTAACATCGCTTAAACAAAAGTGAAGGGTGGCCCTTGAAGGCAAAAATGAGGAAACACAAGGTACCTGTGCCGACCACAGTGTTCAGAGGCTGTGAGCGTTGATCACCAACAATTCCGTAAAGAGTAATGTTATATGGAGTAGAGGGCGATAAGCCTGTTAAGTCGGCTGACAAAGCATCACCAGGCACGGAAACCTCTGCCTTATCACTGGCTCCGGCAAACTCATCTCTATATTCAATGACAAAATGATCATAGACTCCTATGGCTGCCGTCCAGGAAACTCGGAGGCCTCCCGAGGTCACGTCAGAAACCGTTATGTTACTGATCTCCCCCTCACCGGTCCCGGAATACTCCATCTCGGACCCGACTAAAGCCAAGGAAACATTCGGGGCAGTTAGACTTCCGTACGGACCAGGAGTAAAAGTCTCGACCAAAGCTGCATCCGGCAAGGCTATACAAAAAGCAGGTCAAATATTCATTTTAGTGATTAAACATTTTTCTTTCCTTCGGGAGAAAAATGGGGGAAGGCGGGGAGGTGCCAAGGGTGGGGGTGGGGGGAGGTGGGGGGGGAGGTGGGTTGGGGAAGGAAAACGGTTCTTTATGAACGAGTGGGGGTGGGGGGGGGGGAAAGACCTGATCATGAAACGCCACGCAACTCTTTGCGTTTCTATCCCCAAATCCAACGGACGTCTCTTTACTTTTTTTTAAGCTTCTCCTGCAAAAAAATATTCGTTTTAAACAGCCTGAAAGAGAAAAAAAAAAGAGGAAGAAAGAGAGAACAAGAGAGAGAAGGAGAGAGAGAGAGAAACGGCACCGAAATGATTATTGTTCACAGTGTTTTTTTTTCCTGCAATCGCTCTGAAATAAATGGAAATGGGGATGAAAAGTGAATTAAAACCATCAATGCAGCATTTTTTTTTATATTGCAGCAGTGGGATTGGATACACTGTTAAATGAACGCTATTTATTTTCCTGACTGGTTTGACTTTATGACTGGAAGCCTGCATTAATACTGGACTAATTGTTAATTGTTCATGTAATCGGTACAGCAGGTCTCTGTAACGACAACAAAAAATATAGCACTTCTAAATAATACAACCCACCACCGCCCACAACACGTCTTTAAATTAACTAGCGCTATTTCCTGGGCAAAGCAATATGCTTGTGAACCCTACCAGGTGGGCATTTAACATTGGCTGCACAGCTGTAAATGAAATATAAAGTACAAAAAAAAAACTCTCGTAACAGCTAATCCAGTTCAGTTTCATACGTTTTCTTATCGACTGTAAACCCAGTTTTTTTTAAATAAAAGAGAGAGACATCTGTAAAACAGTCTCATTTTATAATCCAGGCCCAAGAGGTGGTATAAATCGCTCTCTGTTTGAATACGGTCTCCCAAAATATTTAGAGCGACTGCACTGGCCATTCGTATTGTTAAAATGCCTTGTTAAAAAGTACTGATGAAACACACGCACTTTGCCGTTCTAGCAACATGTAACCAGGCAGTGCTAAACAGCCCTCAACAGGCTTGGAATATAATAATTTTATAATACATACACATCTACGTGTTTATAGCCAAATCCAGCACTAATGTTTAGACATCAACCTTAAAACCCATTGTGATGGGAGAGACAGAATCGAGTCTTCATTTTATTTTTGTCAAATTTGCATTTACACAACAGATTTATCCTGAAGGTCGGCGATCGATAAATTACCAAATTGGATTTTATAAGCACTTTGTCCAAATGTCATTTGCACAACTATATGTATTACAATAATGTATATGATATTATAATATTTATTATATATACTAAATATCTATATATATATATAGATGGTTTAGTTATTGAGGTAGATAATATTGAAAATAATTCCTCTACAGAAGTAGCTGAGTTTATTTCAATACGTGCACAAGGATTCCATGCTGGGAAATAGCAAACCTTGCAAACCATTTCCACTCCATCACATAACTCTCGCAAAGGCAAAACAGTTATTTTGCACTCGTGTATGTATTCTGTGCAGCTCTGTAACACAAACGGCCAAAAGCTAAGGGTGACAACTGCAAGAAAAAAAAGGCCAGTCAAGTCGTCCACCCAGCCTCACACCTATGAGAAGATTAAAACAGACAGCTTGTGTTATTTTGTAGTTGAAGAGCAATGAGCATATAGCAGGTGTCCCCCTTGTTACAACAGTGTTGGGGAGAGGGGAGAGGTGGGGGGGAAGTTAGCTGGAAAAGGGTCCGAAACAGGAGGGGTTGGGCTGATGATATGAACATTCAATTTCTGAGGAAAGAAAAGGTTAGTATCTTTGCCAACTCGGGGCATATTTCTTATCCATCCTCTAAGGTCTAAGCTACGGAGGATTCAAGAAATACGCTAGGGGCAATGGGAGCTCCTCAAAGAGGCAGGCAAGTGATTGTGGTCACTGTGAGTAAAGCTGAGGCTGTGCTAACTGAGGAAACCACGGTATCTTGTAAAGTACCTGTAGTGACCGAGCCAACTAAGGGCTCAGTGGTGGCCTTGCCTTGGAGAGCCACAAGGGTCACCGTGTACTCCGTGGCTGGTTTCAGATCAAGGAGGGTGACTGCGGTCTGGTTGCCCTCCACGGTGACCCGCCGCGTCTCTCTGTGTGTTTTGGGGTTATAGTTGACGATGTACATGTCAACGGGGTGGGAGGGGGCGTCCCAATCCACCCAGGTGCTGACGGACGTTACTGCTGAAAACCTAAGACCTCCCAGAGCTTCAAGACCTTAAAAACACAGCAGAGAATGGTATCATGAGTCCTATGTGAAAACCAACGCCCTGGGTCTACTGATAACCTTCTGGGAACACAGTCAGAGAGGGAGATATGCACTAAAATATACACACAACCTTCCTATTGTTCAACAAGGCAGCCAGGCTTAGAGAGTCAGTGTCACAACTTTCTTTTTTGGTGTGGTTAACGTTCGACCCATTTCTACAGATGGCATCCTGTCCATGCATGTGACATGAATAATATTAAGACCAAAAAAAGGGAAGATTTCACACAAGCCTACGCGATGTAGAAAAATAGTTTGTTCCAAGCATTTTGCCACGTCCTCCCGACACAAAAGGCCCTATATCAAATAATTTATATCAAACTATTATTATCATTTTCATTAATACTATTCATGGTGGACATTATTTTAAATGCTTCCCTGTTTCCTCTCTCCAAACACTGAACCTTGTCAAACAGAACTCACTTAAATCAACTTTGCCATTTCCCCAAACAAGATAATATTACAGAGTTTTCAATGTGGCTTTTAAGGGTTCGAGAGGAATGGCGAAAAGCAGCTGACTCTGATGGACTGTAAAAATAAAGGCCTGGAAATGGGTTCTATTTAGGTCTTGTAGGAATTTATCAGCTAATTATTACTTTCCTTACCTCGGTATTCCATAAAGCCACCAACACACCAAGCGATGTGTGCGAAAGGTCGTGATTCAATGGCTAACATTAAAAATAGTGAAATGAGCTTTTTAGAGAAGTTTGGGCCCCCTTTTTTGGTCAAATCATAGAACCTTACAGTACAGAAGGAGGCCAGTCGGCTCATCGTGCCTGTGCTGGCTCTTTGAAGGAGCTGCCAACTAGTCCCCGCTCCCCCGCTCTTACCCCATAACCCTGCACGTTTTTTCCTTCTCAAATATCTGTCCAATTCCCTTTTGGAATTGAAAGCTCCTCTCGAATCTGTTTCCACCGTCCTTTCAGGCAGCGCATTTTGTCTTGAATTTCATTCACCAAACACCTTATCAATGTTTTTTTTTAAAAAGAAGCAAGAGAGCGGCTGTTCTCGTTTCGTTCCCTGCGGACGGGACGAAACCCGTTTTAAACCGAGTGAGAGGTGACGGGCGCGGTTGTCGGCCGAGAGCGAGGAGCCGAGGAGTAGGAGAGACGAGACGGCAAAGCTTTCCCTTACCGGTGGCAGAGGTTATGGTGACCCCTTGGCTCTTCTCACTATCTCTCTCGGCCACCAGAGTAATGGTGTACTCCAGTCCCGCGTCCAGGTCCACCAGAATGAAGGTGATGGCGTCCCCCCGGACTATCCGCTCGCTCCTCTGGCCGGACGGCGTGATGTAGTAGATGCGGTACTGCTTGATCACCGCCTGTGGGCGATGCCACCGCAGGGTGATACTGTCCACTGTCCTCTCGCTCACTTCCAAATCCTTCGGATCATCCAACTCTGCAGTGATAGACATTGAAAATGTTCACACCCAGCATCCTCGCAAGACTACCTCCCTCCCTCCCTCCCCACCCCCCTTCGTTCAACCTCTATCTCAAGATCTAACAACAGCAATATTAATCATAATGCATTTGATGCAGCGCCTTATCGGATCTTTGAGACGGCAAAGCTCTTCACAAAATATATTGTCCGTATTTTGTGGTCAAAACTTCCTGATAACCTGTTCCAACAACAACAACAACAACTTGCATTAAAATAGCATCCGGCGGGTGTCTTGGAGTGGTTAAGTCGTCAATTACTCTTTGGTAAAATAACCATTTCCTAATGTTTGTCCTGATGCTGTTTTTTGCGATGCTAAGCTTCTCAACCGTGTATACCTCTTTAGGTACCACTTTAGGTCTCTTTTGAGTCATCTCCATAGATGTAGGACAAGGGGCTTGAATTTATAATGTAACAGTCGGGCTCTATTAAATGTTTTGACGTCCCGGTTTATTTTAGGGTTCAGACTCACCAGTTGCTGCGTTGATGGTGGCAGGAGCACTTTCTCTGTTGTTTCCCTGAAAGGCGCTGACTCCAAAGCCGTACTCGGTTCCTGGCTGGAGACCTGAATAGCGCAAAATTGTTCGCACTTTTAGACACACGTTCGATGGTCAAAGGTACCAGAATGTCATTGCCGGGCTACCGTGGTGTTAGCAGCCAACAACGCTAAGAAGCGATGACGAGATACAGAACACAACCTTATAGAAGGTCCTTCTGACTAACTCGGCCTGTGCTCCTTTGGTGTCCATTTATCCGGCGTTGATCTCTAACACTAACCATGCTTGTATTGTGTGATGACTTATAACAGGGAAAGACCATCAATCTTAGTCATCAGTGTGTCATAGATCTATTGGGGTCAAAGAGAGATGAAGAGGGGCCAGGAGCAGGAGCACTGGCTGTTCTTCCCCTCCCTAACCCTGGGGAGGCTGGGGACAGTTTAGCCTCCCCCACAGAGCTCTGGTTGAGATGTGCAAACTCAGCACGGACCAGCGGGATGTGCACATCTGCAATAATTCTTGAAAGATTCCCGAATTAATGAATCTGAGTGGGGATTCCGTCCACTGTCCTACACCCAAGTCTAACTTACTTCAGGGAAACCTCCTTCTGAAAACAACATTGCAGTCATAAAACGCTCTAAAAAGCTGGAATGTCAACAGTTTCTCCCCCCGCACTTCTCAAAACTGAAGCTAAGGCTGAGAAGGGCAGAGAACGTGTCTGCAGTTTAGTGACAGTGAATATTACCAGTCATTGTGATTTTGGTGTTGGCTTCATTGCTTCTCTCCACGATGGTTTCCATGTGTTTTCCTCCTGAGAGAGGTGCGTACTTAACCCTGTAGCTGCCGGCAGGGGCTCTGGTGTTCTTCCACTGCAAGGTGATGCTCTGATCTGTCTGAGTCACCACCCTAAGGTTTTGGGGGGCATCGATATCTAGGAGCGCAAGGAAAAGTACATCAGAGGATAATAATAATAATACTAGTTCTTGTATTTGATGTAACTCCTTATCACATCGTTGCAAGTCTCAAAGCGCTTCACACAATATATTGTGAAGTGGATTGACTGTGTACTTTGTGGACGAAACACGGCAGCCAATTGCGCACAGCAGCGTCCCCACACACTCATGGATTGAGTTTATTTCTTCCCCATATTTTATTTCTTTATGGAGGGATTATTAGCCCCAGAAAGTGTTCTGCCAATCGACTGACAAGTGGGTTCCAACTTACTGCTAAGTAAGCAGAGACATGCCGAGTAAGGAAACTTGCTTAAGGTTTCTTCCTGCCCGGGAATCGAACCCGGGTCCTTTCACACACGAGGCGAGTGCTCTAACTACTACGCTACGAGACTCCATGCTTACCAGAGGATGGTAAATTTACATAGAGTTACAAGGCGTGAGTTGATCGACTGGGCATGACATTGTGTGCGTACGGCGAGAGATGATTGTAACTCACATTAACTGGTTACACCGCCTCTCTCTTGTTACCTGTTCTGAAGGTGTTGGTGGCAGGGACGCTTTGCATTTGGCCACGGTTGGAGACCAGGGAGACTTGGTACTCCGTGTCGGGTTCCAGGCCGGAGATGGAATGGGTGCTCTCGGTGTCGGGAAGCTGGACGGTGGTCCTCTCGCCCCCCGGGGTCCCGTAGGACAGGTTGATCCCATCGATTCGGGCGGCTGGTTTAAACCAGGTGACGTGGGCCGTGGTGTCCGTCACTTTGTTCACCTCAACCTCGCTCGGTGAGTCGATCACTGCGGGTTGAACACAACAAACATCCCAGCGGTTAACAGAGCTCCAGCTGTACATCTGGGCACATTGGAACAGAAGGAGGCCATTCAGCCCCTCGAGCCTTTTCCGTCATTCTGTAGGATCATGGCTAATCTGTACCTCAACTCCGATTGCCTGCCTTGGCCCCATATCCCACACGTTGTTTTCTTATCAATTACGTTGCATAATTATCTCACATCCCCCCCCTCCCCCCCAAATTACAGTAAAACAAATCAATTGTAATAATAACAATAACAATCATCATCATCCTTGCATTCGATACAACATCGTCCACGTCGGGAAGACGTCTCAAAAGAACTTCACGGTATTTCAAACCCCGTTACGTGAATGAATGATCAGCAGCAATGTTGGTACCAGCCACGAGGTGTCAGGAATACAGAGGATCAATGACACACTACAGCCTCATTGTTTTACAAACTGGTTAAGTCATTATGTGTGCCTAAATGGTCCCCAAACCAACACACACAAAAAAAAGATCTTTCGAGCTACTTTCTGATGTCCTTTTGGAGCTGGGGGTGGGGGGTGTGGTGGGGGGAAGGGAAAACAATTCTATAAAATTAAATAGATTTCCGAATTTGACGGAGAGTTCTTTGTTTAATCATCGGCTGAAATACGTACCTTGGCACTCGCTCAGAATTCAGGACGTAACAGAACAGCCCTGGACCTTTACAGTGTAATCGCCCTCGCGCTTTATCGTGTTGAAACGTTCTCAAAGTGACAGAGAAGCGGAACGAATCTTGCGCTGTTTGGACCTGAACGTGTTATTTCGGGGACCATGGCGAGGAGGCGGAGAAAGCGGGAGAGAGAGTTGCTGATTCCTGAGGCTTGTCTTTTCCTCACCCACCGCCACCCCCACCACCCCCAACCCGCGTTCCTTTTCCGATACGAGTCCACTGTACGTGTTTCGTCTTTTTGCAAACTCGCAGATTCCCGCGTGTCTGTGCTTGTCAGACGAACATTAGCTCACTCTTTCCTAATTAAACTTCCCCGTCTGGCAGTTTTACTGTCTTGCCCTGGAATGCTCCGTTTCACTGTGCGATTTACAGTCCTGTAAAAGGGATAATGTTATGTCTATGGGGGAGGGGGAGAGGGAGAGGGGGAGGGGAGCTGCAGACTCTGGAGATAGAAGATAGTCCCTCGAATTAGCAAAGGCTAATACACTGAATGTGGGATCGGTACACAGCAGTAAATTAAATAGCTGGTGAGTAGACAATTGACACGTGGCTGGAAAGAGCTCAGATTCCACAAACTAACAAACTAATTGTTTGCACTCATACATAGATACCCACACACACACCCACACACACACACCCACACAGCACTCAATCAGAAACCGTGTGCGACGGAATAACGCCCCGACATTTACAACGGTCCTCGCTTTCCATCGGGTCTCGCAACGTCTCAAGGCGCTTTCGCGGAACGAATCCTTTCGCCGTTTGGATCCTGAACAGACGTGTTTGTGTGTCCCTTCTGACGACGGCAGTAACGGCCATCCTGGCGTTCAGCACTGGCGCCTTTCATGCCGGGGAGGACATCCGATAAACGCCGGGCAGGATACACCGTCGGGTGGAGTGACTGCGTGGTTTGCGGCGACCGCAAACAATGTACAGGAACGGCAGTCGTTACGCGATCATCACGAGACGAAGATCTCTGCGCGTAAAAATAATAAGAAAAAATGCAAATGACTCACTTGTCGTGAGGGGCTTTTTAAACTCGGGCCCACGGGTTTGGTTTTTTATAATGTAGAGGCTGACGTCATATTCCTCTCCCGGCGCCAAGCCCGTCTGAGTAACCGAGAGCTGGTCCTGCTTCAAGTTGTGGGAAATTTCTCCATTGTCCTCTTTCTAAAGAGAGAGAGAGAGAGAAGAGAAAGAGAGGGTCTCACTCACGTTAATTAAAACGCACAGCTTTTCCGTCACGATATACCGCTTAGAAATTGTATCGCGGTGGGCTCTAATTTACCGTATTTCTTAATCGACAGCGACAACTTGCCTCGATCGCCACAGGTCAGCCTGGCGCGTGCGATCAGTTTCGCTGCGGTTCACCATTGAGGTTTTATGGCATAAAAAGTATTATTATTATTATTATTATTGTTATTATTATAAAATCCATTGTAACATCCAAACTAGCCAGCGCGTGAGGCACAGCCCGGGGCTGTTTTCGTCATGCATTTTGTTTCAGGGCAGATGTGCAAATATTTTACAGCTGTGAATTCTACCCCCCCCCCCCCCCCGCCCCCATCAATCATCCTCCTGTCTACGCGCACAGCGACTCGAGTGAGATAGAGGAGAAAGCGCTCCGAAATTCCACTGAGTCTCAGCCTGTGAACCCATTCGCCCGGACACAGGGTCCTACGACCCTTAATGACGGGGCCTGTGTTTAATGTCTCAGCCGAAGGACGGCACCTCTGACAATGCAACGCTCCCCCCAGCTCTGCCTTGGGAGTATTAGCTCAGTCCCCGCATGGGGGGGGGGGGGGGGGGCTTGAACCCGCAATCTTCTGACTCGGAAGCCAGAGCGCTACCAGGCTCTGACAAGGACAGGACAATTCAAAACACATGTCCGGAATGGAAGACTCGGTCCGGCTACGCTGACGTTCTTCGGCTAACTCTGTTGTGCTGCTTTGCGAAGGTCAACTCACGGGGGCTTTGAACACCAGCTCCCAGCCATCGAATGGAATATCCAGGGGGTCCCAGGCCACGTGCACCGAGGTCTCTTTGACTGACTTGAAACGTAATCCATCTGGCGTTGGCAGATCTGCAGAAATTCACACCCGGGGTTTGAGAACAGAGGAAAACAAGAGGCGGCTTATTTGCTCATTAAAACTTCTCCGCCTTTTTATAACTTCCCCCTTTTGCCGACTTGCTTTCCCTTCATTTACTACCGATAACTAATAATCAACACAATAAGGCGCTTTACATCAAATGCAAGGATTATTATTATTATTATGATTATTATTACTGTGATGCCCAAACTGAGTGGGGTGGAGGGGGGGGGGTGAGGGGGAGACATTGACCACTTAAGCATCAGTAAGCAACGAGCCTGACTGTACTCACGCGTTGCTACCCTGGCACTAACGGGAACGCTCCGGTGGTTGTTCAGGATGGCGTAGACATTGATGAAGTATTCAACGCCGGGCTCCAGTTCTTGGACGGTGGACGACATCTTGTCTCCGTCCACTCTCATTTCCAGCTGCAGGCCCCCCGGGCTGGTCGGCACGTAGGTGATCAAGTACTCGTTCACTCGCACCTCGTTGTACCACTCCAGGTCCAGGGTTTCGGGAGTCACTTCGGTTACCTTTAGGTTCTTGGCGGGAGACACTGCAAACAGCGATCAGAAAGGGTGTCAGTGTTAACATTGCAGGCGAAGCGTCGGGCAAATTAGTGAAGACAGCGTCACTGTCCATAACTCTTAACATTTTGGAGTTTATTGGTGCAGTGTTTACTGATATTAAATGTATATATGTACGTCTTTCCCCCCCCCCCCCCTCCCCCCCATTAGAACTTCCAGCTGTCTCTTAAACAGCCCCAGCAATGTGGCCTTGGACCACACTGATCCATCCAACTGTGGATAAGCCTCTGTGTCAGCGCATTGCCGAGCAACACAACATAGGTCCTGAGGGGAGAAAGAAAGCCATTTTGGCCCAATCGATGTCATCCCTCCCTCCCCACCCCCCCCCCCCCCCTCCCCCCCCTCTCCCCCACCCCCCCTCCCTCCCCCACACCCCACCACCCTCCCTCCCTCCCTCCCCCCCTCTCCCCCAACCACCCACCCCCTCCCTCCCCCCCCCCCCCCCACCCCCCTCCCTCCCTGACCGGGTTGAGGGAGGGAACCCCCCCATCCCATCTTATCTGCTTCGCCCCCAACCCCAACCCCCCCCCCGACCACCACCGGGCGCTCCCCCTATAAGCCCCCCCCTCCCCCCCACCGGACGCTCGCGGCCACTCACCGGCGGAGCAGTCCTCCTGGATGTAGCCCTCGTCGCAGACGCACCGCCCGTCCACGCAGCGGCCCCGGTGGCTGCAGTGGTTGGCGCACGCCAGGAGCGCGCAGCTCGGGCCGGTGAAGGGGTGGATGCAGACGCACTGACCGGCCAGGCACCGGCCCCGGTTGTTGCAGCGGTCGGGGCAGGCCAGCTCCCCGCAGTCCGCCCCGGCGAAGCCCTCGTCGCACACGCACTGGCCGTTGGCGCACCGGCCCCGCTGGTGGCAGTCCCCGGGGCAGGTCGGCTCCCCGCAGTCCTCCCCGGCGAAGCCCTCTTGGCACAGGCACCGGCCGTCCACGCACCGGCCCCGGTCGTGGCAGTCGTGCGGGCAGCGCACTCGCCCGCAGTCCTCGCCCGCGTAACCCTCGCCGCACACGCACCGGCCCCGCACGCACGCGCCCCGCTGGCGGCAGTCCCCGGGGCAGGACAGCTCCCCGCAGTCCTCGCCGGCGAAGCCCTCCCGGCACAGGCACCGGCCCTCGACGCACGCGCCCCGGTCGTGGCAGTCGTTGGCGCACGACCACCGCCCGCAGTCCTCGCCCGCGTAACCCTCTTGGCACACGCACCGGCCCTCGACGCACGCGCCCCGGTCGTGGCAGTCGCTCGGGCAGGACAGCTCCCCGCAGTCCTCGCCGGTGAAGCCCTGGTCGCACACGCACTCCCCGGTGCCCAGGCACAGCCCGCGGCGGCGGCAGTCCCCGGGGCAGGTCGGCCGCCCGCAGTCCTCCCCGGCGAAGCCCTCTTGGCACACGCACCGGCCCTCGACGCACGCGCCCCGCTGGCGGCAGTCCCCGGGGCAGGACAGCTCCCCGCAGTCCTCGCCGGCGAAGCCCTGGTCGCAGAAGCACTGCCCCTCGACGCACCGCCCGCGGTCGTAGCAGTCGCGGGGGCAGATGATCTCGGAGCAGTCGTGGTCGGTGAAGCCCTCGTCGCACACGCACTCGCCGTCCGCGCACCGGCCGTGCTGCCCGCAGTCCACCGGGCACAGCTCCCGGTCGCAGCCCGCGCCCGCATAGCCCTCGAAGCACTGGCAGGCGCCGTCCACGCACCGGCCCTGGTCGCCGCAGTCGTCCGGGCACCGGGACTCGGTGCAGTTGGGTCCGCTCCAGCCCGGGTCGCACACGCACCCGCCGCACGAGTCGGTGCTGTAGTTGCCGTGGCCGCCGCAGAAGGGCTTAACGTCCACCCGACCTGCAAAACACACCCCCCCCCCGCCCCCGCACCCCAAAAAGAGGAGGGGGCGGCGGATGGGGCTCGGGTTACGCGCGAGGGCTGTGTCACGGTTTTTTCCCGTCGTCGCCATATATATGTGTAAAAAAAAACCCCGGGAACGGTCCCCGCCTTCGCCGAGACGTCGTCCCGGGGCTCGCGGCGGACGGTCCCGTTAAGGCGGAGGGGCTGACGGTGCGCCCCCCCCCCCGCCCCGCCCCGTCCCGCGGGAACGGTCAAGCGGATCGAGCGAGCACGTTTCTGTCGCCGTTCGGAAGGCGATCGCGCCGGTCCATGAACGGCCGAGTAAACAGTAAACAGAGGCGTGAGGCAGTGGGAGGGTGCGTGGGGGGGGGGGGGGTTGCGTGGGGGTGGGGGGGGGGAGTAAGGGAACGTGCTTTGCCCTGCCCGGGTGTCGAGCCCAGGGTTTCTCATGGCGGGTGAGGGGCTCTGAGCCGACCTCAGCCGCAAAATCAAACGCGAGGGTTGTTCTTTTTGTTGGTGCCGAAAACTCGAGCGAAATCGTGCGCCCACTGGAGTCGGCCGGGAACGGAGGGGCTCGACTCCGCGGTTCCTCTACGCGGCAAAACCTCGGCACCGTCCTGTCAGCTCTCCCTCGCTCGGTCCTAGTCCCAGTCTCTGGCTCAGGGAATGAGGAAGGGCTGGAGGGGAGGGGAGGGGGTGCTACCAGGCTTTTCCCTCCATCCCCTCCTGAAAATGAGTCAATGCCCAACTCACAAACCCGTCCTCTGTGTTCTTCTCCCCCCTCCCCCTCCCCTTCCCAATCTTTCCTAAGGAGGTTTCCGACATTGAAGTCGACACGCGGCCACTTGGGCAGATGTCTCGGGGCGGGCTGGGTCGGGAATCTTTCCCCAGCGAGAGTTAGATCCCTCGAGAGGGGATGAAGAGGACGAGGAGGAGGAGAAGAATAAGGAGGGGAAATATTAATAGTCTTTCACATTTTTCTTTTTTACTTTCGCGTCAGGAGGTCCGTCTCAAAGCCCCAATTTGTGCCCAGCATACAGAGCTGGGCACAAATTGTGCACAAATTGAGCTGGGCACAAATTATTATTATTATTATTATAGAGCGATGACCCGCAACCAGGAGTGGATCGGACGATTACATTTCACCCGAGAGATTTTTGACCCCGGACTCAGGTCGAGGCTGAAGATCTCCCTCTTCGACAGTGTTGGTGGTGGCCTCCCCTCCTCTCCCTCCCCCCTCGCCCCCCAGCCCGGCGTTTCCCCGGGGGGAGCGCTTTGCCTTACCGGTTCCCGACTGGGCGCCGTTCCCGCAGCAGCCTCCGTTGGCGCACTGGTCCCTGAGAGAGGACACCTGGCCCTCCAGCAGCTCCAGGCGTTGGAGGAGATCCTGCAGGTCGGGAGCCTGTCCGCAGGCGCAGGCCTGCCGCGGGATGTTGATGCGGTGAGTGAAGACAATCTGGTTCTCCCCGTCCACCGTGTGCTCTATGTGGTGGTCGCCGGAATCGGCCGTAGCACTCAGGCAGAGCCGTCCGGCGAGTCCAGGTCCACGGAGCAAAGAGCCCCCAGCGGCACGTTGATGTTGTAGACGTGGTTGAAGTTTATGGGCTGAGTCCCGAGGGGCAGAGTGACGTTCTCCTCCTCCGGCTCCACCGGGCTCCGCTTGTGCCTGAGGATATCCTTCAGCACCCCGCCCTGGGCTTGTCCCAGCAAAATAGCCGACAGGATGCAAGCCAAAGCCTGCCACTGAAGCCCCATCGCCCCGCTGTATAATCTTCCCCTCTCTGTTGCACTCAGTTCGCTAACTCTTCGTGACTCGTAGCAAACACGGGCTGAAGGCTTCCCGTACTCTTTCCTGGACTTTCTGGTAAATAAAATATCATATGATGATGTAGTAATAATAATAACAATAATAATAATCCTCCCATTTGATACAGCGCCGTTCACATTGGGAATACAGTCCGTCTCCAAGCGCTTTGCACGGTTCACTGTAAAACTCAGTCATTGTGCATTTTTCTATATATTTCAGTGACGACATGGAGATAGTATACGGTGAGGGTTTATTCTTCTGAGTTTGGCGCATCACAGTTACTAAATCCTTCACAGAATGGAAAAGCCACACTGAGCCGAGGAATAATGCTTAAATTGTACCGACAGAACTAACGCACGTTTCACTGTCGCCGATGACTCGAACACACTGCAAGCTCAACGGTTCAGTGATAACAACTTGCACTTAGCATCTTTCAAGCAGGATCAAAGTCTTAGATGTCAATCTGGCTCAGTTGCCTCTGAGTCAGAAGGTTGTGGGATTGAGCAGCGCTGGGGATGTGTGCGTTGTTGGCGGTGCCGTCTTTCGCACGAGATGTTAAAATCAAGATTTACCTTCTGATTCAGAGGCCAGAGGGCACGCACCTTAAAGGCTGGACTCTCAAGAGTCTCAAGCAACCTCAGCTGATGTGTATTAAATCTACTTTGAGACGCCCTTAACATAAACAGTCGCCCCATGTTTTTAGTCCCCTTTATCTACGTTAAAAAAAATGACTGATCACTGAATTCAACGACACGCTCAGACACAGACAAAAGCCCGAATTGTGCGCCCGGCCACGAAAGGCAACTGCTGACAGCGAAACCTAAGATAGACTTTGTGGCACCTCCACCTGTCTTAAATTCCCGTTAAAAGTCAGTGAACGGATCGAAAGATGTTGCTGTACTTTTTTCAAAAAAAAAGTATTAAAACCAGCGAGCGGAATTGGGTTACAGCCCTCCGAAAACGGTCCATACCTACTCGTGAACCGCTTACAGCAAACGGGCGGGCAGACTCTCCCTCTTGCAGACGTGGCCGGGTTTCAGTGCAAAAGAATTTTAATTGGAAGCAGAAATATCTTCACTGTGGGAACGATATTACGCTTCACAATCGGACGGTACAGGTCACACACACACACACAAAAAAAAAGAAAGACAAGGGGGGCATTTTTTTTTCGAACGCGGTAGATTTCAGGGGCGTGGGTTAGAAATTCCTGACGCAGTCATTAAAATATTTATTTTGTTTGAATCGCACTAATCTGTCAGACATCGCCTCTCTTAAAACGAGCTGCTTCTTGATTCTAATTCACAGGCTGGAAGCCAATATTCCAGACCCAGTTTCAAATGTGGCTGAAAGTTAATAATGGTATTGGCCAGTTTTAATCATTTATATACTGCTGTTCGCAGTTGTCAAGTTTGTTGCTCCGAATTGAATAAACTTGCTGACTTTCCAGACGCGCAGAGGCATAAATCTGATGTGTTCGATGCACAGTTTATAATGCTGAGAGTGGAGCGATGTCAGCCTGGGGGCTGGCAGAGCAGAGAGTTCTGTACTTTCAAATGGACAGAGCTCTGATGTTAAATAATAATAATAATAATCCTTACATTTGACACAGCGCCTCTCATGTTCAGGCGGACGTCTGAAAGAGCTTCACAGGATTTGATTGCAAAACGTGTTATTTTGCTTTAACGTGCGGCGATTTGTAAGTGGGATTCTGAATCTGGAACTCCGCCCGTCCCCTGACGTACCTCATTGTTGATCTGTGGGAACTCTGCTCAGGCTCCGATCGTGCGCAGGGAATGGGAGATATGTCTGACCGAGATCCAGCGACCCAGAAGTTGGGAGACGAGATCAGCGTCTGAGCCGAGCTCCAGCAGCCACCTGAGATGTAGCGCAGGATTGTACGCCTGTAAATCCCTTTTAGGAACCCCCCCGCAGGTTAGACCCCATTGTCAAAGCATTGAGACTGCTGGGAGATGTTGCACGTGCAAACCAATAGGTTACATCAGTCTTCAATGACGTTTGCCAATGGAGCGTATTTCCTTTCGTTCTTTGATCCATTCTAGCAAAGAAGAGTCGCAGCATCGATCCCATCCCCAAACACCAGGAAATAAATTACTTTCTCCATCCACATACCCAGACTCCCCTTTTTTTTGTCACCAGGCCGTCATTTCATTCAACTCCTGCAGACTCTCGGCTTCTCGTTCTTAAACCTAGAAAATGTTACTTGCCTGAGGTACGAAAGTGCACAGACGGGTTTCCAGCCATCACTCACGGGGTTTCAAAATAACTGCTTGTTTTGTCTCAATCCATCAGCGGTTAATGTTGTCACTAGGTCAAGCAGCAATCTTCTCCACATACACACACGCACACACACACAAACTGCCAGTGGAAGCATTTCAGTCACAGATACCATCAATAAAGTCATTGGCCCTGACAGGCTAAAGCCCATTAAATCATTACCTCATCACAAAACCAGGGATAACCTATAATTTGCTACTGGCAGACGCCCAGCGTCAGAAAGCAGAGACATTCCTTGCCTCTCTGGAAACATCTCATCAGTGGTTCACACAGCCAACCCCGGGTGATATCGTGTGAATTCTCTACAGCTCAACGTTATGTCTCTGCTCGGGTCTAGAATCCATACCTAATGATTTCAGTCTGCAAAGGGAGATAAGGCAAAAGATGTCACCACTGTGTCTATCTGCCCACTGAGCACAAACCAAGAGAATAATTGCTTATTCTCCCTTAGACTCAGCACATTTAGTTCCCATCGACCTTAGTTCTCCCTCTGTGAATTATTATGAATGAGTCAAGCTGGGAAGCTTATAATAATAATCCCTATTTTTAATTTAGCACCTTTAAAAACAGGAGGCTGTCTCAAAGCGTTTCACAAGATATAGAGTAAAGTCTAGTGACTGGTATTTTATAGGCAAACGCAGCAGCCAATTTGTGCACAGCAACGTCCCACAAACAGCCATGAAGTGAGTGACCAATTCCATTTGGCAGCCTGGACTCCTTGAGTTCAAGGTCTCGACGTGGGGTTTGAACCCACACGCTTGTGACTCAGAGACGTCTAACCTTGAACACTGTGTGATCGTCCTCCCTCGTTTTCTCTAAGTCCCTCCCAGGCAGCGATTGCTTATTACAATTATCAAAACGGAAGGTACTCGGTGTGAGTTCACAGAGTTGAGCAGAACTCAGTAAATCTTGCCGACAATTGCCAGTACTGTAGCGGTCAGAATGTACACGAACTCTTAGGGGAACTACTATTCAAAGTAACGTTTCCAGGTGTTTATTACGCTCAGATTTCCGCTGACACTTTCAGCAAACAGCTTGGTTGAGTCACTGCCAAATGTGGCTTGCGATCTACTGGGAAGCAGATGCACAACTATCTCTCCGGTAGTGCGTGCAGAACCATGGAAATTTACAGCACAGAAGAAGGTCGTTTGGCCCATCGTGTTTTTTTAAGAGCAATTCTTACTGACCCATTTACGTGGCTTTTCCCCCACACCCCCATACCCCATGGGAAGGAGGGGGCAAGGCGGAGAGAGAGAGAGAGAGGAAGAGTGTTCCAGAGATGGATGTCTAACAAACATTTCATGCAGGAGCGGACAATCATCTATCTGGTCTCCTCCCATCTGATTCCCACGAGATTCCTTCAAAAGAAATCGCTGTAGTTCTACTAATCCTGAAGGCGGACAGGAAGCTCCTTGGGTTTGGAACCTCGAGGCGACTGTGAGAAACGACGCCGCCAGAAAAAAGGCCTTTTATAAACAATGCCTTTCAATCGTCTTAAAACCACAAGGAAATCCGCGATGATGTGTAAGATATCGGGTTCCCTCCCTCTTCTCCATTGTTTGCTGATGTAGGATTATAAGAGGGTCCATGTGGACACCAAGTAGCAGTTGTCCTTCCATGAACCCGAGCATGGAATTTTTGCGTGCTGACTTCGTAGGAGAATCACGAGCTCAAGATCGTTCTAATCTGCACTATTCTGTGGGAAACATCTTCCTGATGCTTGTCTATCAAGGAATGTAGGAAGTAGCGGAGGCTTAGTGTGCGCGATGACTATCTGGGTCGTCCCCAAGCTTTTAACAAAGTCAGCGCTGGACAAACCCACTGACCCGCATTGCGATAGTAAGAGGGAAAATGTTACATGTCAGTAGCTGCCCTGCGCTGGGTGGTCCAACAAACTATATATCTCAGTGTGCCTCGTCTCTGGAGAACTTTAAATGCATATACAACTCAATTAGAAAAACCCTGCCTACTTCTGTATGACTTCCTGTGTAGACATTTGCCAGCTAACTCGATTATTATCACGGTTTCCTTAAAAGATTAGCGCCTTCCTTATCTGTAGCACTACACGCGCTCCTGCCTTTGCTCTCTATGTAAAGGGATCCTGTGCCAGCTGGATTAAACAACCTTTTTTTGTTTGCTCCAGGGCAGTTTTTTAAAAAAAAACTTATATTTTTTGCTCTCTGCCTTTCGACTTCTTTTCATCCCACTATCAAAGTGCAAGGTCCCGTTGCCAGTCGTAAACCTCGGTGTTGCCAAGGTGCAAACTGGACTATCTTAATGGTCACAGCATCGGGTCTGTGCAGTATCGGACTGACCTCCTGCACTGGCTTTGGGAGCTGAAATCCAACATAAACACTTCAAAGGAAGTTGCTGCGATTTTCTCCGCTGTGAACGAAAACGGTGAAATGTAATGATCCGCGATTGGATGACGAGCCTTTCCTCGCGGAGTGTGGGAAATAACGATCCCCGCGTTTGCGTTTGATATCAGAATCTGAATCAACCCAAAATTCACAATGGCAGTTGCCAAAATTGGGTTGGCTCTGTTTTCCAGCCAACAGTCTGTTGAAAATGTGAGACAAGGAATCTCTCTGTCCTTGGTCCTAAACTTACAGCTGCGTGTGTGGACTTCCTTTGTCGATGCGATGCTCCAAGATAGTCACTCGCTTACGGTTTCAATGAAGCCCTTTGACGAGGTTGAAAACACAATACCTCCACTTGTCAGTGCTACCAGCGAATGGAAGAACCAAAATCATTTAACTCGCGTCTGGCTTCGATCGCCAGGGAAAGTGTTTCGATGATAAAGTTGCATGCAAATGGTTCCCGCTTTCCTTCACGCAAGTTGGCAACGTAAACTGCTATGCATTGGTTTTAGCAATCGGCTCCATTGGGACTTGGCACGTGTCAACTTGACAGCTCAATAGATTTGTCTGAAGCTTCTGCAGCGGCATTCAGTGGACTCTAGACTGCGAGCCTCGAGTCTGAATAACGTTAGAGCAGAGATATCACTCCCAGCTGTTGAGTGCTGGGGGGGGACAGGAAGCTGATTTATATTCTCCTACTTCTTAACATCTTAGTGCAGGAAGAGAGGGGCATTTTGTTAGTTTTTGTGACACTCAATTTCAACTAAATCACTGCAAAAAGGCGCAGAATAAATAAGAGCAACAAGGGCATAAAAGAAAGCTTTTATAAACCAGATGCACTCAGATCGCCAACATCTTTTCAAACTGGCAATGTACAGAGCAGGATAAACGTTGGGGAAGAGTGGTCAATAATTGGGATTTGGTTGATCTGCACAAGGAATAGCTTGATGGACCGAATGTCTTTTTCAGGTGTCGGCAATTTAATGATAATAATCCTTGCATTTGATATAAGGCCTTATCATGGTGTTGAGACCTCTCAAAGAGCTTCACAGAATACTTTGTAAAGGGAATTAACTGTGTATTTTGTGGGTGAATCACAGCAGCCAATTGAGCACAGCAGTGCCCCACAGTCATGGATTTAGTGACCACATTTCTTTTTAGGGGGTGGGGCGGCTGGAATGGGGAGGGAGCAAAATTATTACCTCCGGAAAGCAAACTGCCGATTTACTAACAACCGGGTTCCTACTTACTACTGGGAAAACGGAGGCATGTGGAGTGAGGAAACTTGCCTTAGGTGTCACCCTGCCCGGGTTTGAACACGGGTCCGATTCAGTTTTGAAATACATTGAAAATTGAATTACAACAAACTATTGGGGGTGGGGAGGGGGGGGGCGGGGAGTGGGGGGGAATGTGAACGTAAACATGATCATCTCAATCCCGAGTCGTCGCCAGAAACGCAGCTCATCCGTACAGGGTTCGGAAGCGATTTCAAAGGGTTAAATTAAATTGCTCTCATCAGCCCAGACAACGGGAAAGATTTGAAAGAGAAGACTGATCGACAGAACGAGGTCTGGAAAGCATTACCTTTGCTCTTCGTTTCTCCCCAAAAATAAGGACATGTCTCTCCTCTCTCTCTGTGAGTGCACCTTTTGGGATTTGCCAATTGACAGGCGTGCAATCACATTCCTTTTCCCCCAGGACTGATTGTGACGGAGCTACTAGTGTTACTATTCAACTGTCCACTAGGAGGTGTGAGAAAGAATTCTTCCCTGGTCACCCCCCCCCTCCCCACCCCCCCACCGCCCACCTCCCCCTCCTTCCTCCATCCTCGTTTCTAGGTTGATTAATCTTCAAAATTCCCCCTCTCCGCTTTTGGGAAAACTCCTTCCACTCTCTCTTGGCATCTCCCCAATAGGCAGACTGACAACGGAGCAACTGGTTAAACACATCAAAGGTAGCTACCACCACCCGGGGTCTCCACTCACACAAGTGCCAACAAATAGCCAACTTCCCAAAGCTGCCCACTTTTCTTCGATAACGTTTTCGAGGTGCAAACAGAGCTGTCAAAAAAAAAAAAAACAAAACAACAACAAGTTGCGGACAGTCCTGATGTGCTAAAGACCAACTACGAACTAAGGAACAAACACAGAGATGTGGGAGCAAAGGCACACAGCTGTACTACACACCGTCTGCTCCTGTGAAACAATCAATACCTAAAACCAGGAAAAGCGGATTAGAGCAAAGAAAGCTCTTTATTAAAACCGAGCGAGTAACCAACTTACATCAGGAGTCCCTAACGCAGGGCTGAGTACTACTAATAATATAATAATAATACAATACTTGCCAAATTTCTATCAGTTTTGAAATAACTCAATAAATTAATCCCTACATTTGATATCGCGTCATTGAGACGTCTCAAAGCGCTTCACGGAATATGCAGTGAAGTGAATTGACTGTATATTTTGTGGGCGAAACGCGGCAGCCAATTGCGCACAGCAGCGTCCCCACAACAGTCGTGGATTGAGCGACCACATTTTTAATTATTTTGTAGTGGAGTGGGTTGGGGTGGGGGGGGTGCGGGGAGGGGGGTTGAGAAAGGGATCTATCATTTGGAATACATCTTATATTATTTATTATATTATTATTTATATTATATATCGTTTATTATTCAAGAGTTGGAAATCACAGATCATTTCTGCTTCTCCGAATCCTTTTACCATAATTTATTGGTTCTCGTCACATAAGGGAAATTCCACATTGTAGGCTGCGTATGAGTTTGTTACCACATACTGCGAGTCTGCCTTCCATCGCCACTGTTTAAGTCACACAGAAACTCAGCTTGATCTGCATGCAGATTGTTGAGCTCGGAAGTATGTGCTGCCCGCCAGCTACTGTTTCAATATCCCTGCAGATTCTAACTGAGCAGATTCTAGCCTTTCTCTTGTGAAGAAAGTCAAAGTACAAACTTGGTCAACCCCCCCCCCCCCCCCACATCATCCATCTCCCCCGGCTTCGCAAAAGAAATCTCTGTGATGTCCGTTTTTTCCAAGAAAAGCTCAAAAGACAGCAAGCCGACAAAAGCTAAAGATTTTCCTCAATTGCGCTTTCCTTTATCCTTACGTGCTGCACCTTTAAAGCATGGCAACTGGTGCCACTTTCGCTCCCCTGCTGCGTGAACATCCTTCTTAAGTATTCACCACAGAGCTTGCGAAAAATACGTTCGTCTTCGACATCCTCGCCCTGCCTAACTGAGGAGATCTTCCCTCTTGCGAAGGAAGTTCAGGACTTAACTTCGCTCAGATAATCATTCGCTTTCACTGGTTTTGCGCGCACACACACACGCACACACGCACAAGCGCGCAACCAAAATTACCTTTCATACCGGCTTCCCGAGAGAATGATTGACTCTCTTTTCTCTAAAACTCCTTGAATTGCCAGCCCTGTTCTGGCATGCACATCAGAAACCTTTTCATTCCCTTTCTCTCCCTCCCCACCCAAAAAAGACACAATACAATCTCTAAATCGATGAGCGTATCTGAAAAGCCAGCGAGATAACACTTTGCTGAGAGCTTTCTATCAAACAGTCTCTTTCTTACCTTCAATAGCAAACCATTCTGTAGCGTTCAGCTCCTGTTTGTAGCCAAACCCCAAGCTTCTTTAACTCTTGTGCAACTTGACATTCAGGCTTCCCTGTGCTGTCTGCCCTCAGATTAACGAGGCACGCTGGGCTGTAGGTGTTGAGTAACACAAAGCGACCACCTCTTTTTATTGACACAGAGTGTGACTTTGGTCAGCCAGGCAAGCATCCACTGCTCTTATATAGGTCTGCTGAAAGCTCTGAACTTTGGCACCGTCCCTTGTAACGAGATGCCTGTAGGCTGACTCTGCACCAAAGTGATGAATTAAAGCTGCAGTCACTCGGTGCTTGGCTGGCTGACTGGCTGGCTTCTGGCTCTTCGGGGGGGGGAAAAAATTGTTTTAACCGACCATTTATGGCGGGGGAATGAAGTCACTTTAAGTGACGTGTGTAAAGCAGAAAACCTACGAGTGAAGTCATCTCCCAGAGAAACGTCTTGTCCCCACGTTAACAGGGAGCGTTTGGAACCAATTCGTTAGCGCGGTGTCTGGGGGTTTAATAGCACAGGGGAGTATGAACGCAGAGAAAGGTTTTAAACAGGATTCTCCTGCTGTGACAGCCAGCAGGATGAGAGTTTCAGGGCTGCTTTTTTTCAAAGCTCCTCCTTAGCTGCAGTAAGGAGTCCTCTAAGCGTAGAACTTAGAGCACTCGCCTCGCAAGCGGGAGGATCTGGGTTTGAGTCCCGGGCAGGATGAAACATTGGGCAAGTTTCTTCATTTCACACACACGCCTCTGTTTACCTGCAGTAAGTAGGAACCTGGTTGTTAGTCGATTGGCGGATCGCTTTTCCGAGGGTAATAATCCCTTCAAGAAAACATTGGTCACTCAAGCCATGACGGTTTCTGGCTGCCATGTTTCGCCCACACGTGTCCAGTCAATTCACTTTACAGAATATTCTGTGAAGCGCGTTGAGACGTAACAAACACGAGGTAAACATCTCCTTAAGATCGCAGGTTCTCTTGTCGCAAAAGAATTGTCAAAATCAAACCGATAATCATGCAGCTGTTTAACCCTTTGACCGCTGGCAGTGAAAACCAGTCCCTCGTGTTTACCGCGATTGGGAATCGATTATCCGGTGGGATTTTACCCCCATTATAATGGGGGAATTTTTACCTGTTATGATGAGGCTCGGTGGTACGCATAACACTGGCTGGATTTTAAGAACACAAGCGTGTAAAGTATACGTTTGTGCTTTATAAACATATACTATTTAATAAAACATCTCACATTCAGAACTTCCAACATACAAATTTTCACACTAGCTAAGAAAATTTCAGCAACCCCTTGTCTGTCATCGAGAATTGTTGAACTTTTACTTTCCAGTTGTTGGGATTCAATAATAAATCCAGTGGGATCTGACAAAAGAGGATTTTTTTTAAAAGGAGTGGATGGAAATAAATTACAGGGTTCTTTATTCTTGGAAAAGCATAATGGGATTTGACACAGAAAGCCCTAAGGGAGAAGTGTTTGGCATGTTCTCAAAACATAAGCACACAAAGCCATACAGTCACTACACGTTACAGTGAATCGTGTGAAGCGCTTTGAGACCTCCCTAGCTCTCCGACCTCCTCACTGCCCAAACCACCACCCAACACCTCCACTCGACTGGCACCGGCCTCCTGCTCGTCCCTCGCACCCTCAGCCCCACCATCGGAGGTCGTGCTTTCAGCCACTGCGCCCCGAAACTGCATCTGTTTTGCTCAGTGCTAGCACTCTCGCCTCTGAGTCAGAAAGTGGTGGGTTCAAGCCCCACATCGGGACTTGAACTCGCATAGTCTAACATGATGGCATTTCGCCCATAAAATACAGAGTCAATCCACTTTACAGTACATTCTGCGAAGCGCTTTGAGACGTCTTTACGGAATGCTAAGGCGCTACGTCAAATGTAAGGATCACCAACCCCTTTCTGCTTTGCTCAGTGACTGACCCGTCTTTGTGAATCACTCCAAGACGTTACGCTACGTGAAGGCCGTTGTATGAATCCAACTTCTTGTTGTTCGGTGAGAAACAGTAAGTTCAGTTGATTGGCTTCATGTCACATGGAACTAATAGGCTAATATTTTTATCTCGGTTTTAGAGGGTTTTGTTTTCTCTCCTTTACCAAAAAATAATCAATTTCCTTCCACTTTCGCTGCGTGAGATATTGAGCAGCGAATGGGTGGATCTCAACAGATCTCGAATCCCTCCGCAAACAAGTCTGAACTTGACAGACACCAGCTATAATTAACTGTAGGTGTAACTACACTATTGAATTGGATCGAATATCCTGCACAAAGCACAGGAGTCAAAAAAAAGCTGTTTTAGATGATTGGCTTGACAATGGGTGACATTTATTGAAAGTAAGTGCTGAGTTGTTTGAATGTTTCTCTAGTTTTTCCGGGATGTTTTTTGTTTAATCCATGAGGGCTGAGTTCATTGCTATACATTGCTACACCTCCAGCTCTGACTTAGATTACTTTCCCAGGCTTGTTGATTCAGTCGTTTTAGTCTCAGGAAGGACTCTCTCTTACTTTTGTCCCAAAACAGGATTTCCGTGGCCGTGATATTGATTTCACAGAACGCAAAAGGGTGAAGAGACTGAATCAATCAACAGGGATTCAAACCCACACCATTTCACTCCTAAACCCAGGTGCTCCAATCCTCTTCCCTTAGCCAAGATGATTCACTTGTAAGGAGGATTCTGATACCTCCCCCCACCCCCGACTGGATTCCGCTGTTAGTTTATTGATTAGAGAAGAGGCATTGGTAAAACCGGAATATTAACAATATGGGGGATTTTTTTGGGGTCAGCCGGGAGTCTGACACACGCGGAAACCCATCACCGTGCTAACCAGTATCCAACCAAACTCAACCGAGAATTCCATGGCTCCCGCCTACACGTGGAAATCCCAGAGATAGATCGGTAGAATGGAATGCGCTCTCTCTCCCTGGAGGGATACAGCCTGCTGACCTAATTCCGGAAAGTATTAGGCGCAGGTTGGCCAGAGCCAAGGCTTGGGAACACTAGAGTGTGCGTTGGGGTAATTGCTGGAGTCTATCCAGCTATTAGTATCGCTGTATGGCAAGCTTTCCTGCTGCTTGTCCAGCTGGGACCACCGTCCCCGAAATAAACAGGAGAACGGGATTAGACGGATAGCACTTTCAGAAAGCCAGCACATGGGTTGAATGGCCTCCTTCTGTCCTAGAATTGTCTTTGGAGATAATAAAAATCTTTGCAACTGGAGGGAGAAACTACCTTCTTTTTTTAAATAATGAGCCATTTACATCCAGCTGAACAGGCTGACAGGACCAAGATGTTGTCCGAGACGATGAGCTCAAAGTCCTGACGCTGTGGGCTTTAAACCCACGATCTTTTGACCCAGAGAGAGAGAGTGCTACTAACTGAGCCACGTAGCTGACCATAATGACACTAAGCCAAAAATGTGAGATGCTATTAATCCTCTGACTTAGTGGGAGTGACATTTGCAGCATTGCAGACATCCTGCTTGCAGTAACGCGCCTTTAATGCGATGCGATTAAGTGTAAAGCAAGCGCTAAAGACTGATTCGACCACTTTTGAATACATCAGAGGTAGCCTTACAGCATGTCAGTGATTTATGACACAGACCACACATGTTGAGTCGTACAGATGGCCTAAGAAAAAGTGAGTCATTGTTTTACCCCAGCAATAAGTGCTTTGATCTGCCGCATGGCAGAAACAGCAAAGAGCATGTGTTAAATAGATTGGGATATGTCACTGATGTTAGTTTAAACAATGGAGAAAGCCTCACGTCACATTATAGCATTAATCATTGTCATTAATTTGCGGAAGAGAGAAAAGTAAACACAGCGCTGGATTACAGAGAGTCTCCAGACCGCAGGAGATTTGTCTTGTTCTCGACGATAAAACCTTCACGAAATGTATCTACCTATTGTCGCATTGGCATTGCATCACCTGGTGACATTCCTGGGTTTGTGAGTGCCACTCCGAGTTGTTCTTTACTCTGACTGGGATTTAGGGACTGAGTCAAGACTGAGTCAAGACTGCCTCTTTTCTAGCATCTCGCTTTCCAATCAAAAGGTTGGAGGTTTCAGCCCCACTCAGGTCTCTCAGCTCACAGTCTAGGTTGACCTTCCAGTGCCGTGCTGGGGGAGTGTTGTATTATCGGAGGAGAGGTTAAAGCCGAGGTCCCGTCTACCTGTTCGGGTGGACTTTAAAGATCCCTTGTCCCTATTCAAAAAGAGATGGGAGTTTTTCTCTTTCTCGGTGACCCGGCTAACAATCTTCCCGACTGAAGTTGTTCATTCATGCCATGGCTATTTGTGGGACATGGTTGCCTACAAATTCACTGATTTGCATTTGCCTAAAAATACAGTCACTGTGCTTTGGGCTCAATCAAATATTCGAAGGTGCAGGAGACACGTAAGTGTGTGTGTGTGTGTTTCAGCGCCTTGGGACGTTCTCCCGTCGTGAAAGGCGCTATACAAATGTAATCTTGTGTGTGCAAATAGGATGTTTAAGAGAGGTGTGTTACATTGGGAGAGCAGTATGCGCTCGGAACGCTCCCATCTGTCACAACGTTGAAATAAAGAGAAAACGCCAAAACAGGACCCTGATGTTTGCAAAAACGGATTCTGAGTCTTTTTTTGTTATTCGTATCTGATAGTTCAGGGCTATTGGACTGAGACATTGTTCAATCTCAGCAACAAAGACACTCATGCAATATACCTGCCGGCACATAAATAAAACAGGTGTTGGAAAGCAATGCACAGCGAGCAGTTTAAACACATCCCCACCCCACGTCCCCTAACCTCCATTGTATATATTTATATATATATATATGCAGCAATTCTTCCCACTTGGCTCCTGTTAACCCTACAAACCACAAAGCCCTAATGGGACGGGTGGTCATAGCTGAACGAGCTGTGGGAAAGCTTGCCAAACACATCCCCTACGTTCTACAAGAAAAATCAGACCGCTTTGTTCCAGTTTAGTAGAACGGGCGGCACAACACATCTGAAAGACCAAACTATTAGCACTGCACTAGTTAGACTTAAGGCACCGGCAATATTCTTTGTACATTTGCACCACGGGCTGCAGTGAGGTCTGCCCTGTCGTTATGAGCCACACATAATCTGTTGTTTAATGATCGCTCCCCTGCAATTCTTTGGAAACACTCACCAGGATAAAGCGGGATTTTAAAGGCTAAAGTGGATAATATTCTTTTGTGGTTTCCCCCCCCAAAATAACAGGATTAACCACTCGAGATA